TGCCGAAAAATGTAGTTTCGAGAGAAACAGCTCCAATTGTTATACCTGCGCGCGGTGCATTTCAGCAGGCTATAACTTCGTTAGTTTTTCAAATTTCAATTTAATATTTGGTAGATATATTTTCGAGACTACGTGCTAAAAAAAAATGCAAAAAAAAATTCGATTTTTTAAATTCCACGAGGTAGAAAGGCCCCTTAAGGTAAATCATATTATAAGTTGTTTCTGGTTTCGTTGCTTGGAAAATGAGTAATAAACGAGGAGAAATTGTAACGGTAATAAAGAATAAAAAAAAAAAAAAAGAATCAAAGAAGTATTTTGGTAGAATTGTACGCGTAAGTTTACGGCCCACGGTTGTTGGTCCTGGACGATAAAATCGGGAACGTCTTGTTGCCGGAGTTAAAGAAGAACGATACGACCCCGCGGTGTTTTAAATTCTTACAAAATGTGCCTCGTTTACGTACGCTCGCGTGCGTAGCTTTACGAGAAGTTTCCGTGAAAATTAAATGCCCCTCGATGCATAATTCTCCCTTCTTTTTCGAGTCTTTATTTATAGTTCGGTTAAGCGCGGCCGTATCAGGCCGGGAATGTTAATGCGATGATAAATTTATAGTAAGAAGTTCGCGACCCGACTACACCGTGTTTACATTCCCCTTTTTAAACTACGAATTAACGCATTACCTTAACGAACACGGCGTTTCAATTAGTCCTTGCTTGAAACCCATCCGATGCAGTTCGTTTAATGAAAAAAATATTTTTATACGATCTGAAAACCTACGTGCGTTGTGTACTCGTTGAAAATATTATTAGGGGTTGCAAACGCCGTTCTTTAAGCGTTTTCTAATTTCGTAAAATTATAATTTTCGAAACAACGCGAACAGCTGTCGCGTTCGCGTCGCTCGGCGTTGCCGGCAAATATCGTGACAGAAAACTGCGTGACAAGATCCGGGAAAAACATGTCGCATCGTCGTGTCTTTAAAATATCATGACGTTACTGTCACACGAAAACGAAGCTTTACAACCGATTTTCGTTTTTGATAACGCGAGCGGTGTCTGTTCCCGTGCATATCATAAATAAACGATGAGCTTGCCGTATTTTTATTTCGATATTTATAGAAAAAACGTTCCCGATAATCCTTTAAGATCGCAATTTGTTCGAGTCGTTCGTACAATTATATTTTATTCCTCCAATTTCTGCACGTTAATTTCGTCTATAAATTACGCAGCTTCTTTCTGCCATCTTCCAAAGTACTGAAACAGGAATTTCTTTAATACGTTGTCGTACAATTTGCTCCGCCTCATCCGACGGCTGAAATGAAAGTCAAAGAAACGAACATCACTCGGAGCGACAGCTGATGAGTACCGGTGGTTGTGTTTATGCAATTCGTTGATAATGCTCGGTACGAATCGAAAAAAAACCTTTACGAGGACAACGCTTTAGTCGTTAGGCGAAGAAAAGCAACCTGCACGACGCGTGGAATAAAGTAACTCGTGGGGATGAAACGATAATACAAGATCCAATGCGTAGAAATACATTTTTTGGCAAACGTATTCTTACAATTAGACTCAAGATCACTTTATGAGGTACTATTGCATGGTAGAAGAAAAGTTTTAAATAAAATTACGTCTCATCTTATAAAAATGGCTACTATTCTATGCTTGGTCCTACGTATGTTCGAACAAATTTTAGAGTTATTCAAACATTTATGAAATAAATTTCTTTCGAAGTTGGACGAAGGATAGCTAGAAATATGGTCGAATTAAAGACGAAGCGCAGGATCGGTTTCAATTCGTGGTGGCCTACATTCTCAGGTTGATTTTATCGTGAAGGCGGTGGTCCCCGTTGGTATCCTCGTCTCGTAAGTCCTGGAACCTTTCGTTTAACGCATTGTACATGGACACGCGACCAGGAATCCACCCGATAGGTGCGCGCGAAAAGGCAAAAGCGTTTTAACCACTTTGGGCGCACTCGGTGTGGCGGCACTCGGAACGTTTCGCGCATATAACTTACCCGCTCCCGTGTGCCCTGCTTTGAGCTCGTTACACGCCACGTAACGAGGGGCTGGTCGCGACCGGGAACGAGCTGCTTGTAGAAACTGAGCGATAACTGGTAAATAAACGATGAAAGATACGTGAATTACAAATTGCACTTTCCTAGCCCGCGCGCGTTATTTACCATTCGCCCGCTGTTCACTATTTATCGTCTTACGTGAAACACCGTTCATACATGTATCCGGGTTGTTGCGATCGCTGTTGCGCGTTTCGTGCCTCCGCGGCAACGTATCGTTACGTGTGATATACGTGGAACGACATTCTGTAAATTTCGAGCACAAAATTGCTAGCGAAACACATTTTCGAACCCGATCTTTACGCGCGATTCGCGAGGATTTTCTAGGTACTAGAGTTTTTATTTTATGGTACGTGCATTTATGGATTCGATTTTCTAATATTCTTTGGTTTTTCATTTTCGTATGCTAAACGATCGGATACGCAATATTCGAGAGTTTGAAACAATGGTACCCAAAGTAATAGGTTTACAATAAATTCGTTTTTGAAATAATTGCGTTTGAAAATTAATATAGAATTCCCCTGGCGCGTCTGACCATTACAGGCCGTTTCTACTTATGCTGATATTCTCTGGTAGAACAGAACTTTCTTTTGCTCCCCCCTTGGATCGTGACCGATTTTATTTGGCATCGTTTTATGGAAAGTTGTAGATACTTAAGTAGTCGATCTGCTACAGGTACTTTCCGGCCAGGTATTTAAATGCTCGTGATATTTGGAGCATTCGAAGTATACTTCGCGTTTCTCGTTTACCACAGAGTCTTCAGACCCTTTAAACCTTTCAGACATCTCTCGCTTCAAATAGCCCAGATACCTCGGGTACTTCCGGTAACTCCAGGTACTACGGCTACCCCAAATTCTCCAGACATTCTAGGTGCTTCAGAATACTCGAACAAAGGAGGAAATTCCGCCACAGAACCGAATTCGTGACTAGATTTCCGTCGTGTCGCAACAGTGAAGAACTCGCGTGATAGTCGAATCTTTATTTTTTCATAGTCACGCGCTGTCCCGTTAATTCATACTTCCTTCGATCGATGCACTTACGCGGAGTTCACTTCAACCTCATTATACAGTTTTGTCGAACAAATTCAGAAACGATTACTTAAACAAACGACTAATTTTACGCGAACCACGTTATATTTCGATTTTAATCGAGCATGGTATAATCCGTAAACACTTGGCTAATGAGAGCGTCACCGTTGGGACAGAATTTCGGTCGAATTAAACTGCTACGAACTTATGCGCCAACCTAATAAAATACCCTCGTCGGGGAACGCGTTAACCGAACGTGAAAATTTTAATTTGCTAACGACAGGATTTCGCCGTGCTAATTCCTCGTCCGTCGACGGGAACGTAAATGCAAAGTAGAATTTTCTACCTTTTCTAAAATTTGGCTGCAATTCGGATATATCGTGGACTTCAATGACCCTTAGAAATATCTCCACGTACTTTTAATCGTTAACCTTGGCAGCCGCTTAAAGAATGGGGCTCAAATTTACCAAACAAAACTCTCGAACCCTCGACGAAGTGTTAAATAAAAATTAATTCTTTAAACTTGTCATCGTGATCATGAATCGAATGGTAACCAATCGTCTCGAAATTAAATGTTCTCAAGGCGCAAAGAAAATTAGGAAGAACGCGAAATTTCGACCCAGTTTAGGGAAGCGTTCGCGGTCTTTTTGCAGGACGCGTGTCGTCGATAGGATCTTGGCTCCGTATCTGCAAAGCTCGAAAAATATTCTCGCACGCGAGCGTCGTCCTTCGACGAAACTTTTCGCGGCATTTTTCCGCGCGGTCGCGAACGCGGTTATCGCGCGTCAGATATGCACACGTACGCACACGGGCGTATGTACATAAGCCACTATCGCGGCTCCCCGTCGTCGTTTTAAAAGCAACGCGAGCCGTACAATGAGACCGGTCGCGAACAACGGACCTGCTCGCTGGGAACTACGGAAATAACCGGTAAACAAATGATAAAAGACACGAGCCACTAATCGCGCTTTCCTCGCTGCCACGTAATCCCGGAGCTTTCGGTAATGCATTAGCTGTAATACAAGATTGCTCGTTCCTCTGCGTCTTCGCGCATATTCACGCGATTACTTCTTTAAAGATGGTCGAATTATGCACACCGTTCTCGACTGTGGAACCCGTTTATATTGTTCAAATTTTAGTTGATTTTAATCGATGCGAAATATAGTGGTCCTTCTCGTTGGTCAGAGCGGTGCATTTAAGTTGAGACTGACCCCTGCGTTCCTAGAGTCTGCTAGGAAACCTCTCACTTCCTCCATTAGCAAAATATAAAAATTGCAATGGTCGAATGCTTGTACTGATTGTGAGTGGACAGAAATAAGTGAATATATAAAAATTGCAACGCTTGTACTGAGTGGGGTGCAATTGGTACCTTGCAATCATAAGCCGAATGGGCGAAACGATCGGACAAATTCTACGCAGATCGTGAAAACAGCGTGTAACCGGCGATGGGAAAGCGCGTTTACATCCCCTGATTGGCGAAGCATTGTAAATCGCTAGCTAGCGTTGTAGATATCTGGTGTCTGCGCCCATCGAACGCCAGCATCCCCTGTCCCCGGTGCCCCCGAGGCCATTAAGTTGCCGTGCAATCAGAACGTTTCGAGAACGCGCACGAGTGTCAAGATTAATAATATGTCTCTGAAGACGCATCTGCTAGTCGGACGCGCCGGGAATATGGGTCGAGTCCTCCTCTCATCTCGCGCCTCGGTTTCACCGGAAATATATCGCGACGATCGTTAATGTGTCCGATAGCACGAATTACAGCGGCGCGAGAGAGACGGGGAGAGCCAGCTTTAATGCCGCGGCCGTGGTTTTCGAATGCATTTCGTTTCTTCTCGCTTCCCTTATTCTTCTTCTTGTTCTGCGTTCGTATATATGTGTTTTTTAACAGACTCGTAATTTTCTTTCAGGAGAGCGACGGAGAAAAGAGCGATCAGGACTTGGTGGTGGATGTCGCGAACGAGGTCAGTTCATCCTTCGCGCTCGCCCCCGATATTTTTAGCTGCAAATTCATTACGCGGAAGCGTCGTGCGCGCGCGAGCTGTCGATGAAAATCGAGGACCTTTTTTTCGAGGTTGAAACGACGAGAGTGCATCGTAGACTCGCGAACGGCAGAGCGAGTCTCTTTCAGAGATTTAGATTGCACTCGACGAACGCGTCGATGTCGCTTTGTTTATCTTTTTCTTTTCTTTCTCGTAAATGTAACCGAAATTGCCGCGCGCTTTGTGCGAGATGAATTGGTAGCTTCTTTTACGCGCCTTTGAGACAACGTTGTGTTTGATACTGTCTCGCGGATATTCTAATTTCTTTACAGTATTTGATTTCGTGGAGAAACTTTTTAAAATAACAAGTTCGCGTTTGAAACGACGAAGCGAGTCTGTCTATAAAAATTCTTGCTTCTCGGCGAGCAGAGTACACGAATCCTTCGTACAGCGCTCTGTACAAAGGAACAAGATCGTCAGGCTCTCGGATCTGCCGTTTTTCATAGAAATGTTCTGTTCTTTCCCAAAACAAAAGGAGGCGTCATCGCCGCACGCGAACGGAGAACACTCAGATCCACGCGAGAACGGCACCCTGGAGAAGCTGAGTGCTCCAGGACACGCGGGACCGACTTCCGGCGTTGGCTCCACTTCTGTAAAAGACAGACCACCCTCGCGAAGCGGAAGCTCCTCCGCTCGTAGCACACCATCTCTGAAAAGTAAAGATGTAAGATCTCGCGGATAGCAAGCTTGTTCGGCGACTAATCGGTCCGGTTCCTCTCTTTCTCTGCCTACGAATAAAAAATACGTGTCACGATTAACCCTTTCGGTGCTGCGAACCACGTTGACCCCTTGACAAATCTTTTAAACTGTATTGTTATTCGATATCCATTGATTTTTCAAAGAATTCAGTCTTTCGGCCAATTTAGGGGCACAAATGAAATTTCAAAACAAGGGGTTGATCCTCGCGAAGAAGGGCTGCAAACGATGTGGTTCCCATTCGGTTGAAACTTTGTAGTATTATGAAACACTCGATAACACGTGTATATCTTTTACAGTAACTCAGGTTTAACACATGAAACTACCTTTTGAATTTGAACTCCTAAAGCATTAATTTGGAAATGTTTTGAAGAAGTTGTAACGAATCTTCTAACGCGTCAAAAACTATTTAACTTTCGTTGAAACATTCTTTCCCTGTTCCCAGCCGTTTCTGAGTTAGTACTTTGAAGGGGTGGTTTCGCTCCTCGAACTTGAGTTACCGCAACTAAAAGAATAACGTATTATCTCGAGATGTTCTATAAGTCTTCAAAGTTTCGATCGAAATCGGACTGTTCGCGATTCCTTGTAATTCGGCCAGTGCGCGGCGAACGCCTATAGGCGTTACGCGAATATCTTTAATAGATACGAGCGTTTAAATCGTAGCATCGAAGGGTTCCTTAATATTCGTGTTTCTTCGTTCCTGAAATAATTTTGTGGTTTTCAAAGACGCAGAAACGATATAAAAATTGTTTTCGTTAGAGTCGTTTCCTTCGTTTCTTGCACAATGGCAAGAGGACGTGTTCGTTGCACCGTAATTATAATGTTTAATAATGACTTTATTACAGTACGAACACCGTAGCATTCGCGGAAAAGTAACCCAGACTATAATAAATGAGACAGATGCAGCATTATTAATTACTGTTACGAAACTTTGCTCCGACACTATTGATCGAACGATACCGGACGATTAAGTAACGATAATTCGATTGCTTTATTTCTGGATATGTTTCAGATTCTGTTTCTTAACATTAACGTGTCATTAATCGTAGAATATAAAATGAATAATGAACATCACATTGCAAATTAACCTATTTATGCCTAACGCAGAAATGAAAAATCTTGTGAAAAGGATCGATAAAAAATAATTTGTATCGTATCTGTTAGGGAACCAACGGCCCGGCAAACAATAAACAGAGTGCATAATAACCTCCCAACCTCGATACGAAAATTCGTTCTCTCGTGCGCGCAGTTTTCGGAGATATTCACGGCGGTAATTGATATTGGTCCGCCGTGCACAGAACGCGTGGCATAAATGGGTTAAAAAACATATCGCCGGACCAGCGATACACTTGACGCTCCTCCGCAAAATAAGATCATACAAAAAACACTATCGCAGACAATCGAATGCGTACCTCGGCGCCGCGGCGAGCCAAACGTGGAAAACTGCATAAAATCCCATTCGATTGTTATCCCCCTTCAAAAACGTGATCAACCATGATGAAACAAAATAGACAAAGAGAAAGAGAGAGAGAGAACGGAAACATTTACACCGTTCAAAAGCGACAAAAATAAAAAAAAAAAAAAAAAAAAAAAAAAAAAAGAGAGAAAAGAATAGCTCGAATGAAATTTCCACGGACGGCTTCGAAAACAACAGGGATATTTTGATGCTTCCCGTTTAGGCGAGCCGCTCAGTGTACACCAAACGCGATCTGCGTTAAAATTTTGTCGCGCGCGCAAGTTACGATAAGTCAATTTGCACGAACGCCCGCTGGAAACCGTCCCCTCTCTCTTTCTCTCTCTTCTCGACGCCTGAACCGGTGAACCGGAAGCCACTCGCGCCCACGATCGCGGCGAGGGATCGATACCGTTTCGTTGCTTTCGCGTAAACTCGACCGTGAAATTTACAATTCCTCTTTCTCTAACTGCGCCCGATAATAAACCCGAGCCGTCGAACGAACCTCTCCAGATCGACAAGCCGGGTACACCTGTGGCGGCGGCGAGGGGGTCGCGCAGCTGTACGCCAACTATGGGCGGAATCCCTGGGCCCTTGGCATCGCGAGTCTATCATCCGCCATCGTCGCAGCAAACGCCACCGCAGGGTTATCAGGGTTTGCCGTCCCGCGGCAATGAGCCGCCGCAATCGTCTTCGCCGTACAGCAACTTACCATATGCCAGGACTTCGATGGTACTTTCGGTTGTTGATCACTTTTCCTATCAGGGGGGGGGGAGGGGGGAGGTGTGTGCGGGTACCCGAAAATTTCGGCTCGGGTAGCGTCAGGCATGTCTCTCTCGGTCATCGGGTCGGGATTTCCACTCCGTCTTCATAAAAAATTAGAGATCTCGAAAGTACTCGACAAAATTGAGGATTTCACTTAGTTCTAATGTTGGTTTTTGGATTCTCAAACTTGGACAACGCGAAACAGTAGAGTCGCTACAGCGAATACAGAACGATACAGCGATGATTCTTAAAATGAACGTCGCTCCGGGGATGGTGTGTTCATCTTTCGTACAGCGCTGAAATTCAACGCCAAAAAATACTCGTACACAGCGATATATGAGGTGAAATCACTCCGATTGGGATAGAAATGTTCAACTTACGAATCTGGGCTCATTTTAAGAATCATTACTACAATTGGAATATTTACACCACGTTTGGATAACTTGTGGTTTGTCTCATTACCTTTATCATAACGTCTTATGATCCAAGTTACAGTACGAAACGAATTTTAACCATATTGCAGAAGAGTCGACTATTATTCCAAATGTATTAGGATCGATAGCTTTCAAAGATCGAAGCAAATAAAAGAGAAAATAGCGAAGGAAAGTTTAATATCCCAACGCCTGGATACAAATGGATCGAAGGTACGGTTTGCAAGAGCGTTGGAACAATGGACGCTACGACGGACAATATCAACGTTCCAACGTTGCTTCGACGCTCGTGGGAATCGGCCTTAAAGCTTAATTCGCACTATCCGTCTGTCGACCGTCAGTTTTCGAAGGGATCGTCAGTCAATAACGGACAATATGAATACCTCGAAGTAAAATCTATTGAAGAGTATTTCGATGGACAGCGAACAGATGGATAATGTGAATCCAGCTTACCGCTTTGACGACGGAATATACGATACCCTGCTTTATTCGTGCGGATAGAGATCTATGTATTCGCCATAAACAATTTGCTTAACAGTAAACTAATGCGATTCTGCGCATCGGTATACGCACAAAAACAATTCAATTCTTGTAACGCGTGTATACATATTCAGCGGATCTATGCATGTAGGAAACTACAGATGATGCAATAGTTTCAAAGTTATTGATATTTTAGAAACAATGAACGCAAAAACCAATCGTTTATCGTTGCAACCGATATTTCGCTCGCTTTCAGATCAAAGTAATAAAGCTCTCGAGACTCGAATCGACCGAATCCCGGCCCGAACCAAAGTCCGGGTACCCGCACACTCCTACTTCATCGCCGTCGGTGTTTCGAGAAGGGTCTGAACAACATTTCGAGCTTTCGGGGCCTGGTGTCTGAAACGCGGTGATTCCGAAACTTTCGTACGAAATTAATACGAGGAAAGCCGCGTACGTCATCGTCCTCCTAATTGTCGTTCGGGTAACTAGCATAAGTAGGATACTTGTGTTCGTAAAAAGACGCCAGGGAGTACAATCAATGATGATTGGAACAATAAGCTAAAGTAGAAAAAGATTTCTTGGTAATAGTCCTCCTCCGCGTAGGCCCCTCTTGAAGACAACCGTAGGTTTAGAAGCTTACACTAACGAGCTTGTTTGTACCTTGTTATACCTTCTTCGAGCAAGAACTACGATGTTAAATAAAATGAGAAACGTGGATCGAATTTGTTTAAAACGAGTATCCTTCGCGATGCGTCGGTCGCGAAAACTTCTTATCGTTCCCGTGACGCGACTCGTATTTATTCTTTAAGGAACTCGTCCTCGAGACCAGTCCCCCTAATATTTATGTAACGATTTATGCATTCTGTCGATTTTTGCAGCTCGGTTTCGATGGTCACGTAAGGATACCACCGAGTAACGGGATGAGCAACGTTCCCGGCGGTAAAACGTACGTAGATTATTATTAAAAACGCTCCAGTCAGTTAACCATCGGTGCCTAGTTTCGCTAGAGACACTTTATAGTTTTGTGAAACGTCGACTAAGCGGATACCGAACACGGTGAATACGGTAATTTGCGTTAAATGTATTTCCAGACGAATTTAAATTTATTATCCAACCAGGTATTTAACTCTTTTGCTGTTGGGACTCAAAGGGCTCGCCTCAGTGGATTATTTTACGTACGCGAAAGTTATTATAGAGAACTCGTCCAGCCAGGTTTCGTCAAATACTTGGTAATTGCTAAGCTGGCCTTGAAGAGATTATCGTTTGAAATGACAAGCGGGTCCGGTGGCTGAAGTTAATCCGCTCTGGGTCAGTGCTTAGATGAATGACCGTTAGAACTGATCGAGGACTCCGGTTGCTCTACCGATCGCTCAGCAACTTTGTGCACCGTTGATTTCGGTGGATCGTGGTCCACCTGCAGGTCTCCGGTTAACTAACCAGACCAGTGGACGACGATTAATGCAAAGAAACTCTAACTGTCCAGCGTCTGGTCCTCTAAAATTCGGAATAATTTATCGCGTTAGGTATAACGCATAGGAGTCGCTGTAGAATGAAAATAAAAAAACTCTGCTACACGCCATTTAGCGTTCGAGTCGTTGGACGAGCGTAGAATCTCGCGAAAGCGAAGGGTATACGTTCGGGTGCAACAGTTATAGAGGAGCAAGCGCTGTAAACACGGCACGATAGAATTTATCGAGCGCGTATAGGCAGTAACAGCGAAAGGGTTAACATCTCGCGTGTTTAAAGCGTCAACGCGCGAACCATTAAGTTCGGAAGCGCGTCCTACATTGTTTCTCCGTGCGCTTGGTTTTCGTTGAACACTCGGCTCTTAAGCGATCGAAGGCATCGAGGCTCAGCAACGACAATGCCATTAACGTTTTACATTTCACCGCAGAGCAATCTCGTTCCATGCGAACGGCGAGGGTGAAATGCAGCCTGTGGCATTCCCCACGGACGCTCTGATAGGACCGGGAATTCCACGTCACGCGCGTCAGATTAATACCTTGACTCACGGCGAAGTTGTGTGCGCTGTTACGATCTCGAATCCGACCAAGTACGTCTACACGGGCGGCAAAGGGTGCGTGAAAGTCTGGGACATCGGACACGAAGGCGGCGGCAGCATCAAGCCCGTGTCGCAGCTCGACTGCCTCCAACGCAACAATTATATTAGGTCAGTTTCCCGGGCGCTACGGGCTAAAATAAACTCCTCTTTGCCCAAAACTTTCGGAATTTCCCGAGAATAAATGATTAGGCGACGAAGGACCTTTTAAACTTTTGGAAATTCGTAAAAAGAGCTTCGTCGAATGATATTGCCGATGATGGTTCTGCGGGGTTCTCTTGTATCTCTCGCAAGCGCTCGACTGACTCCTCAGGCTCTACTAGAATGCCTCACTCTCCTTTCCTTGTCTCAGTTTCAATGGTATATCTAAGACTCGCGAAATATAAAGAAGAATCGAACGATTCGCAGATCGGTGAAGCTGTTGCCAGACTGCAGAACCCTGATAGTCGGAGGAGAGGCGAGACAACTGATCATCTGGGACCTGGCCAGCCCTACGCCGCGGATCAAAGCGGAGCTGACGTCCTCCGCGCCCGCCTGTTACGCGCTGGCCATCTCGCCGGACTCGAAAGTCTGCTTCAGTTGTTGCAGCGACGGTAACATCGCCGTGTGGGATCTCCACAACGAGATTTTGATTCGACAGTTCCAAGGGCACACGGACGGCGCCTCGTGCATCGACATCTCCGCGGACGGCACGAAGCTCTGGACAGGAGGGCTCGATAACACCGTGCGTTCTTGGGACCTGAGGGAAGGCAGGCAGCTGCAGCAGCACGACTTGAACTCGCAGATATTCTCTCTGGGCTATTGTCCCACCGGGGAATGGCTGGCGGTCGGCATGGAGAACTCCAAGGTCGAGGTGCTCCACGCGTCCAAATCCGACAAGTACTGCCTCCTCGTTCACGAATCCTGCGTCCTATCACTGCGTTTCGCGTCATGCGGCAAATGGTTTGTCTCTACCGGCAAGGACAATCTGTTGAACGCCTGGCGCACGCCGTACGGCGCCTCGATATTCCAGGTGCGTGGATATATTCATATTTACTAAAATTTATTTCTTTTTTTTTTTTTAATATCTTGCAAGCTATATAGAGTAAATATCATTCTACTCATTCAGAACATATCAAAATACTATGTATCTTCACATTGGATTTTCTGCGTATCCATTGAGTTGGCCAAAAAGTCTCGTCTTTTTCAAACAAAAATCCTATATATTTAGTAGTTACTTCTCAATCTTGAATTATAAGGTATAACACCAGTTCATGCCTACAGCACTTTAATCAAAGAACATTTCATAAGAATTTTACGTCCAGCAAAAGTAGTTCCATTTTACCAGCAGATCACGTGATCAAGTCACACGACTGAACACTCCCCTTGTTCTAATCGGATAGAATACAATTATCCGTTCAATACGATTTCACCGACTGCAAATCACATCAAAGACGACTCCTATTTCTACCTTTCCGCTGTAAAATAATTGCATGACAAGGAGAACTCAAAAACAGTATCAAAACATGTAATAATTTAATTTAAAATCACGATCGTTTCGTACCGATATCTATTATGACAAAGGACAAACACATGTTTCATTTCCCTGATTCTCCAGCGTTTAAAATTGATTATCTAAGAACCTAAAATTCTCTGTAGCGTTCTACGCTGTGAATGCAACTTGCTCGACAATCAACACGTTAACAGTTTATGTAACACGAACTGTTTGAAATCTTTTGTCTCGCAGTTACCTGCAATTTTAATTTCCCTCTATATATTAACTCTTTGAATGTTAAAATCTGCCCATAGAGTGACTCGTTCTCTGTGTATTTTCTATACAACGTTCTAACAAAGCGCAATGAAATAATTGCATTTTAATAATTGCCAACATTTGCCTCTCCAGTGAACTACAATAACTTGTACAGAACCTCCGTCTTCTTTTCGTGAGAAAATGTTGTATCGCGTATGAAAATTACCGAGAGATCTCTTAGTTTTCGCAACGAAGAAAAATTAAGTATAATATTCGCATAGGAGTTTCGCGTATCATTTTATTACGCGTCGACCTTTGAATGGCAGAAAGTGGTCAATGCAATTACCGTTAACTTCTAATTAATTTTCTCTTGAAAAGACACTTAAGAAATCAAGTGTATCGCGGTTGTAATCGTAATATCGAAAGACACTCAAGAACAAACAAGACGTGCAGATCCTATCGTCGCTTCCAAACTTATCAAGAGCGTAAAACAATCGTTCGTTTATCGTGTTCGATAGAAATTAAAACATCTTATCTTAGATTTTCATTTCTTCCATACCATATACAAATTTCTACAAAGAAAGCAGCTCCGTAACTCGAAAAGCGATCGTCGCCTTTTCGAAACGAAGAATCCTCGAAAGAAACTGAGAACGTTCTACGTGACCACGTTAAACGAAACGCTGTGTCGTCATATTTATGTACCACGCTGCATGCTCGCGTCGCAAACACAGATCAAAACCTCGAGCGGAGCACATGGGAACCCATATCAATTCTTTTTGCAGTCGAAGGAGTCCTCGTCGGTGCTGAGCTGCGACATCTCCGCCGACGACAAGTACATCGTGACCGGATCCGGTGACAAAAAAGCCACTGTATACGAAGTGATTTACTAGACACACGGCAAAAGACGTTCGCGTTTTTCTCCCTTCGTCGAAACCCGAACTCTTAAACACGCCTCTCCCTTTTTTTTCGCGGGAGATCTTACAAGTGAGACTTTTAGCAGCCTTAGGAACCTAGACTGTTACTACTGTGTATATATACATACGAAGTCTATACTACGGTAGAATCGCGCGTTCGAGGGGGAAAAAAGCAGAAGAAGAGGAAGAAATGGATAAAAAAAAGAAAAAAAAAAAGAAAGAAAAAAGACAAAAACCTAATGTGTGTGCCAGAGAACCTGTATGTATATTAGAGTTGCGTGTGCGTGGCCCGATTGTATCTACGACGGTGTGATTACGTAGAGGAACTCTTTCTTTGTCGCGTGTATACAACGAGAACTTGTTAATGGAACGTTACCAAGCGATCTTGCATGCGCGTTAAGTGACCGGGAAAGCCTTGCGAATGGTGATGCTAGATATAATTTCGTATAAGTAATTACAGAATCAACACGCCCGTGACAGATAGTCGGATAGCACGAAGACGACGAAGGCTCGGAGACTGTCTACGAAATTCTGTCCCCCCCACCCCCTCTTCTCGCTAACATGAAAATTTTACAATTTTTACAATCACTCTGTCCCTTGAGCTTGTTGCCGACGATACTAATAAACTTGCATACCTTTGTGTACCTTGAACCCTTTCGAGACGACGAGCAACTATAATCAACCCCCCTGTAAAACATGCTCGCTATAGTTCAAGGGCAACTATAGTCTTCTATGAGCCACAGTGTTAATATCTTATGCCCATAGTGCTAATCGACACCGCTGAAAGAAGACAAATGGAGAAATATGTGTACGTAGAGTCCTCAATTTCCGTTCGTGCGTCGCGAAAGGGTTCACAACGCTTGTCGGAACAACGATTGGAAAATTCTGCGGGTTATTCGTTATTCTTTTTTTTTAAACCGTCGAACGTAACGACGACTAGGCTGTTTCGACCCGAAACGAAAGTAAACGCGACTTCTGCGCCGCGGGAGCAGCGTTGCGTGTATCGTTTGAACGTAAACTGGCCCACGCCATTTAATTTTAAATATATCGATTGAAAGTGATCGTCTTTTTGTATCGAAGGATGTATCTGCGTGGAGAATGTCAGAGAATGAACATCTTGGGGTAAGTAATTAGTTTTCCTGTCTATTAACGGAATCCGTGGAACGAGTTGCGCGTCAATGCCCAAACGATTTATGGTCGTTGGAAACGTGACGAGTTTTCCCCACTTCGAGGGGCTTCCTGGCTAGTTCGGTCACGTGCTGCGCGACGCACGTGCGCAGAAACCAGAACCAGGTGTCGATTCAGCGATTCGAACTTGATTTTTGGTCACTTTTATGTACATATATGTCTTAAAATATTAATATCGACGACTCCGTGATGTTTCGACGCGGCGTTACGAAAGAATTTCTCGATAGGTATGAACTTAAAATGGAACGAATACGTTCGATGAGTTGCGAACAGTACGCGGACGTCTAATTTGTGCGCATATTCGTTGCGCAACACGTGACCAAAGTCGCTTAACAAGTGTGTTGAAACACGATCTCTTGGCACACCCCATGTGCTTACGAATCATTCGAAACCGTGGCAAACGATTATTGCCTTTCTGCTTATTTCGTTTAATAAAAGAAAAAAGAACGTACGCAACCAAAGTTTAACACACTTGATAATCCGAAATTGTATTATAACGCTACGACCGGAAACGCCGACTTGCACGAATGCTGCTCGATTGCGTTCAAGTTTCTTTTCGATGTTTCGTTAAGAATCTATATAAATAGATTACGCCTTTTGGTCTATTGCTTTTGTTAGGATGTTTCAGGGAGCATTTACGAAGAGTTTTTGTATTTCACGTAGACAGCTGTGAATAGAAAGTTTACATTAGCGACCTACTACGAATATAGCGTTTATTACCTACGTCTCTTGCGCTTCTGTTATCGATAAGCACACTGACATTAAACGTATCGTTCGAACTTCTCGCGTGATCGTGCGTGTATGCATCGTAGGCCGATCCCCAAAGATTTAAAAGAAGCAATAGTTAGCGATAGAACGTTTACTTGCAATTATTGCTTTAGTTAATTCTTTGTCTTTAAGGACTGGCCTATTAGGGCTGGAACTGATCGAATAGTTTACTATTTGAATATATATTGCGTTTCGTTGGTTAGTTTAGTTCCTATTGCGAAGTCTAAAGCATTCAGGAATGTATAAATTGTTTATCAACCTTTTATAGACGATTAACCCGTAATCTAATTGTCGATTCTTCTGTTCATTTACATCCTACTTCAGTTAAATGTTTGAATAGTCATTCAAATAGTTGAATATCCGAATAGACGTAAAAGAAGTTCCAACTCTAGTATGCATGTGAGCAACGAAGAAAATCCCCGTACAGAATTCTTGTGGATCCTCATCGACGATCGCGATCGATCGCACGACGCGGATCCGAGTCGTGCAATGACTCGAAATTTGCATATTATATCCATGTAAAAAGTACAATCCTATACACAAACTGAAACGAAACTATTTCTCTACTTTAATTAGGTATCAGTCCGTAGACGAAGCTGAAACAAAGTGAATTTTTAGAAACGCGCATTAGGTAAAGGACAACGGATCGTTCGTCCCGATTGGCAGATCTTATAAAAATATGCAATGAATACACGTATAATTAAAACGATCGAATGGTTTTCATAGAGATTCGAAAGAACGAAGGTTCAATTTAATAAATTTTATTGGGAGATTCTAGAGGCCAAAATAAGACGAAAATCAAGAATACCGATTTGTTGATGGAGGCTTCGTTAAAAAGTTATTAACAATTAAATTCAAAAATTTCAAATCGTTCTGGAGAAATTATTTTCGGTTGCGGGGGTCAATTACAATCATTTTTGGTAAATAGACATACCTCCGACATCCTACCCACTTTCTAGAAAAAAATTCGAGAAGGTGCTGAAATTTTTCGACGGAAAAATAAAATTTCAAATCGTTCTGGAGAAATTATTTTCGGTTGCGGGGGTCAATTACAATCATTTTTGGTGAACAGACATACCCCCGAAATTCTGCGCATTTTCGAGAAAAAAATTCAGTACGGACGGAACTTTAACCGTTAATAACTTTTTAACGAAGCCTCCATCGACAAATTGGTATTTTTGATTTTCGTCTTATTTTGTCCTCAAATTTTTCCCAGGGGTGACCGAGCACCCCGTACAATCTAAACGTAACGTCGAACAAATGCACCGGAAGCGACGTGGAGTTCTATGGGAACGATCCGATCGTGTCGTCGGTGATAAATCTCTCGCCTAAACGTTTTATTATTAACGAACGAGATAGCAGGTGCATGTAAAAAGTAATATTGATCTTATGCGAGCAAAGATCGTTCTTGCGTAATTCGACATATACGAGAAAGGCTCTTGTGAAACTTTTTAATTTATCTTTGTGGAATCTCCCGAACAAGCACGATTATCGAAGGCAGCACTGGTATGTATTGTAGATTACTCGAAATGATCGAAGAATATCGCTTAATAGAGGAATCTTCGTAATAAGATCATACGATACGTTATATTTCAAGCGAGCAAGTATTGAAACATTAGGTTCGATTCTAAAAGAAATTCGTTTTCTTTACGCTCTTTCTTTTCTATGCATAAACCTCTCTTTTTTTTCTTTTTTTTTTATAGAGAAACATGAATATGTGCGCGTGTATGCATAAAACATGGAATATAAAGGAACCCCATCCTGCGTACAATGTTTGACGAGTGATAATTTCGTAAGGTCGGTCCTCACACACGTGGAAACGTTCGAATGAAAGATGTACACACACCCATATGAACGTATACATGTATAGCGGAAAGAAAATACGTGTCCAGTAAAAGTGACGCATCTTGGAAAGTGTTTCTTGACAAAAATAAGGTCCTGTTCCATTTGTCCTCTCTAGCTATAGCAATATACGAGAATTCATAAATAATTATAGTTTCATTTATTGTCTCGCATCAAGGCAGTTTCTCTTTATCCTCCGAGTGTGATAACAGAACAAACAAACGAAAGATGAAATAAACTGATTTCCGTCATGTAAGGCCTACACGATCGTTTTCTGTAAGACTACGTTTCCATCGGGTTGAACGGAAAGTCTTTGCGTTTTTCTACGAGATGCTGTTGGTGTAAATCAATGCGGAGATTAATGACGTCATTTTTTAACGGCAGTCATATTTCTTAATAAACTAGCATTTTATTAAAATGTTATCAGTAGACATTGTTATTTTTAGTAACTGCGTCGTAAAAGAATTAAAAGAAGTAATCGATAAAATGCATATAACGCTGTACGAGTATCAACGTGTGGTTCTGCCTCTTACTTGTCAACAAAATGGACGATGACAAGTTTATTTTTCATGAGAAAATTATTTGACAACGGTGTCATGCAACAGGAGACATCAAAATCCAACACGAAAAAAGTTTTACATTTTAGAAAAAACAACCTGCGTCTCGTAAAACGTACTAGGTTGAGTTTCTTAATATAAGCACTTCTAACCCAGGGATAACATTTTTCAATAATTTCTTAAAATATCATCGATTCCCTCGATATTGCATTTTGTGGAATTTAGGTATTTAGTTTATGACACGTCCATGAAGCACAAAATTGGACAAAATAATACGCGATCAGTAAACAGCAAATAATAGAAGGAACGTATTTCATCAAATTATAGATGTCAACATTAAATACTGTTTGTGGTGTCATTGCATTTTAACCATACTAATTCAGTATTAACCTTAACAAGTTGGTACGAGCGGTTCTAATTGAGTAGTTTGTGGAAAGTAGGTAGTAACGCAAACGTTTTATTACTGAACGCACAATTCTATTTAGGGGAGTGCACTTACCATGCTATTTGTTTCCATTAATGAGAGTGTTTAACCATAGACGAACGTAGAAAATAGACATTCCATCTCATGGCAATTGATGTCACATAAACTGAAATACCGATCTGGTAAAATATCAGTGGTTTTCAAGCGACCTCTTAATTTACGGTGATTTTTTACTGTTAAAATTTTTTTTTTTACCTCGTCCGCTACCATAGATGTATCTTTAGCGCAAAAAGAGGTGCATGTTGGGAATTCCCATGTTTTGTATAAAATTGAACTTTCTACTTCAAATGCTCGCCAATCACACAAAAATTAACTTATCGAAAATCCCCTACGTATTTCTCTAGCTATACTCATGTAGATTAAGAGAAAATTTTTTGTTTTTGTCTCTTTACCTGTAACTTCCTTAAATTTTGTTCCTTGGTGGGATCCAACGGTACCCTAAATTCTCGTTAATGCGCTCCAGTGCGCATGACCAAAATTCCCACGAATGTCCATCACTGCCCGGAGCTCCGTTTGGAATTGTCGACTTTCCCTACCAGTAGGCTACCACTCCGTTAGACGCTAAGGAAGTTCGTCGTTACCACGTGAAAACGAGTCGTGTTTTTGATTGTTTATGCGCAAACATTTCGTTACATTTAGAGACACTAAACAGTTTTGATCTAAATGTCGAGAATTGTTCTTCAGATTTGAGTGTACTTACAAAAATAATGAAAAAGGCAATCTCTACTATAAAAAAAAATATTGTGAAACTAACCTCGCTTTTTATATTAACATAAACGTAACTATCTATTATCCTGCAAATATAGCCAATTTTAATAATATTTGCGAACGATTATAAAAAAGAATTTATCGCTATTGTCGAAATAATTTCTTAGGTTTTGTGTTACCCAATGATAAAATAATGGAGGATGTTGCTACTCCAACTCCTCAGGATCTACAAAGGAAGCTATACTTTTTAGTAGAGCAACTTCAGCACATGGCTGGCGAACTTCCTGCAAAATATCAAATGCGACTTCCTTACGAGTTATTATCTGGTTTAGCAAATTCTCTACTGAACGATACAATATTTGAAATTGTCAAAGGATTGATGGAAATTCAACACGTTACAGAGAAGCATCTTTTCCAACAACGTCTTCAATTGTTAAATCAACAAAAAATTGAAATGCAAGAAGCATTATCACCTACATTGACAGATGAAGAAAGAGTAACAATAAAAGCAGCATTGTATAAAAAACACAGGGAGGAATTGAAACAAATGGATATGAAACTAGTTTTGCAATTAGATCAGAAAGTAGCAGATCAACAAAGCATTTTAGAAAAGGCTGGTGTGCCTGGATTTTACGTAACAAATAATCCTATAGAAATTCAAGTACAAATGAGACTATGCGATTTTATCATTCGACTGAGTAAAATGGAAGTTCCAAGTTAATGTAGTTATTTATAGAAGATTGTACATAAATAATTTTCTACTATTCTTCTAATTGCTATTTTTAAAGAAATTTTAAGTTGTACAATTCGTTGCAACTATTTATTTATGTTCAACATTGTACAATAAGTTAATAATATAGTTTTTACTTTTGTACAAGTAGTATTTTGGTTTTAAAAATAATTCCTTATTTTTAAATTTTTGGAGAAACATAACTGGTTTTCATAGAGATTCTAATAGTCGGAACATTAGCAGTTGTATGTTTATAAACAACATACTTTTAATTTTATTAGTCAACAATTTCTGATGACACTTTGCATTGATCATGTATATCTGGTAATATTAATTAATTTCAAATCAAATCAATTCAAATGATAAATCTTATTTACACTATATCGTGAACATTAAATCCTGTTATTGAATTATTACACCATGCGTAAAAATGAGAAAAGATATTATATTGTATTTACATTACTTTTTTTTAACATAACCGTTTATAAAAGAGAATATTGTTACACACAGGCAGTTGAATTAAATACCCTATTTTAGAATTCTTTAATTTATTGATATATAAAGTAAAGAAATGAATACTTTATTTATCTATGAATATAGAAAGTAATGAAATCGGATACTTTATTAATGCAATCTTAATAAAAATTATGTTTTTAAAACTTTAAAAGATTACGTCTCTGCATTCATTTTAACAGTATTATATACAATAGTACGTATTAAAATAGATTTTAAAGTCCAATGGTTTCAAGTGGACCATGTGCATATTCAATTGTATATAATTTTTCTTTACATTACATAAGTACTTAGCTTTTAACAAGTACAATCGTCACTTTTACCTAGAAGCGGCGCAGTTTGTGAAGCCGGAACATTAAAATCTATGGGATTTTGGTGGCGTAGATTTTCAGAGTCCTGCTCTCCTGCAAAACATATACGATACACGTCCTCAAAAGTCGTAGCAAAATGAACTTCGAGACCATCCGTGATATATTTAGGTAGGTCGTTGTAATCTTTCTTATTTTCTTCGGGTAAAATTACACAGTTTACACCAACTCGTTTCGCCTATTAATATATGAATTAATAAAATATAGAATATTAAAAGTAAATCGTAACAAAGTCATGTGTTCGTTATACTTACAGCAATTATTTTCTCTTTAATACCACCGACAGGAAGAACTCTTCCTATAAGACTAAGTTCTCCCGTCATGGCAACGTTCTGTCTAATTGCTTTATTTTTAGCGAGTGAAATTAATGCTATTGCAATAGTAATCCCTGCGCTAGGGCCATCTTTCGGAGTTGCACCCTCGGGCACATGCAAATGCAAATGAGCATCGTACAGGAAAGTGTTAGATGGATCTTCTTGGTTCAAGAATTTCCTCGCCACTGTCATTGCTATTTGGATAGATTCTTTCATTACATCACCCAAATGTCCAGTGACTTCGAAGGTACCTTCCAATTTTTTTGAACCAAAAGGCTTTCTAATTGTCGTCTCAATGAATAACGTGGAGCCTCCCATAGCAGTCCACGCAAGACCCATAACTACCCCAGGGGGCGTGACCTCGTACATTCTGTCGTGCGTAAACACTGGTTTCCCCACAAATTCGTGTAAATTCTCTGAGGATACGTCAATTTTTTCTGCTTCTTTCTTTACAACTTTGAACGCCACCTTCCGATGAACTTTCTCTATATGTTTCTGAAGACTCCTTACGCCTGACTCTCGACAGTAAAATTTAATTAATAAGTTAAGTGCGTCGTTGTTTATATTAATCTGTTCGCTAGATAGTCCTGAATCGGTCATAGCTTGGGGCACTAAATATTGATTAGCAATTGCAAGCTTCTCTTCCGCAACGTAACCCGACATATCTATCATTTCCATACGATCTCTAAGAGGCTCTGGAATAGTGTCGATCACGTTCGCTGTACAGATGAAAAGAACTTTCGACAAATCGACGGCGACATCTAAATAATGATCCAAGAAATTTGCGTTCTGTTCTGGATCCAGCATTTCGAGAAGAGCGGAAGCTGGATCACCTTGATGACCTCTAGTAATTATACAAAAATAGAATATATAATCGTATTAATTATAAATGAGATTAGTAATTACATACTTTCCAATCTTATCGACTTCGTCTATGAGAACTAATGGGTTTTCAGTCTTTGTTTTTTTCAAACATTGAATAATCTTTCCTGGCATAGCGCCCACATACGTTCGTCTATGGCCTTTGATTTCTGCAACATCTGTCATTCCCCCGACACTAAATCTAAAATATTCTCTATTAAGTGCACGAGAGATCGATTTGGCTATCGATGTTTTTCCAACGCCTGGTGGACCATGGAAACATAATATTTTTCCTTGTGTTGAACCTTTTAATTGACTGACAGCAATAAATTCTACATTTGAAAAAAAAAACCAAGGTAAATATATGCAATAAATATGTTCGTAATTTTCAAATATTCAATTACCTAGAATTCGTTTCTTTATGTCTTCCATTCCATAATGATCTTTATCCAATATCTCAATCGCTTGTTGAAGATTTAAATTTTCAGGACTAGTTACACCCCAAGGCATAGAAGTGAGCCAATCTAAGTAATTTCTTGTAACACTGAAAACAAAATTGTACTATCACAACATAAAGTAGTTACATCATTTAAGTTAGAAATTATGTTTTCAATTGCATTAATTATATTGAACATATTTTTATGCAATAGTTATAAAATTTGTATATACTTGAATTCGCTACTATGACTCTCCAAAAAATTTAATTTATTTAATTCTTCTTCGAGCACATCCATTACTGGTTTCGGAACTGTTTTCTGCCTTATTCGTTCTCTATATTTTTCTCCTATCGCGTCTTTATCGTCTTTTTCTAGTCCCAATTCCTTTTTGATAACTTTCAATTGTTCGTGAAGAATATATTTTCTATGTTGCTGTTTAACCTTTTCCTCTACTTCCTTGCCAATTTTTTGTTGAAGTTTACTTAATTCATATTCTTTTTTTAAAAGCGCGAGCGACAGTCTTAATCTTTTCAAAATCTGCAAATGAAATTGCTCTTCAATTTTTGAAAGATCAATTCTTTCAGCAATATGTTAAGAATAATTCACTTACATCCATTTCTTCTAACACTTGTTGTAATTCTTGTGCATCTGCTCCTGTTAAGGCTGCACCTAAATCGCTCAAATAAACTGGATTATCCACAACTCTTTGACCTTGGTGTAGCATTTGTTGCAAAGACTCACGATATAATGGATTCATACTTATTATATCCCGAATTGTTTTAATTAATTCTTGTGTTAAAGCCTATATATTAAATTAAATTTTTAAAAAATATTTATTACAATACATTTATCTTGTTTTATAAGTAAATTATTACGAAATACTTTCTATATTTACCTTAATTTCTTCTGTTTGCTTGAATTTCTCATGAGTAATATTTACTACTTCTACCATTAATAATGGCTGAGAACTAGCTTGAGGATTAGATTCTGCTCCTGTATTAACTGTTCCTTCCGTGTTTTCTGGTGGCTTTTCTGATACTTTACTTTCAGGAGTACTTGTCTCCTCCAATTTTTTGGTTTTCTCCGTTTCTGATATTCTGCTCTTACGTATGAACGATCTACGACTCGGTTTGCTACCAGATACTGAATCGTCTACAGGGACGTGAATTGTTGTATTTAATAGCGGAAACGTCAGTTTCATCTCTGCGTAGCAGGTAGTACAGAATTTATATATAAATTATTTGAATATATGAAAGAAAGAAATTTATTAAAATTAATTTGCAACAGTATAGAATCAAAGTTTTGCTTTTTACAGTAAAAATACATGCTAAAAAATTGAGTATTTTTTCAAGCAACAAAAAATTATTTTATAAACTTTTTTTTAGGAAATAAAATCACGTTTGTCATTTATTTGACTCTCAGTCATTAAGTTACTAAAATATATTTAGTTACTTGGCAATTAAACCGAGTCTCTGTTACTTACCATGTGTAGATTTTGGAGTAATCTCTTCCAAAATTTGACCAACAATTTTAATCCTTCTATGTGCCATCACAACTAATCTTAATCGATTGCCTAAATCTTGTACTTCGTGTATCTGTGCAAATGTTCCAACAGAATAAATATCATCTAAGCTTTGTACAAGTTCTGCTTCATTTCTACCAAAATAATTACAATCAGAAATAAGAATGGCAATCCTTTATGAATTTAAATGTAGATATTACTTACTCTTCTGTTTTCTTTAAGAAAATTCCAACATAAGGTTGATTTAATTTTACTTTTCTACGAACTAAATCCATGAGGATTGGATTACTAAGTTCAATAAGCTTTATAAATCTGGGGAACACTGGATTTCTATTAATTGCTATGACAGGAAGATGAGGCCATACTTCAGGTACAACAACAGTAGCTGGTAAAGAAGCTGGATCTTCCATCTGTTCTCCGTCATTTTCACTGAGAATCAAAATATAATTTTGTTCCTTATAAGCACAATATCAATATATGTACTATTACACTGTGATTTTTATATAAATTATTTATACTGAAATTAGTACATAATATACAGAATAAGGAATACTATTAAAGATGCTTAATAAAATACTCCCTTCAAATATTAATTAAAAAGATTATAATCAATATTTTTAAAATACTACTGGATTAACTTATAAGTTTGTCATTAGACAGAATCGTGTTAAAACTTATATACATAAGTCGTTGTAAAAGGGGGGTTTTAATGCGACTTAAAAAATTAAAAATAATGAGACTTACTTTGGTGGATCCTTATCACTATGTTTTCTAGATGCGAACGATCTAATTGAAATTATAGCTGCAGTGTGTCGATGGCTATTAGTACTCCTAACGAATGTCCCAAAACAAAACTCTGTTCTCCTAAATTGTGATGGTTCTACGCGTGTCGACAATTCATGATAATTCAAACGACGATTTCTGCAGAAGGATCGAACATTTGTCGCACAATGTCGAAAAACAGGCAAAATCTTGAAATTGACCGCTGTTACGAAACGCATCGTTCTGAATTTGGCTCACAATTCGCGTAAATGTCGTTCGTTCATTCAATTCACTTAGAATTCGTTGTGAGGTTATAACCGTAAATGCAGCACACGATCGGTCTGATGAAACTCCGCTAACCTAGAAGAAATACATATGTGTTGATCAGCTGTTTGTGTGCATATTGGACTAAGCAGATAAACGTTCGATTTGTTCTATAATATATTGATACCGGTTCACATTTTTTGTTGTACAATAGATATATCAATTAATTTCAACATGACAATAACGAGATAAAAAGACAGTGATATTCGTTTGTTGTTTCAACGATATGTATATCTTTTATGCAAAAAGGTTTTAGTTTATAGAGTTAGAACACTATTTCGACGATAACGAATACCAAAGTGAATACAGATAAAATAGTACTTTAAATATGATATGAAAACTTACAAAATAAAATAGATAAAATTATAATTTAGAGCTGATCGAATTTTATGGAGAATACTTCAAATAAAATTCAAATTTTTGAATTTTGTTGTTTTTGTTTCTATTTTTACTAGAAAATAGAGAAGGAGATTAACCATGAATCCAAACAACAAATTTAATCAATGTCTTGAACATTACTCTATTTAGGTAATAACTTCATGCAATATAATTATTTTTTGTAATATTTATAATTTTATTGTTTTAAACAGTACGTTAAATTCTAGTATTGTGGCGTCGCCTCCCATGTTCGCCACCAGAGGGGTCGCGCTCTCACAAGCTCGACCTGCTCGACCGACCCCCGAATATTTATACATATATTCCTCAAACGACTTCCGGAGTCGGGAAATTCCTGGCATCCCAGTCGTCTAAGGCAGGACCTGCTCTCCTTTGCTTTTCTGTCCTCCTACGAGATTCTCACGAGTTCCTAACCTGCAGCAAAAAAGCGCAGCGGCACAGTATAAAAGTACACACAATGTAATAAAGGAATATTGGTTGTATGTAATTGAAATTACTCTGTAACTTTCTATACTTGACATTATTATTGGAGTTTTCAATACGTTGGCTTTCAATACAGTATAATAGGAGAATGATACTTTTTAGAATCTGAAAAGAAAGTGTTGGTATTAGATATTCCATTTTTAAGCTGATTCGATTGTATTGGAACTTACTTGAATTACATCTATCCACTTTCTTCTTTCCGACCATCGAACTATAGTCGAGAGAAAGACCGGAATAAGTTGAAACAGAGATAAATGGATATAAAGAAATTTTTACGATAGTGGGTATTTGCACAACTCAATCAGGATAAGACGAGAGAAAGTTCTTGCTCGAACTTTGAACAATAGGGTGTACGTGTAAAGGGGTAAATATTAGCGGACGTTATTCCGTTATTTCAAGTTCTTCTATAATGAACTTCTATAATGAAAAGTAAATGTTAATGTTGGTTATTGATGTCGTCTGTAAAGTAAGATAATTTCGTTTTCTTAATTATAGGGTTTTCCGATAAGAATGATAAAACTTTCAACTGTCATAACCGCCATATTTGTTATTCACTTGTTCGATGCTTCCATATACTACGGTTACGGCACTTCATGAAAAACAGAATTTGATTGTAAGCTGTCTACGCGCATCGTGTCGTCACATCCCCAACTCGGCTACGTCATTTTCGTTACTAATAACTTTAGTTGTTACTTTGCGACTGCTCTGTCATAAACTTTCGCAACGGCAAAAATCATGATTTCTACTACTACGTAAAAATGAATCATGCGCATGCATGAAGAAGCTAGTAAATTTAATCATATTGTGTTCGTGTTACAAGTTAATGTCTGATACAGAACATTTGTTTAAGGTTAGAAAAAAACCGACATTCGAGTTATAGAAGTCTTGTACATATTTCTTTCTGTTCATGCATATGCAGTTTTAATGTTTGAATTCATTTAAATGGCATTCTTAAAAAACTTAACAAATTTATGTCTTTATCGAATACAATTCTATTGTGTACACAATGCACCATCAGCTTTTTTTTCAATGTTTCATCGTTTTAAGAGGAACCAAAAAATAATAAGCAGAGATACTATCGTAACTTTACAAAAACAGTATGAAGAAAAGTTATTAAATTCTCATGTATCAAAGGAAACATGGGAAGGGTTAAAGAAAGATTTATTAGATATGCAGCGTTTTGAACCAACATCTGTTGACACTGTTATCATGGAGTTATGCTGCGATGAAAGATTTGTAGATGCAGGATTATCTTATTACAATTTTATGATGCAAAATAATCCTCAACTATCTGCAGCTATTACTAGCAAATTGTTTAAATTGTATGAAAAAAAACCGAGTCCAATTACAGAAGCAGAAAAAGTATACCTTTCAGATCTATATAAAACTATGATAGAACGATATGTAGTATTAGACCAGTTGACAACTTCTTATTATATTGGAGTTTTGTGTAAAACTGGCCAATGGAAAAAAAGCATTGATGTTATCAAATATTATGAAGGACATAACTCAAAATTTCTTAAAATTGGGTATAGTTCCTTGATTAATTATTTTCTTGAAAATGGCATGATGAAACTTGCAGAAAAATATTTACTTTGCATTTTTGAAAGAAGTTATGCACCTTGTAATGATGTATATATTAACTACTTGAAATATTGTTTAAAAGAAATGAAAACATTTAATGAAAATATTGAGAAATTATTTACATTATGGAGAGACTATGATATAAAACCACATATGGATGTTGTAACAGAATATATGAAGACTTGTAATGCAGTTGGTTGGTTTGCAGAAATAACAACAATAAAAGAGTAAAATATATCCATAAATGTATTTACATCTACTTTTAAAGATTTTCTTTTTATTAATGTATTCTTAATTTTTTATATAGTTCAATGTGTCAAATATGTAAACAAAATCTATCAGCAGCAAAATTATCTGAAGAGGAGTTTGAGTATTTGTCTAATTCTGTAATGCAAAAATTTTTGGTTGATAAGAATTATGAGATAAGTCACCCAAAAGAACTAAAACGCTTTATTGATTTTATCGATAAGACTAAACCATTTGATGTTGTAATAGATGGATTAAATGTTTTATATTCGAATAATAATAGTTCACATTCACAGAAATATATGAATGTATGTAATACCCATTTTACATCTTTTGATTTATTCTAAAGTATCATGAAAATTTAATTAAACTAATTTTACAGGTGCAGAGACTTTTTACCAATTTTGTGGACCAAAAGGTGCTTATTATTGGACGGCAGCACATGAAATGTATTCCAATCGTAAAAAATTTGCAAGAACAAGCAACTTTTTTCTTTGTAGATAATATGTATGTATCAAAGTGATTATTAATATGTTATTTATTATATATAAACATAATTGCATTGTCTTCATATTTTAGATCAAAGGATGATCCATTTTTGCTATATGCAGCATTAGCAAGTAAAAGTAATACCAAAATTATATCCAATGACTTTATGCGTCAACATAAATTTTGCCTTGATGATTCGAAATTACGTATTCTTTTTAAGAAATGGCAATGCACACATCAATACAAAATGGTTGAAAGTCGAAACTCCGTTCAATTGAAGTTGCTTAACAGTGTTGGATGTGATGGTTTACATTACGTACATTCTGGCGCTCAAAAACATAACAATTGTTGGCATGTACCATTTCAAAATGCTTCTACCACCGCAATGAATGTAGAATATGTACATGAAAAGAATTGGATTTGTTTTAACATGTGTAACAGCAAATCTAGATAAATAATGAAAAGTATACATATTTTGTTACAACATTCTATAATTCTCATTGTTAGCTAAGTATTTTGATCTTTCTACGTAATTCAGAAAGAGCAAGATTAAAACAAAATAACCTAATCCAAAACTATTGTCACATACGTGTGATTCTGTAGAATCTAATAAAATAAAAGTAGAAAAAGAATTTTACAACAACCAAAAAGCAACTTTTTATCAATTAAAATGAAATTAACATTTTCACGAATCAACAAGTAATGCGTGTCTTTAAATAATTTAAAATAAGACGAAGGATTTTCGTCGTGGGTAAGACCGAGCTAATGACTTCGAATTTAAAATAGTTTCTTTAAGTATCGGATAAAATTGTTAATAATAACAACCCTATACGTTATGTAAGAGGGAAAAAGACTGTTCTACGTTTGCTAACTTTACCAATTTCAGTAGTTTGGTTAACTATAATTTCTAAAGCCACCGTTCTTCAAACATAAAGATTGCTTTAAAACTTGATGATTGGGATGTTAGTTCATTAAACGATAGGTCTATTCTACATCTCTTTTATGATGTACAGCTAGGATTACATAAGTCAGAAAATAAAAATGCCTAGGCAGTTGAGATTCGAAATTGTATGCCATTGACGTAAGATCGGACTTCAGCTGTTCATGATCGAGTAGGAAAGGCACACATTTACGTTCTTTCTCCACTCCTCAAAGTTGTTCGAAACACCAATTGGACATTTCGGATGAATTGAGGAAGAAAGTAAATGTGAGCCTTCCTCTCGCAACTTCCTCGAGACGTTCGAAGTGCACTGCATCCGCGCTCGCTTCGGGCAGTTTCGGAGAATTCAGAAAGAGGGCGAGTGTCAGTTTGTCTTTCTCGACACTCCGAACTCTACGAGCGTTCACGTACGCTCGCTCTGGCATAGTGTGCGAATGTGGAATGAGGACGGTGTACCGAGATTGGAAACGCATTTTCCATATTCCTATAAATATTTTCATCTCAACGATTTCAACGGTTTTGAATACATATTCCGATTTTTGAGTATTTTGGTGTAAAATCAATTTTAGTTATCTATTTGAGTTTCTTATTGGAGAACCCTTAGTAACAGGCAACTCGGTATTTACACACGTCGAAACTAAAACTCAAAATTTCTAATAATTTTATTTCGACAAACGATAGTGAGTGACAATTAGTTTTTACACCATGCCCTTTCCAACGTATATAACATTTTAGATTCTGATCAATAAAAATAATATATGTATTTAATTTTGTAATGTTCAAGATTTATTTCGAATTTTTGTAAACGTAGGTAACTCGTTATATTCGTTATTAATACTTTTATATATAAAATAAAATGTTAAATAGAATATAGTAATCAACAATGAAAAAATATGCAACATGTGCAAGATCTAAAACTTACCCATATAAAGCTACTGTAAATACCGAAGAGAATCAAGCAACAGATTTACAGAAATTTAGTACAAGTAAACTTTTTAATTTATGATTTTGTCGATATTATTTGATGAGTATTTTGATTCTATTTAGTAAATGAATTTATTATTAACAAAAATGAATAATTTTCTTGTCGGTTTTAATTATAGGAATCATGTGTTCTGCTAATATTACCAGACAGAATTTAAATCAAAGATCAAACATTTCAACTCCGTCAGACGACGATGACGAATTTTTTCAAAAGTTAAAATCTGAAATAGACAAAGATCTTTTATCGTAAGAAAATTGTTATCATATTGTATCGTTCATAATTTTTAGTTATAATCTGTAATATGTCTTTGTATACTTAGACATTCGAAAGAAAACTACAAGCCAAACACTAATTATCAAGATATAGCATTATTGAAAAAAAAAAGACCTATAATCGACGAAGAAACTCAAAATGTAATTAAAAGATTTAAGAAGGATACAAAGCTTACAAATTTCACGCAAACATTAGGCGGCAAAAGTAATATGCAATCTAATTATGTTGTTAAGACACATGATGTATCAACAAATACAGTTGCTGAAAGTAGGCGACGGAAAGATATATTTACGTCTAATATTTTAAATGAAAATCTCAGGTATTCTTTTAGAAAATAAAGTTAATAGTTATATATACGTAATATATAATTATAGACACTAAATTATTATTACATAGGTTATGGTTTTACAATAGCAACATGTGATAAGTTTCGCGCCTAATTAACCCTTCTGTGGGCAACAGGTTACCCTGGTACCCATTTATATATGTATTTCTTTTCTGTTTTTTTTTCTACAAAATATTACTAATCGATGTATAATTTAAAAAAAAATATTATCTAAAATACTTGCACAATTTTAGAGATCCTCTCAGTAAATATATATTTCAAATGAGTTCGAAGGTACAACAGAACGACGTTTTACCTTTATCAACAAACGAAGCAGCCGTTACTTGTATAGAGTATGAAGAATTTCAGTTCTATGCAATGACATATCTTACTCCTCCAAATAGTAATTTAAACGAGGATAATTAAAATTTTTAAATTATAATGTTACATCTACTAAAACGTAAAATATGTTATTAAAAGATAAATGAAAGTCTGAGTATATTTAGCAATAATTATTTTCATTTTAAACGTGTTATTTATTCCAAGTAAATTTTGTAAAATTGTTTATTGTAATAATAAAATTACTAAATTCTCTTTGTTTTATTGTTTATTTTCTTCAACCACACTTCATATATTAATAAAATTGAAGAATTTTTATTATGAAACATATACAATTTCTGGTAGTGATATCGATAATAAATTTTAAATGAACATACATCATTGGTCATTCGAGCCGATAGGCATGTGTCATTATTTTACAAATTCAAAACAATTTGACATTAATAATTAATATTTATGATTAACGCTTTCAAAGATTAGATTAACATTTACATTGACCATTCTTTACAGGAAATTATTTCTTACTTAATGTAAAAAATTCAGTAATATTCTTCTTCAATTCAGATTTTATCATACCTAACCTAGCTTAATATTTGTTATCTAACCAGTTTGTAATATTATTACAGGTAAACAAATTTTTAAAACGTCAAACAGTGAGACAATTTTTTATTAAATGTTTAACTATGCTGGCAGTTTATAATAATTACGAACATAATTGCAATATCGTAATGGGTTATTTATTTTAAACAATGAACTGACTGTATATACATTAGTTTAAAGCAATGAGTGAATTTAAATTGCATCATTTAGTGGTTGAATTGATTGGGCTATTAGGGTGAGTAAAAGTGACATGTTCCATAAAATTGTTTTTCTTTTAAATGTAGTTAAATATTGTTTGCAATTTTTAAACCATTCTAAACTACTGTTATGTACTTATAAGTTTTATAAAATTCGATAACAAAGACATACATTATAATGTAAAAATATATATAGTGTGTATTTATTGGTCAAACAGGTCAACTTCTGCACCTGAAAAACATGTAGAAAAATTACAGAAAGAAGGTATACCTACAAGCGCGAGTGCTTTGACTATTGTTGCTTCGCAAAGTTCTATTCGTAATTTAGCAAAAAGTTCTCCATTTCCTGAATTATTTCTTCAAAAATATGAAGAATTAAAAGCAAAAAAGTAAATACCTTTATGCGTATATTTATGTAAATTTATCATAAACAAGTTGAGTTAACATTTACTTTTTTTTTCTTTTTTTAGGATAGATCTATTGGGATTATTTATACAAGTCTTGGAACTCATATCTGAAGATAAAAAATTGAAGAATTACTTGGCTAGACAAGTATTGGCGTTAGCATCAAATTCTAGTGAAAATGCTGCCATTACTACAGAAGATTTACCACAGGTTTTTCTTTTTTTGTTAGAGATTAATTTAATAATTGTTAAGTTCAAATCATTTGTCTTTTAAATATAGATATTTTGTCAATTGTAGCAAGTTCTCGAGTTATACGAATTCATAGATACAGAGTTGTACCTGCGCTTATTTCCTTATACATATTTTCTGTATACATAGAAGCATATAGAAAAATAAATTTTATTTGTATTCTAAACTATATTTTGTCCAATGTAGATATGTAAAAATGTAATCAAGGCTGCTGTGGAAGGAGAAAAAAAATTAAATAAGCATGTAGGTGCAATTGCAAAGAAAGCAGAATCGTCTATGATAAAGCACAACTGGATTCATGAGAGACCTCGAATGACTTGGGACTTCTATAATGAGTCTGGCATATCACCATGTCAAAGTAAAACACTTTCTAAACAAATATTAAGAGCTAACACGATTAATTTACTGAGTAATAAAATATTTGCAGAGGTTGTGCCTGTTGCATCTCAAGAATCTGTATTACTTTGGGATCTTTTGTACTGTTTAAAGGGTATAGACGGGTCTTATATAGTTTCTGAACCTTTAACAAGTCCGTATGCGGTGAAAACGTTTAGCATATCTTCGGATGTTTGTAAGTAAAAAGATGAAATTAGTTTCGTATTTTATTATAAAGCATAATACTGGTATGTATTATTGTTTGTAGGTATATCGTATAAACAAATGTCGCAACAAATATTACCTCTTGCATCGCACTACTCCATGGCAGCCAGATTCGTCGAGGAAAAAGTTTTACCTGAAGATGGACAAGTAAATCATGCTTTGAGAGGAGCTATAAAGAGTTTACTGAGAGATTATTTAGTATGTATTATAATACATTATTTGTGTGCATTTAAATTGAAATGATTTACTCGCGAATTGTAAAATCATTTTGTATTTGAAATTTTTCAGCTATTTATTGTACAATTGGAAACAGAGCATATCCGTGGCAAATTAAATTTACAGAAATTGTGGTTTTATATACAGCCCACTATAATTGCAATGTCTATTCTCTTCCAAATTACATCCACTATATGCAAGGTCAGTTATAATCTCTATCGTAATATTTTTTTTAAATTTGTTGTCCATTTCGTTGTCATGTAACAATGAGCTTGTCATTAGGCAAACGCGAAAGGTGGGAAAGTACTTAGTCTTCTGCACGAGCAAGCAAATAATATTAGTGGCGAGGCAAAGTTTAAAGAATTATGTATGTTTCTTATACAAGCAGCAAGCATTCCTTATATGCAAATATTAGAAAAATGGGTGTACAAAGGTGTAATATGTGATCCATATGAAGAGGTAAAAACGATGCGTTAATATTTAAATTATTATAATAGACTGTATCCTTATACAAATCTATTTATTTATTTTATTTTTGAATATCTTAATAAATTTTTATTCTCCGTTTTGCAGTTTTTTGTGGAAGATAATGAATTAATTCAAAGAGAGGAATTGCCTATAGATTATTCTGCGGATTACTGGGAGAAAAGATATACTATGAGGTCAGAGAGAATTCCCACGTTTCTTAACGAGCATGCACAAACAATTTTAAGAACTGGGAAATATTTTAATGTAATTAGACAGTGTGGTATGTAATGTTTTATATGCATATTTTGGAATACGATTATTATTTATAACGCGACAATGTAATTTAACAAAAAACGTTTAAATGAAACACTGTGGAAGTGTATTGAAATTATTTTGATAGGTAAAACAATTCAATGGGGAAAACAAGAACCTTTAGTCTATCAACATCAAGGACAGAAATATATAGCTACTATCGATAGAGCATATTTTGAAGCAGCAAAAACTTTATTAGAAGTTCTCATACATGAAAATGATTTAATGGGACGACTTCGTAGCGTGAAAAGTTATTTTCTTCTTGCACAAGGAGATTTTGTAGTAAGTTTACTTAATTAAATATTTTATTAATAACCTACTCAACATCTTAGATATTATTTACTACAATTCAATCGCAGGTTCAATTCATGAATCTGTGTGAAACAGAATTAAATAAAAGTATGTACGATATTGTCATCCATCGATTGGCATCGCTTCTTGAAGTTGCGTTGCGTATGTCGACTGCAGATTCAGATCCGTACAAAGATGATTTAAAACCTGAACTTTTACCATACGATCTTCAGTTTCAAATGTTTAGAATACTTTCGATTCAAACCAGAGACGAGAAAGGTATATTTCATACATATAACCAAGTTTTTATTATAATTTATAGCCACTGTCTCTAACAAGATTTCCTATTTCAGAGTATTACTTTCAAAATGACAAAACATTAACCGGTTTAGAAGCGTTTGTATTTAATTATGACGTTAAGTGGCCTGTTTCTTTAATACTTAATAGAAAAGCGATTGCTTGCTATCAAATGCTATTCAGACATTTATTTTATTGCAAATACATTGAAAGACGCTTATGCAGGTTGGTATATAAATTTAGTAATTCTGGTAAATACTTTGTATTTTATAGACAACAGTATTAGATGAATGATATAAAGTAGAGAACAATGCAAATAATATTGTTTTAGAGTATGGATTGCTAATAAAATCGCAAAAACTTTTACTCATAACGTGGCAATGTCGTATAGAAAAGCATTTTCATTGCGGCAACGAATGCTCGATTGTATTCAACATCTGGCGTATTATATGATGGTTGAAGTTATAGAACCGAATTGGCTCACATTTATAAATAAAATGAATAAGGTAGGATAACCGATCTTCATTTTTTGTTAAACGTAAGCCTTAACAATTTTAAATAAACCGCCGAATTTTGCCAACATAGTAAAAAGTATTATATACATTATACAGAAGATCGTATTCTTTGAAATATAAATTCAAATTTACTACCTCTGTATTAGGTCAGCAACGTGGACGATGTTTTAAGCGTACACCAAGGCTTACAAGATAGTTACTTGAAGGAGTGTATGCTAACAGATCCAGATCTTCTTGGCTTCATCACGGGTATCTGTGCCTCCTGTATCGATTTTTGTAATTTCATGGAGGTAAGTTTTGTGATCTTAGCATACAAATGTACAAAAATTGTACAGGTAACTTAGAGTTATTACATGGTACGTGTATATGGTACACATACATACACAAAATATAAATTAAACTTTTTGTCTAAGTTGCATTCTTTGCTTTGATTCAAATACCTTTGTTATTCGATATATAGCATAAACTAGGTGCTATAGGTCTTTTTTATAAAATTACTACACACAGATATGTATATTTAGAATTGATACATTGAATATTGTCAGGTATACAAAATAAATCTGCATGACGTGTTTATTATTGACATCTGGTCATTAGTGCGATACTTTCTATATTAAATGTTTGTAAAAAAGGATAAATTTAGTAGTAAAATGTTATAAATATTTTGCTGATCTTAAGCGTATGAGCCCATACTACATTGACGCCGAATTGACTTCCATGATTGGTGCCTATCAGGAAGATGTCTATGATTTTGAGGTATATCCCTAAACTTATAATTCTGCTTCCATGCATTTTCGTAGTATTAGAATCATGAAGCTTTTCTTTTCTAGCAAATAAAAATCAACATAGAAATCTTCTTTACATTATTATTTACTAGGAATACGTTTTGAAATTCGCATGAATATTTTGTACGTATAATATGGAAAAGTTTTAAATTCATTGAAGCAAGTTACATTTTTTTATATTAATAGTTTCAATAACAAAAGGGAATAAGTAAATTTGAATTTTTTTGATTATATTAATCTGTATAATTTATGCTAGTAAATTTTAAACATCTTCAATCACAGTAATAACAACATTGTTTATTACTTTTTTTCATTTTACATAGAATCATTAGCAGTTTTCAATAATCATTTAGTAAAATTTCAGAAAGGGAAAGGGCCTCTTAAAGTAATTAGCTCAAGTCCTGATAAGTCTAGATTCGCCACTGATCATTTTCATTGCTATTAAGCTATTTATTATTATTATTAGTATCTTAAATACAATAATAGAAGAACTTAGAGAAAATGTAATTTCTCAATAAATCTTCTCTTCCTTGTACAATATGTGTCTCATTACATGTAGTAACTATGTGTATTAATAAAAATTAATATATCGACAAAATGTATTAAATCTAAGACGTAAAACGAAAAGTTAAGTTGTGTAATTTATGCCTGATAAAGATATAAAATTTGTTTAAATTTTGCTGGTACAGAAGACAATGTGCTGTATAAAATTTGATATGTGTACTTTATATGATTTTATTTTTATATTGCATACTGTTTTGTACTTGCATAATGTTTCTATTTTAGTTAAAATTTAGGATCTAGATGTATAATGTTCTCTATTTGAATCACTGTTAATGTTGCATGCAGACTTTATATTAAATATGAACATATAATTGTTCATTCATAAATGGTAATATGTATTAACATACAGGGCGTTTCGGAAATACATGTAAATACTTAAAGAGCTGAATCGACACGTTAAAATAACTAAAAAATGTCGTATGAACTAACGTCCCGCATATCTTACTTTTCGAGATATAAATGACTAAGGAAAATGTTAGAAATGTCACCGCGTGCCTCAACACACAAAAAGTAATATATGTAGGACATTAATTATTTTAGCATATAGATTCAACTCCTTAAGTATTTGCATGTATTTCTGAAATTCCCTGCAATTTATGATCAATGTTTAAGTGTATGTTATATGTATTTGAAAAAGATAGATAATTTTTTTAAACTGTAGTTTCCAATATTTATTAGATCATAAAAATGCGAGAAACAAATAACTAAAAAATCACTAAGTTGTAGCATGATATTTAGAATTATAAATTACATGTTTCATAAGATTGTATTTACAATGAGTTGCAATCTTATTTGCAGGTTGTTAAATTTAAATGATAATAGTGTAGTTGCTTCAAAAACTTCAACCTGTAATTATATGTATAAGTCAATGATTTATTACAAATATCATTGTCTATGTTACATTCATTTTCTACAATGTATGCTTTTTAATCTTGGTTCTACAAAGGGTCTAGTACACATGCCGAATGAAATGTGAGGATAGTAATTTAATTTTTTGTATGTACTTTGTTAGGATGAAAATGGAGACATAACTAAGGAAAATGCTGGCAGCTTTGAAGAAACAATTGTATCGCTGGATGATAAATTTACCCAAGTATTGGTACGTTTTCTAGATCGAATTTGTGATTTAGGATATGACAACAATAATGAAAAACTCCTAAATGTTTTTTGTAGGTAAGTTACTCCCTAAAATTTATGAATGTTTATCATATACATACTTTCTTTTACATCGCGAAGAAAAATCAATTTATCAGCATTGTTGCTATATTCACATAATTTTTAATTAGGCTAGATTTCAATTCATTTTATACCAACATTTTGATACGACGTGGAAGAGAGAAAACAACAATACAGGAAGAGGTTTCGGGTTAAATATCAAACATTCGCACGTGGTAGGACATCATTTATATTTAGGTTTATACATAACGTAGCTCTCTAACAATTGAATTGTGAAATGAATCTCGTTAAATTGATATTTGTATACGATATTAAAACGTCCATAAAAATTGGTCTAGTACCGAGATATTGTTTATTAAGAGAAATCCGATTAGTCGTGTAACTAATGTTTAATTCAGCCTACTAAAAATCATGTAATTTTTTCAGATTTGTCACTTTTTAAAATTACAAATTTGAAATTGTTATAAACGATCATCTATTTTGTACATTTCAATAGTAAATTGTATTTTATAAAAATGGAAAATTTATATTACATATTTGAAAAAATAATACTCGCGTTAAAACTATTTTTATAAAGTTTGTCTAGAATTAATAAAAAAATAATGCATTCTATATCAATTCAGTTGAATAATACTATTTAGTCTATAATTACTATTTCGATTTAGTAATGTATACAAATTTTGCATATAGTATTTGAAAAATGATATAAAAAATAATTTAATTGCTGTAGATCAATCAATTTTATAATATCGTTTATTGTAATTCGATAAACTGTTTTAATTATTTACCAATGTACGCAATCAATTTTCGTATGTAACGTATATTCTATTTCAATAAGGCACTATTCATTTTTGGTACCATGTATTACCATTATAGAATTCAGTCTTGAAATCAGTCTGAATATATCAATGTTCAAATACATGTTCAATTATTATTTAAGCAAATTTTAAACAATATACATTTGTGTACAAAACACTTTTACATTTATTGCATTTAAAATATGCAAATGATTTTGTACACAATTAAATACAGATATTGTAATATAAAACAATACAAGATTTATTATCTACTATTTACTTAACAGTTTATGATTCTTGTAACTCACAATAAGTAACAAGAACTGACACTGTATTCTACCATTATCAAGGTTTTGGCAATCGTATTATACAATTTAATCATAAAAGAAATAAAAAACAATCCAAGGAATATCAAACTGTCAATCTTATATAAGTTCTTCATTAATTTAAACATGCAAACATAGGTCATAGTTTTGAAAAAAAAATGTGAGAAAGAATAATGTTAAATATAAATTCGTTTAACAAAGGGCTTCTTTAAGACAGACAATTTGTTGTTTCTTATTTATTACATTGACAAGAATAATATTTGATACAAAATAAAATAAATAGTACAAGGAATCTTCTATTGGTAATATGTATCTTAATTTTCATTATCTTTTCTAACATACAAATTATTTTTTTTCAATGAATTCTTTTAGGGCATCCAAATTTTCTTTCACTTTTCTCAATTCACAGAACACTTTTTCAGTATCTTGGCATCTCTTTGAAAGAATCTCTTTTACTTTCCTCAATTCACAGATCATCTTTTCAGTATCCGATTCTTGGCGTCTCTTTGAAAGAATCTTTTTAGCTTGCTTTATAATATGAGGATCCATGTTGAAGGTAGGAAGTATTTTATCCTTAGAATCGTGGTCAGTTCGTTTCTTATAATATATTCTATTATCGAACGTTTCCAGATTATCTTGCAGTTTGACATACAGTTTACCATTTTTCAAATAACTCGGGAAAAGGAGTATCTTTTTGACGAGGAACGCTAGTGGCTTGTATCTCCAGGAATGTAGGAAACCGTGACACAACAAACAGTGAGGCCCGTGGACGGTTGGAGCGCGAACCGCAACATTTTCAATATACGCAATTCGTCTTATTCTAGCGATCAGCCCAACCAATTCCGCTTTACCAAGTATATCAGCAGTATCGCTAACGGCCAGACCGTTCAGCAAGTTGAATAATACTATGGCAATGAAAAAAACGAATAGCACGAACACCAGGTGACTCAAAATCGGATACGATACGAAAGGTATCTCATCTGCGTCGAACTCTCCCGTGAGCATAATAATGGTCTTGAACAATGAGTGACCGATGTCTGGAAAGTTGTCGTTGTCGCTGTCCTTGAAGAGAGTGAAGAAGGCCATCGCAAAAGCCAGAATCAATAATGCATAAAGGAAGAGAAAACGCATGAAGTTCAAGGATACCGTTTTGAACATTTCGATGTCGGTCGACCAGCGTGGATATTGGCCGATTAGGACCACCAATTCCCAAGCGGACAATAATATCACCACGGCGGCGACTTGGGCGCCTGCGCCCAAAAATATTGCATACCACAGGATTACAAGTATCATTTCTAGCAAATTTTCGAAATTCGACATGTAGTGGCATGGCGTCGATATTAACTGGAGGATCTCTTTGATAGCGAGGAGATTCATGGCGATAAATGTGGAGATACTCAAGACGTTCGAGTAAGTCGTCGCGTTCGAGTTAACGTCTACGTTTTGGTAAGTCGTATTTAAAATATAAGTGTTCAGTAACAAGTAAACGAGAACGTAGAAAGCGAAGTTTAGGTATAATATGTGCCTTATCCTGTGCCATTTGAGGTATAGAAACGAAGATAAAAGCGGATGCTTCAGCAAGTACTTTAAGTTGCTGTTGTCAGCGATATATTGGAAAATATCCATTTCTCGTTTTTGATGACCGATGGTGCTTTTGTCTTGGTATTCTGCACTACCTACCGTGTCATGGGGCATCAAGGATTTGTAGTTGAATTCGATCGTATACTCTGTCGTTCGTTCTTTTCTGGTCTGTATGCAGTCGTCAAAATATTGGGATAAAGTGGACACGGAGATATCAGCAACGGGCGGTACACCGAAATTGTTCATGTGACCGATGTAACTTCCTTTTTCGAGCAACAATGTCACCGCTTCGCGACAGTCGGCTCTGGCTGCGTAATGTAGCGGAGTATTCCCTTTGTCTGCGAAATAACATCAATTTATCGTTAACACGTTAACTGCTATGTCACCCATATATGGCGATAGAACTTCGTTAGGGAGTTGAGAAAATTTGTTCTTATGGTGAGATGTTAAAAAACAATAAATCCGTCTTAGGAAAAGTTTAAAAGGAACATTTAGTTTTTCTTTTTCCGAGCGCAAATACAAAATGGCTATTTCTAAAAGTATTTTGAATAAATTAGGTAGGTAAAAAACGAATAAAATTCGATACCCACTATCCGTGCATCGAACGTCTACGTTCTCTCTATCAAGAATCAACTTCAGACACTTCAATCGATTAGACATATCATCCGTGTTTCCTTTTTCAGGTATGCCCAATTCAAGAGAGGCGTTCAAGAGTAAATTGTTCCCGATCACGGGGTCCGTGTTCAATATTTGACTAAGTATGTCGGCCGAACCGCGTTGAATCGCCAAATTCGCGGCCCTTTCCAAGTTGCAACCGGTGCCTTTGACCCTTTTCAACAGTTCGGTGATCGTGACTTTGAAGTTCCGTTCGGCGGCCATCTCTATCAGATCCTCGGCCACGTTATTCACCACATCGTTCTCAACGATTTCGAGACACTTCAAAAAGTTCTTCTCATCGTTTGCATTGAGGTAATACTTAAGATCGTGAACCTTCACGCTCCTTTTCTGAGCAGAGGGCAGCTGAATGTCGGGCAATTTTTTTTGCAGAACGTCTCTGGTCGACTGGTCGTTGTAGTCTTTGTAATAGTCCAAGTCCAGGCCGTGTCTGGATTTTTGCAGTATCAGGTTGACCATGTCCCTCTCGCCCTTCATAGCCGCCATATGAAGGGCTGTCAGACCTTTGTTGTTAGGTATATTAGGACTTGCTCCTTTTTCCAGGAGCAATTCCATGCACTTCAAGTCTTTCCTCTTTACCGCCATGTGCAGCGCGGTTTGCTGTACTGCCTCCAAGTTCGGATTTATCGTGGGTTCGTCCAGAAGGACGCCGAGGACGTCCGTGTGCCCGTTTTCCGTGGCGAAATGAATCGGTCCGCGGTTGTGGGTCTCGTTGATCCTGTTAACGTTCGCCCCCTTTTCCAACAGGAACTGCACGAACTCTGGAAGTCCATTTTTACAGGCGATGTCCAGGCACGTCTCTCCGGATCGGTCCTGGTAAGCGTGGTTTACGTTGATGGTGGGTCGGTTCTTTAAATCTCGTTCGACGAGGTTTTTGAAGGTTTTTATGTCTTTTGAAAGTATACAGTCCAGAAGCTGTTTGTATTTCATAGAGGTTGGGATGTAATCGTGCAGGAGGTGCAGAAACTCGTCCTCGGGATCCGTACTTGTATCTGAAAGATCGATTTAAGTCTCGATCGAGTTGAACAAGTAAATCTGTAACGATGTTTGATTTTGTAAAAAGAACTAACGCACAAATCTACAATAATTTCTGAACGCTTGTAGCGGGGCAAAAGTATTTTACAGCGTGTCGGATAATCCTGCGTGGGCGTACAAGTGGTCACCACGCAGTTCTAGTACTCTGATGTCATTCAAGTACGTTTCAACAAGACTAAACAAACGTTACGTTTCTTTTGCCTTTTGTTTCTTATCATTGACGAGAATATTTCTTTTTTCTTTTTCATGTGCTATTACGTAATTATGCTAATTGAAAAAGCAACGATGTAACAATGAACGTGTCGCAAGTGTACCGAACACGTAATTTTTACCAGCAGAAATCGAACGAAAAAATCTCTCGATCGTGAAACACAACGCGCGAGCGAGAGATATTTATCATTCATGGTGACAGAAGTACGTACTCTCCGGAAGCGTTTCCTGCCGTCAGCATTAATTCAGTTTCAAACAAACGAGAAACGTGGACACCGGTACCGCTAGAACTCGCTGCACAATAATTTCAACGGCGTTATGAGAGTCATTATCGCCGGTGGAATATCAAATTGCTATTGTAAAACGACGATCGAAAAGAATCGCTTGTCACCGGGGCGCGAAATTTGAGATCGGAACCGATATCATTGGAACGTTAATTTATGTTAATTATTTATTCATGCTCTGATAATTTGAATTGAAATGATAATTATCGTGTTAAAATATCCGGATTACCGCCACAGTTTCTACATATTTTTAAAAAAATTATTAGAGAAGTCCTAAAAGTATTGAAATTAAAACTATTAATCCATATTATACATGCTTTGTTAACCCATTTGAGTATCAAATTAGTGTTTAATATTCAATAATATCAAGCCACTTGTACCGAAAGCTTCTACGAATTTTTCATTTAGCAAATGGTCGTAATAATGTAATATAAAATTAGTTTTATTAACACGTTGATAAGTAAATTATTTTCGAAAATAATATTTCCTTTTCCTCGTAATATATTATTTTGAATGTAAAAAGAATGTATGGTCCACTTTATTCGAGTCTCAAGTTTGTGCCGTAACAAGTGAATTTTAATACTAATAAGAAAATGATTTTTCTGGACATTCTCTACGTAGAATATTCGATGGGTTAAGCCTGAACGAAGTTATGATTAATTAATTAACTTTAAAACGTAAAAGCTATCGTACCGTCCATCATATTGTATCTCGATGCGTCGTTATCTATAAACTTAATACTGGGATTTAATGATCGAAGTATTAAGTGTCGCACCTTCTGACACACCTTCTTTCAATAATTTGTACGGTTGAACTTCACTCGCGGGAAGTATGTTCGAATGGTTGGAAATGAAACAACGATCACAGGTCAATTGCAAGTATAAATTGTGTTGTCTGGCACTTTCCACGACGGGGACCGAACGATACAAAGAAAGTGAAAATCTCCCGACGTTGATCCGTCTGGCATCGAGGAGACTAAGCAACTTTGCTGACCAGTTCTCTGGATCGTGATGTCAGGCGTGGTAAGAGAGGGGAACGATCAAGTGTCGGACAGTGTTGGTATCACTGGTAACAGTGCCGCTTTTGATAGCGTAGAGTGCATGCTTCTAAATTCGACAACACGTTACAGGGGTCTTTTACACATTCGATCGAAAGAATAAGCTTTTCTTGTACATTTTTTGTAAAAAAAAAAGATCATAAAACTTTTCGACAGTTTCTAGATGCGGACGATAACCGGATAAGGAGCAATAGAGTCAGCAAGAAGAAGCTACTTAATTAATAATTGCTTAACAGCGTGACACACGATCCCACATTGCGAACCTAATGCCTAGCTAAGACTAAATTTCAAGGTCGTAACCCTGCGCTGCATAATTTGTGTTCCGCTAACACCGGTGCAAGTCTGTTTAAAATACTTGTGGCAATAATTTTATGACTCATTGTATATTTATGTATGGTAGAAGAAACTGTCGTATGATTTCCATAGCAATCGATGATCGAACGGGAACCATTTCTTTTTTTATTTATTCGATTATTACATATGTACGGAATCGAGTCTTACGTTCGCTTCTGCGTATCGTCATCCATGACGATAACGTGAGTTCCTAATTTTAGCTGACTTTTGCTCGAAGAACAGGACATGACAAGGTCGAAAGTGTCGAGGATGCCGTCCGAGAACGTTAGGGTGCGTGGGTTTGCAAAATCGAGTATATCCAATAAAGGAGTCAAGGTGATATCTTTACGACGATATCTCGAACGTAACTTCGCGGAGAGTATCATTTTAGTTTCAGTTTTCAAATTTAAGCTAAAGCTTTAAACTAATGAAGGACGGAAGACCTCAGTCCGCAGTCGCATAATTATCGATACGTTTGCTTCAAAAAGCTGCCATTTCGTCAGTCTTTGAGTTTTCCAATTTTGTCTAATTCGGGCCATAGCCACACTCACTTCGCGTAGTATTAATAATTCCTTTCATTTTTCAGATTTGGTCTACCGAGGGGCGCTGAAATCATGTAAATCTCAAGAGGTACGTTCTTTTTACAACGATCGCGTAAGTAGCCTACATCTTTAAAACTATCGTGTATTTTTGTATGAAAAAATTCATGTAATTTAACAAGATATGTACAAATAATGGTGCAAAATGTTAAATTGATATCTTAAGTAGTTTTGCTCTTATAAAATTTCAAAAAAGGCCTTTCATGTTTAGAATACCCTCTTAAGAATCATCGGCGAAAAGGATAATTATAAGCGCGGAGCGCATGCGTTGGATATCCTCAATCACGGCGGAGATTACTGCTGGGGGTAGTGGGGATAAGGAAGCACATGCTGCGATACCGCAACGTTTAATCTTCAGTCACTCGAGGATAGGTCTCAGGTGCAGGCACGTTTTAAAAACTAGTCGGTGCTCTCGCGTTACTTCAACGAACAACTGTTACGACGAATTTGGATTCAACTAATTTATCTCGCTGATCCTCGCCATCATCGACGGTTTAAATAAACTTCGTCCTAACTTCCTACAATCCAGGTAAATTACAATCTCCGTTTAAGCTTTTATAACAATTTCGCGAAACTCAAAGTCAGAGTTGGGCAATATTAGGTAAAAGATTCGAATATACAAAATTAAGTACAAGATAAGCGAATATATAAAGTCTGTATTAGAGAATGATATATTTCACAAAAAAATAACAAATTCAACTGTTTAATCTAGTAAATTGCTATACTCTATTTTTGAATTATTATTCGAATTCAAATTTTATCCATGTCCGATCGAAGAAAAATTTACCAATGTTGGAAACGATACGTGTATTTATGATCTGAAACAATTGAATCTCGTTGTAAAATATTTTTTATAGTGAATCGTGACCTGTGACAGTAGTGGTTAATAACCCAGCGAACACCCTGTGTATAAAACACACTCCTTTGATTTTCATTGAACTTGAATTTCATTAGAAAAATGTCGTTAATCCAACGCGCGATCGTCAAGGATATTTTCACCTTTATTACACCTTTCCAGTGAACAACTGCGATGAGTAATTCTGAGTAATAGAGCGCGCCGTAAACAAATATTATGTCATCGCCTTATATTAACGAATATACTGCCGGCAACATTACAAAGACGTAAATGGTTATTTATCGCAGCTTGCTATCGTTATCCATACAAATTCGATGGTTCGCGTAATAAAGGAATTAAATTTGCGTAAATAATCTGATAACGCGTAATGTGTAAACGTCTGTTAATACATTGATTTAAATAGAATCGTAGAATTTAGATAGCTATAGCACTTACAGAAATGAATAAGAAATATCCAGATAGTTTAGGTTCGCAAAGTAATTAACGATCTTCTGCTTTAAGAACTGGTAGCAAAAGGGTAAAAATCATTATTGATTATTTGTTTATAACACTAGTGGTCGATAGTCTAACGTACGCGAAAACAATAGGAAACAAATACTCATAACTGTTGCCAATTTTGCTTATCTCGTGTCAATGTGACGTTAGCTAGATAAAGACAAGTGTGTCATTCGCATTGTTGATAACGAGATAGGAAAATGCATCTTACTCCGACGAGGTTGATTTTTATTATTAATGGGAGTTCGTGGTTCCTTTCTCGGAATAACTTTCTCAAATATTAATCGAATCAATGTTTTTCACCCAGTGTTTCCACGAAGCATGTAAAGTCATGAACGAAAATGGAATTGGGCGGTTCGACCGGTGACCAATTGCTTCTTGATCCATTGGCCACTTTCTCCACGCGATTACACCAAACGATGAGCCGATGGTTACGAAACAAAGTTCTTTCTGGTTTCGAACAATAGCGTGCAACCGTGTCCTAATGGGAAGCGTGCACGATCGTATGCAAATGTTAACTCCTATTTGCATTCACGTAAAAATATATTCGTTGTTCGAATACGGAGACGAAAGCCTTGTAATAGAGGCGCGTACAAGCCGCGTGTATGTAAGCTCGCACTCTATATGACTAAAACAAGATCAACAGTGAGTAAATACTGACGAATGATTCGCCGAAGACAAAATCTTCGCCTTCTAAGGGAAAACATTGACGCATTCCAGACATTCTGTTCTTTCTGAAAGAAAAAGAAACTTGCATCACGAGATCGTAGGGAGGAGGTATCAGGTATTATCTGAGATTTGAATTTGATTCATGGTTTCCGGATGGATGTAGCATCCAGATTCAGACACCGAAGGTCATATATTATGATATTTCATATATTTGTGACACGATGTGGTTACTTTATAATATACCGACGACGAGCTCGTTGGTCTTAATAAAGAAGTTACGCTGTATATTTGGTAAAAAGTCCGACGGTCGAGTTGCGTAAATTGACACCGTAATTGGTCGCTCAAATTGGACCGGTTTAATTTAGGCATTTTTTATGTTTCCGATTTATTCTTGACACATTGCGACCAATTGCAATGCGTTCGAAGTACTAGATATGTTATTGCTAACTTTGTAACGTAAAAAAATAATAATAAACTCTCTGGTCTTGTGTCGACTGTGCAAAGAGGGTCGAGTTAAACTTCGAATCATCTTGCGTAGTGCTTCGTCGTGTTTAGATGCCTTATGAGAAGCTTCGCATATGCAACCGATCCGGAGTCCCTGATGTCCGCCATACTGGGCGAGATCGAACGTATGATTGACTCTTGATAATCGCGAAAACGTCTCGTATAATGCTGGTACGTAACTCGGTCGCGTGATATTTAACTTTTTTGCCTTGACGCATAGGTGACTCGATCGTCGAGAGATCTCCTTCGATATAGAGCTGGCGCTAGATCGGAGAAAAGAGTTCCCGATGTTGTTTCACGTTCGAATTAAAATAAAACAAGATGAAAATAAATAATTTAAATATCTACATAAATAGAAGAAAATAATAGAAACTGGCGGCAATTATTTTAATTACAAAAAAAAATTGTAGTCGCATTAGTATCCAAAGGATACCACGGTAGCTCCTAGAAGCTATTTTTATCCCGTAGTATCCAAACAGATTTCCGAGATCTGTATTAAATATACGCATAAATTTTCATAATCCAAATCTACTCGGAGATTGTTCCAGTTACAATTATTAGTCTGGTATACGCATATATAAAGTACTACAAGTAGGCCGTGAGTCATGCCGTTTGACCTGCATTTATTTGGGTTGTTTAAACGCTATACAATTTGTGATATTCATGTTTTATTCAGTCCCAATGCCGAATGGTGGGCGATTCTGGATACCCACCATGGACATACTCTTATATGGTACTTCGTGAGTCGTTTCTGTGGCCCGTCTTTCGAGGCCACGTTCGTTGCACAATTCCGTGGAAATCTCGTTACTCTGCAAAGGAGGAAGTATAATAAACACGCGAACGTTCTTCTCGATAATTGAACTTGACGGACCGGTTGACGGTAGTCGGGAATATGCCAAGGCTTAGAAACTAGAAATCAGCTTTGTGTATTAGTCGATCGGGAAAAATTGTTTTAGAATAAATTAAGTTGCATGAACAAGATCGGTTAAACTCAACCAGGCTTCAATTTTACAGTTACACGGTTTCTATTAATATGGTTTAAATTCTAATAGTTTCGATTTAACATTTTTAATTTGAATAATTGTAGGTAAAATTCGTAATTGTCTGAAATACTTATTTTCATATAGTAAATATTTATTTTTATTTTTGTTTTAAGAGGTGTGCGAAGAGTATGGGCGGCATGACGCAGAGATCATGGACACCCACTAAAAGACGGGGCCCCATCGCTGCAGAATATACCAGTCCAGGCCCAGCTTGTGTAACTTTGCCCCCGCTGATCGGTACGTGCAATTGTACACCTTCTTTTGTATGCTCGTTAGAATTCATATACCTTGCACACGAGCAGCCAAATTATGAATCAAACTTTCAGGGAAAACCGTTCCCGATTCAAAGCGGGGCAGAGCGCCAGCCTTCTCTTTTGGGAGCAGGTACTTATACAATATCAATTATAAACGAATAGTTTTGTTTGTAAACGCATAAAATTAATTTTATTGGAGAATTGTGATAAAAATATAGAGGACGAAAATAGAGATCATTTTTCGAAGAACAGAGTACTATTTTGCATACATAATCGAACGATGATTGAGTCAATAATGATGGCTCTGTAACTGTCGGATTATATAATCGAAATCGAATTATTGACTCCTATTAAATGCGAACTGGCATCTATTTAAAACTCGTAATAAATCGAATGTCACGCTATTCAAAGTCGTATTAATCGCGACCCACCTATGATTGAATTCAAATGGTGTATGGAAATGTTTATGGCTGCATGTTGAATGGAATTAAGTCTCCTATTATTGTTCAATTATAATATTATTTCTGTCGTTCGTTTTATTTTACAGATAAATGTGAAGTATTGCTCTGATCGAGGATTTTCGTAGAGTATTATTCAATGGTTGCAAAAATACAATGATATTTTTTAGCGAACATCTAACTTCTATAGCTAGTACGGGCTTAAAAAGTATTAGATTCCTTATTTGAAGTATCACGTGACGGTGGCCTTCTCTTTCCTATTGTACGGGATGCCTAGATAGTTAGTTGCTTTACTAAACGATATCGATTCCTCGTTGGTACCGTATTTTCTTTTACTTCTTAAGGATAAAATTATTAAACCCGGCACGAGCAACGTAACAAGAAATGTTATTATAATACCTACGTCAATAGCATTTTTTAAGTTGTCTATGCATCCGGCCCTCCGTTTAAAAAATCTATTCGATTAAATTTTATCAAAATGTTTAGACATTCGGCAAAAAACAACAGTCCTGGACCAGGCCCTGGTCAATACAATGTTTCCGGACTTAGCGCGAAAGGTGAGTACAATAACGGCGAAAGCAGTAGAAATTATTGTTAACGCGTGCGACGGAAGGCTGAATTAACGAAAGGAAATTCACTCGACGTGATAGGATTGAGAAAGTTCGAAACGAATACCGAGAACAGTTGTATTTCGTGTACAGATGAAGTATCGATCAAACTCCGGAACAGCGATACTCCGCAAGAATGTAGTCCTTAAAGCGGGCGTCATTCACGAAATTCCTTCGCTTTCCATTTAATAACTCAGCGCGTTCTAACCGCTGTTTATCGTTTTATTCAATTTTAATTCCGTAACTAATTATCACGGATTATTTGAACGATTAAAATATAATGGGTTTTATTATTTGGAAACTAGGAAACCAAAGTTAAACGTATTACGAGAAAGTATCCAAAATAAATATTTAAAAGGTATCTATTGCTTTTTCGAACTTTCGCTCGTCTTGATGCACTATTCATTACTGCGTCGTCTAATTGGTCGGACTTTGTTAATGTTACGCTCTCCCGAAGATAATTATCGCTTTGATCACTATTTTCTCGAATTCTACTAGTTTAGATTCGTGGACTTTCCAATATTATACAGTGTTTCGAACAGCATACTTTAAAGCGTTATTAGCTCTTTAACTGCTCGGTTTAGGGCATGAATACGTCAATACATTTTCGTAGAGATTAAGAAACTACGTTGTCATGATTTTCTTTACGCAGGAAAAGATGCAGCGCCGGCGTCGTCTTTGCACGGCCGCACGAAATCTACAAAAGAGGAACCGACACCGGCACCGGGCGATTACAATCCGGAAAAGGCTGAAAAGGTCATTCTAGACAGTTCGCCAAAATTCTCGTTCGGCATCAAAACGCAAACCGAGAAAATCAGCTGCACGCCTGGTACGTACACGTTTCACACGCTTCTTAACATGTACAACTCAGTTATCGATCAACCCTCGTACAATGCAGCGGATATTCGTGAAAGAAATTCGAACTGTTTCGTATTAAAGTATTACGATCGTAAAAATATTTTCAAATTTAACGAACAAATTGTAGCGCGACGTTTCTGAATCGTTTGATTGAAAAACCGAAGATAATTAAATCTTGATCGTAGCACCGAGCGACTATTGCACCGAAAAGGTGACTCTCGACAAAGCCCCCGAGTACAGTTTCGGCGTAAAACCTGTATTGGAGAAACCGAGCGATATTCCTGGTAATTACGAAACTCACAAAGTCCTCGTATTCGATTCTATCTATTTCTTTCTACTAATAGACAATATTACTAATCGTGGTTCGAAGTTAATCGGTTTTCGCGTGTTCCGAAATAGTCGGAGCCGTACTTATAAATTGCCTTCGACGTTTGAAATACTATCTTCTTATGATTCAGTGAAATACTCATTTAAAAATACTATCTGTATGAGTTGATATCAAAATGGTTTGGGTACTTCTCTTGTTAGTAATGAATATCTTCAGCGATGATTCTTACGGCAGATTGTAGAAAAGAAATTTATTGCAACAGAAGTTATGAAAACGATGTCTTCGGAAGATCGATGCCACACTGAACACCGATCGTTAGTTGTCGAAGAGCTCTACGCTAATGCAGAGATAATCGATCTTCGAAGAATAAACTTTATTAAACTTTAGGTATTCCTAACGTTACTCTTCCGTAGTTGCGCCTGCCAATTATTTTCGGCTACTTATTTTACTTAGCAGCTTGGCAAACTATTAATTTCGCATCCCCGCTATTTCGACTATATTTTTTTACAGCAGAGGTGGCGTAGATCGCGCAATGCATGCAATAAATAATCGTATCACGCTGCATGTGTAACAAATTGCACTCAATATATTGATTATTAGAGAAGTTCATGAATTTAAAATAATTTATAATCGTTTAATCCTTCAATATATTGCGATTAAATGGAAATGAGTGCAGATAATTGATTAAATACATAGGGTTGTCCGTTTCGTTTGGCATACTCAATGATAGGTAAATTTTAACAAACGATAGTTACGTTTATTATTCGATTAATATATATTCCCTTCCATTATGATATTAGCACCGGGAGCTTATTGCCCAGAAAAGGTAAGATTGGACAACGCGCCGCAATTCACCTTCGGACTTAGACCTCCTCTCGAAAAGCCAAGCGATACTCCAGGTAATTATTAAACAATTTCCTGGATTAGCACTTTGTCGGCCATCTATCGACACGGTGATTGTTATAGCACCTGGCACCTACAGTCCTGAAAAAGTCAACTTGGACAAGGGTCCTCAATATAGTCTCACAGGAAAGGGTCGTATAGAGAAACCGGACAACACTCCTGGTATAATATGCAAAATCTTTTATACGCATTTTATTCGCATAGCCGAGCCGATTTGAAAGTTAAGCGACATAAAAAAATTATTCGCAGCGCCAGGTACGTACTGCCCAGAAAACTTAAAATTGGATAGGGCACCGCAATTTTCTTTTGGACTGAGGACCCCCATTGAGAAAACGAATGATACTCCAGGTAAAATTATTATTCAATGAAGTGTTCCATTCGTATTAAGATCCTCGTATTAGCATGAACCCTTTTTACAGCACCTGGTACTTACTATCCCGAAAAAGTTAATTTGAGCAAGGGTCCCCAATATAGTTTGAGCGGGAAAGCTCACCCTGAAAAACCAAACGATAACCCCGGTCAGTGAAAAAAATATTTTATTTTACTCGATTTATTTTAACCTTCGTTTTATAGCTTGTACATAAATTTTCTGTTCTTAATACTTGGTTTTTCTCAGCGCCGGGAACATACAGCCCGGAAAAAGTAAATTTAAATAGAGGCCCTCAATTCAGTTTGTCTGGTAAAGGGTTACCAGAGAAACCTAACGACAATCCAGGTGATCAATATGAAAATTATCAGTGTCTGATATTGACTCGTAGTAGAGAGATTTATACGTTCCTTTCATTATCATAGCGCCGGGGTCATATAGTCCTGAGAAGGTAAATTTAGATAAAGGGCCTCAATACAGTTTGTCTGGGCGAGGTACACCAGAGAAACCTAACGACAATCCAGGTGAATTTATTTCGGTCATCATGATATTGTAATATCGTGGGTGACATTAGACATATGATATTCAATTTTTGGTACGTTTTATATCGGTATTCTTGCTTTAATTCTCGTAGCTCCTGGCGCCTATTCTCCAGAAAAAGTCAATTTCGATAAGTCTCCCGAGTATTCTTTCGGCTTAAAGGCATTCGTTGACAAACCTAACGATGTACCTGGCAAGTAATTCAATACAAGTCTCGCGTTATTATTTATCAAGCATAAAGTTTACAAAGTTTTTATACAAAATGTAGCGCCTGGAAGTTACCATCCGGAAAAGGTAAATCTAAACAATTCTCCTCGATACAGCTTTGGCGTTAAGACCGATATACACGAAACAGATTCTGTACCAGGTATAATAAAGCACTAGAATCTATTACTCTTAACTTCCTAGTATGCATTTTTTCAATAGATATAACGACACAATACTCCCTTTAAAGGTCCGGGCGAATACAGTCCAGAAAAAGCTATGCTTTTATTGGAAACAGCATTGCGATTTACTTTCGGTCTCAGGACAAGTATAAATAGACCAAACGATATTCCAGGTAAATCTACAATACTTATTTTTTTATGTCAGCTTCTTCGATATTGTTTTACATTGTAATGCTAGTATGTAGCGTGTACGTATGCTTAGAAACATTATTATTCGTCTCGAACAATCCTTTCTAACGTGTACAACGATGAAAATGATTTTATTGGAATTTTTTACCCTGCAAGAAAAAGTTAATTTGTTATCAGAACTGAAAACGAATATGTGTACTGTCTTCTTTAAATACGCTTTCTTTTTCCGTTCTGTTTCAGCACCAAATGTTTACAACATTCCTTCTGCTCTTGGTGGAACGAAGGAGGGCAACAAGAAAACGGCACCGGCTTATTCGATTTCCGGTAGACAGAAAGTCTTCACGGATGATCGTGTTTTGGTTCCCGGACCCGGAACGTACGAAGCCGTAAAGCCGGACGCAGTTAGAATGAAAAGTCCCGCTTATAGCATAAGTTCTCGCTATCAGCTGCCTGACGATCATTCACAGGTTCCAGGACCCGGAGCACACTGTCCAGAAAAAGTATATACATAGCGTGTCCCAGCAATCGTAGTACAGCAATGCACGGTTAAAAATATCTTTTCCATTCAATATTTTCTATAAAATTCATAGAGAAAATTCAGCAGTTTTCAGTTAGCTTTTTTTTTTAGTTTCGTAAAAGTGCTTTTTACGAAATTTACAAATGTTATTGATTACAGGTAGTTCTTGATATCCCTCCAGCACATTCGTTTGGCATTAGACACTCACCGTATATATGCAACCTGAAGGACGTTGTTTATTAACATGAAAACGTTGTGGGGGTTGGTATTCGTCATTATACTTTATACTTTAAGATAGTAAATTACATATCAACGATATAACAGAAATAATATTTTATTGGAAAGTGATAACATAACGCGTGGACAAATCTTTCCTTAACGCTTTGCAGAACTGATTACAAAATCTGGTGCTGCTAATTCATTAAGTATGCATTAAAAAGAAAAGGTATTTTTATGAAAAATAATATGCCATTTAACGCTATTATTTGTATTAGAGATTATAATAATGCAATACATTTTAACAGAGAAAATTAATTTTTATCGTTTACTTTGAGATTTATATTAAGGATGTTCTGAGAAATTTTATGTTGAAAAAGATTGAGCTAACAAAATAAATGTTTATTTCTTTGTCAATGTATCGAAAGCATTTCATCATTGAATTTTTTACAATCGGTAAAGTTATGATAAATGTTGATCGTTATTAAGTACATTCATAAAAAACTTACTATACAAAACAAATACTGGATTGTTATATTTGAAATACATTGTTAGGAATATTAGCGATCTACTGAAATCGCAAGGAGAGTTACTTTAGGTGATCCGATCTATTTAAACTATAATAGCCATTTAGGACCATTTAAAGTGACTATTCTTATCAATTATATTGAGCACGGTAATGCGAATGATTGATAAACATCTGTATATGTATAAAAATATACAAAACATATTTTACACAAGTTTTTGTATACAAAATATATAATCTTAGTATACGAATATGCGGATGAACCTTAATATGGCTAGAATGATATTCATAGCCGTTTGATATTGTGCGAAGAAGTACAACAATTAAGTCATTTAAAATACATTTGCTTACGAGTATGATTGCGGGTGTACACATGTTCCCGAAATCCATGTAGATAACAGTTCCAAACTACTATCTAACATTACGAAATCAGCATCAGCTCCATAGTTTAAGACTCCTTTATTGTTTTCTATACCAAGAGTTCTTGCTGGATGAAGAGTAGCAGCTTCTAAAGCCTCTACCACAGAGCAATCTATAAAAAATAGTCGTATAATTTTAAAAGTTTAAAATCAAATAGCGGCATTGAAATTACCTGTTGCTTCTTTGAAGAGTCGCACACACTTTGACATTTCTGCTGTACTACCGCACAGAGTATTTGTTCCAGCAATATATGCAGACCCCATGCGTATTTCTATCTTGAATTGCCCTAACTGATGCACGCCTTCTTCTAATCCCAAGGCTGAGACTGCATCAGTTACCAGAACAAGCCCTAAAAAATAAATACTGTACACACCAATTTGAAAGAAAACTTTGTTGCAATGCTAGAAAAATAACCAAACCTTTAGGGTGTGTTCTGTGAGCTATACGCAATGCTGCAGGATGAGTATGTATTCCATCTGCAATTATACCATAATGAATGGTTCTTCCAGCTGGAATTTTGTCGGATGTTAAAAGACCAACTAATCCTGGATCCCTATGATGAAACTATAAATACAAAATTTATTCTATATTCTATGATACTTTACAATACATATAAAAGTACAAATTATTTCTATATTCTAAATAATTACTGGTAACATTGCATTGAAAAGGTGTGTGATAAATGAAGCTCCACTTTTTACAGCTTCTTCTCCTTCGTGTAAATTTGCTATGGAATGGCCTGAAATATTTAAATAAGAAAGAAATTGATTTTAAAGACTATTGTATAACAAAAAAATACAAGGAAATTAGAGGAATAAAAACAAAATCGTGCAGCTTCTTTTGCATCTTACCAAGAGAAACTTTAATGTTTCTTTTGCATAATTCTGCAATGACAGTTTGAGCATTGGGAAGTTCTGGCGCCAGTGTAATAAGACATACATTTTCTAAAGATCCATACGTATCGATTAATGTCTCAAAACCCTGAAATGTAGATTATGAGGTACAACAAAAAAATATTGAATATACTGATATTCAGTAAACAGTGAAGAGATCATATAAATTTAAGTTTGTAATTTCAATGAATAATTCCATTGATTTTGAAGTATCTATTAATAACATTAAATAACTTGCTTTTTCAAATTGTTTAATGTAGCTTTCTGGATGAGCTCCTTTTTTACTTGGATTAATAAAAGGTCCTTCTAAATGAACGCCTAATATAGTCGCTCCATGGAGTCCACCATTTCTCTTCTTTATTTTTGACAATACTTTGTAATATGCTTCGTTAGGCGATGTTACTAAAGTTGGGCAAAATGATGTTACACCACATTCTAATAATTTCTTAGCTACTTTATTAATTCCTTCCTGTACATTATCAACATTATGTGTAAAATCTACGCCATAGCCACCTGGTAAATAAAATTCTATTTATAAGAATTAATTAACACAATAACTCACTTATCCGATAGATATAAATCATAACGTTTGTGACAAAAATAATACGTATTTACATTAAGTACCATTAATTTGAAGATCGATATATCCAGGCGAAATCAACGCTCCATTACAATTGATCCTAACGTCCGGTTTTACTTTCTCGTCGTAAAAAATCTTTTCGGGATCGACAATTTTCCCGTCACGAACCCATAGATCTTCGATCAAAATCTTACTATCGCGTAAAATTTGACAATTGTGAAACTGTTTTAGAATTCTTTGATCCTTTTGCGACATGTCGGCACGGTGTGAAAATTATATGCGTCAAATCACACAACGTATGTTTCGCAAAAACATATTTATGTATGTTACTCGGTGCTTCGCATTATCAGTCGCGAGTAGAATTATCAAATCACGCGGAAGACGAAATAATGTCAAGTACCATTGACTTTTATGATTGTAACATTTTTTTCCAAGATGTCGCTGAACGTAGGTCTGATTCAGAGTCAAACTATATTTTCTAAAACGTCTCTAAGTTCTTCAAAAATGCATTAAAAATTTATTAATTTATTAATAAATTTAGAAAGCAAACACTATATAATCTAGAACAGTGATATATCTTTCTTTATCGATGGAATTAAATATAAGTATATATTTTGTACTTAAGAGATATTGGATACAAGTTACAGGAATACTTAATAAGGTTGTCGTCATTTGTTCTATTCATTATTTTAGACATATTTCAATTTACAAAGCCATTTAAACGAATGTGTTGTATAGATAGAATATCGAAAGAAATTATTTTAAAATATCGAAATTTAGTACTTACCGTATTAAGTTCATAAATACTTATGCACAACATAAATATGATATCAAACTTAATTTATTATATGAGTAACATGGCCAATATAATTCAATTCTATAACAATTTAAATTGAAAACAATTTTGTATAAAAAGAGTTGTATTTTTATGTAACTTAAGGAAATTAGAAGAACCTAAGGAAAAATGATTTGTTAGAAAAAAAAATTGTTTAGTAAATCATACAGCATCCTGTACGTTTTCTTGGTCATAGAACGTTTCTTAATATGCATTAGAAGAATTGATTCAGAACTCCAAAACGAAACAGAACTTTGTATAAACATACACCCAATATAACCTTGCTTTTAAGATATATTATTTTCCATATTCTAACAATATCTTTGTCCCGTTGTTTGTTCAAGCTTTTAACATTAATCTATGGTCAAGGATTATTGATAATAATATAATATAATTTGTCACTTTGCCTGAAGGATTAACAGGAACATCCACTCACAATGTTTTACAAAATCATTTACACAAGTTGTTAAATAAAATCTCCTTAGATGTTAATTATTTCATATGGTTCATGATGCTCGGTCTCGCTTCTGGAAAAGCATAGAATGTATAATATAAGACTAATCGCTTAAATTCGAAATAAGCAATTAGATTTTAAAAGCTATATGCAACTCTACTATTATCTATAGAGTCATCTAAAATGTATCATTTATGCAATACTCCCGATAACTGTACCAAGTTCATTCAGACGCGCGTGTAAGCTAACAAACAACTATTTTAAACATATTCTTTAAAAATAGTTTGCATAACGTGTGAAAGATTGTAACAAAAACAAGGTTACATCGGGAATACGTGTACATAAATTTCTTAAGCCTATCAGTACTGAATCCATGTTCGAAACATTTCCTATGTATTAAGAAACACTCTTTATTAATATCGTCAGTTTTGCAATTTGTACCTGTGCTGGAATATCTTTCTCTCTTTTCTCCCATAACCCAACAGATTTGATCAGAGAAAAACGGAAAATATGGCACTACATTGTAATACGACAAGAAGAAAGAAAGCGCTGTCTGCAGTTTTCTCAATTTTTGTATTAAAAATGTTTTAACAGTACCCAAAAATTTGTCCATAGATCAACGTGCGTTTTGAAAAAAATTCAACTAACTTTCTCGTTTGTATATAAACGTAACAATACAATATAAAATGAAGCAATTAAAAATGACAATGATTATTATGTAGAGCTGAGAGCGCAATCGTTTATACTTATATGACATTATTAGAGCTTAGCTGTTAATGAGCCGTATTTCTATTCATCGTCAACGTCGGTTAAAAGAAGGGTACGCATAATTTTGTCACTGGTATGTCGAAGAGTCTAGGCTTGATCTGGAATAGGAGATATGATATGATTAGATGATTGATACGAACAGGATTATGTTGGAGCCACAGGCACAGGATATCTAGGCAGTTATCGGTCAAGTTTTGTTAGTGTGTTTTGTCTCTTACTGTACGCACGAACGATTTTCTCTTATCTTAATTTGTATATAATTCTACTGTGTTTTACAGTCGGCAGGATTATTGCCTTGTTGTTTCCCACCTGATGGTGCAGATTCCTCATAATCTTCGTCCTCATCCTCAGGATCGTCCTCGTCATCCTCATCTTCTTCATAATCTTCTTCCTCGTCTTCTAAGCCTTCTCCTGAAATAGTATCAAAATTAATTTATTATAGATCGATCGTATCGGAGAAACTAGATAAACAATAACATTGAAACATTTCTTAAATATTAATTTCGGTTTGTAAAAAACAATAGAAAAGGATACCTGTAAAATATAGTATAGCTCTAGGAACTATACGCTCTCTAATATAATGACCAATTTCAAAATCGCTTGTTAATAAAGCTTGAGTTTCATCGTCTATCTCGGCTTCTGAATCTTCTGGCACTGAAGGAACAATTTACAATAAATTGTATTATAAGCACATCAATTTAAATATAGAAACAAAATATAAGAATAGAAACTATTATCTGCTATTACCAACTGGTGGACTGAAAAAGTTGAAAAATGAATCATTTTGAATAGTTTTCGTTACAGTTCGTATGGACCCGCGAGATTTATGTTTCTGATTCTTTTTTATAGTTTTTACTGTGACGTTCTTTCCTTTCTTCCAATCGATCGTGCATCCCTGTTAAAGAAGAAGTCACAACAAATATAAGTGCAAATCGTATGTTATATAATATGGTTTTCATTGCCACGGATACAAAATAAAGTTTATTTTGGCTAAAACTACCTACTTACCTTACATTTGTAAATTTCGGGTCCTTCAAAACTGAACGGATCATTTTTTTCAGGTGTACACTTCATAATATATTCTTTAGTTAGAACTCTGTTAGTAAAGTATTCATTTGGCTCAAAATGGAACTCAAGGACAAAACCCTACAAAAGATCTCGTTAGATTTCAATGTAATTCAACAATCTTTTCATATTTTTTACTTATGTTCTTATTTTACATTTTAGATGCTGTCCATTTTTTATACGTACAAACTGCTATTCGTTATGTAAAAATAAATAAAACCTATATAATATAATTTTATTCTCCGAGGCTTAGTTTCCGAGAAAATCGGGGTGGAAATCCACTGTTCGAAATCGTTAAGAAATAACACACGTCTCGTTAAAACATTTTTAAATGTACGATATCGTCCAGTCCATCATTTTCGATTCAGATACATAAATATTAGACAATTTTTTTCACACCTCTATTAATTGGTACACAGTATTAATTACGCATTAACGAATCTATAGATGTATCCGTAATTAGACCGGGACAGCTTTACATATAACACTATAGACATTGTATATTGTCCGACGGACCGTAACTTAGCTATACAAATGTAAACACGTGCAGTGGATTTTTAAATCGATTTTTTCGAAAATGGAGAAACCTCGGAGGGAAAAACTTTATTCTACATTTTTTATTTATTTTTATACAAGGAATCTCGTTCTGCACGCTTGTACAATACTTTTGGACGCACCCTGTATAGTAAAATGGAAATTTTACAATTTAATAAGTTTTTTTCTTTCTTTTATTTGAACAGACAACTTACCATTGGATTAGCTTCAAGAAATTTCACTTTAATATCATGTAAATGTTTCAATATTGGTTCATCGTGTTCCTGAACCATATCAGCCAATGTTCCAACATTTTTAAATATTGTCAGCCAAAATTCTGGGATGCCTTTAACATCTTCACTTTCAGCTCTAAAATGGTTACAATTAATTAATGATATTACAATTTCATGAAGATCAATATAACAAAGTAAATTCAGATTTTCAATAAACATACTCTTCTTTCTTTTCTTCTTTATTCTCTTCAAGAGTTGTTTTTGTTAGCTCATTAATTAATTCGTCTTCATCGTCATCGCTCTCCCATACGCATTGCGTGTCTGTTGGTTCATAAGCACCTGACACTATTTCACCCCTCTTCTCATAAAGAGGAGCGTACAATTTGTTATAAGCACATTCCAAAGTATGTATGTCTCCATAGAATTTTGCCTCAATGTTAGTAGTAAATAATTGTAATTGTTTCAAAGCTTTAACTCTGCGTTTTACAGAAGCTGGAAGAGACTGCATTTGCTAAAAATTAAAAATTACATATAAAATATAATTTTTAATCCATAACTTAATAGTCTCTCTATCTATTGCAAATTGTATGTAATATTGAGAAGAGCTTTTTACAATGAGTACCAATATTTTATACTAATATTCAAAGGTCTTCTATTTTAAAATATATTACTTTGTGGCTACCTAACATTCTAACTTAAAATAGCTAGAATTAATTGTTAATAAAACAATTGATTATATAAAACATACACTTTTCTCATTTTTATGAATTAAGCAGTGGTTGCTGCATAGGTAATTCCGCGTATTGTTTTCTAATCTACTGTGGTGCACGATTTACGATCTACACTAACAGCTTAGTAAAAAAGCATCAAATTTGATAATGCACATAATCGAAAATTGTTAAATTATTACACCGAGTGAAATGAAAATAAGGATAAAAAGTGTATGAACTTAATGAAATGATAACATATTTTAAAAGACATATGATACTTACTGATATGGAGCAATGTCTATATTTTATATATATATTAATCATGAGTTTAATTAATAGTTATTTCAATTATTAGATGTGGTAAAATTTACATCAAAATACAGACATATACAGTTAAATTATGAGTACAACAATTTTAACCAATATATAACTGACAATACTGCTCTATGAGAATTTGGAGTTTGTAATAGAATTAATGGAGTTCAATGTATTCCTTTTGATATAACAAAAAATTAGTACTTTCTAATTTTTGGATTGTCAAAAACTGTTTATAGTTTATATGATATTTGAATACCTCCAATCTTGGTGCAGAAATACGATCTTGCAGAGCAGCTAACACATCGTGTTTACGTAAATTTTGGGTAGTAAGCTCTATACTGTTGTTATCATCTTCATCTTCAATAGATTCCATGTCGCTATTATTGGAAGCGCGCTTTGGATCAGTTGTCATTATACTATAATCCAGATTTGTTTCGTTTTAAAAAAAATAAAACGCTAAAAAACAATAAAATTTTTTTGACATTGCTATAATAAAAAAAAAAAGTACTTTATGTTTCTTTAAATCATTAAAATTTCAAACAATTTTTGAAATTTCTTTAGATAATATTAGATAGTTTAGATTATGGTTAAAAAATGTTACTCCATTTTCATATAATTTGTTATTGTTACTACCTAAATATCAAGAAGATAGATATCAATAAGACATTTATTTACTTTAGCAACTAAATTGAATATTGCAGAAATAAATTTAAATTGTTCCATAAACAATTGTATATTTCATAAACAAAAATGTGTATATCTGAAATTGATCTTATTCATGTTAAACAATGTAAAAACTTTATTTGGATTAAAATACTGGAAATACAGGCTTTTAAAGCAATTATGTGCAAAGAAGAAAAGAGGTATTTCTATTAGTTTAAACATTTTATTTTTTTTTATGAAACAGAACCATTTATGTATAAAAGTATCATATAATTCCTTTTCACTTAAGAACATTTTTTCATTATAACATCTGAATATAATTAATTTTCAAATAGTATCTACACAAATGATCAATATTATGAGATAAATATATATGAAATATAGAATCAAAAAACATTTCCAAATTATATAGAATTTTGCAAACATATTTAATATACACATTCTTAAATTATTTAATTATTTTACTTAAAACAGTATAAAACATTACAAATTTAATCTTTATTTTCAGTTCTTATTTCTGTATTACTGTAATACCACTTTGACAGTAATTAAAGTGTCTGACCAATTAAATATGTCTCAAGGTATTTATTTTTACAATTGATATAACAAATATTGATAAAAAACAATAATCAATATTTTATATTAATTTACTCAGTAAAATATACTGTAAAGAATTTAAAAAAAAAATAAAAAAGAAAGAGAGATAGGAATATATTGAACAAAGCGACTAAATTTACAAACGTTTGTGTACAAAATAAAAAACAGTGGATAATTGAAATTAAACGATAATTTTATAAATGAATCAAGGACATGGCATATAGCGAAGTCACAATTTGTTTAATGTGCCGAAATTCAATTGCACGTTGCGTTATCATTTTCCGTCGTGCGTGCATTATGTATATTTTAAATATTGATTGCGTGCACGCGTGTACATGAAATAAACGTTACGCGAAATACAAAATGCACGTGATGGAAAAATTTCATTAATTCCGTAGAATTTTTGTACGACGTTACACTGACATTTGAAAATCACCATATTCGCGAGGGAGAAAGGTTATTTGCTAGGGTACGCAGAGATTGTGGGAAAAAAAGCGGAAATTATATCAATTTGTCAATTATTCGGCGGATCCTACTGCATTATGATTATCGTACTCACGGGCAGGCTGCTGCTCCGTTACTAATTTATTTAAAAAAACTGCACAGCTTGTGAACACTATTGCTGAAATTCAGTTTCAAGGCAGAAAAGTGCGTACACATGGGACAGATGAAAAAAGCAAAGATTTTCGGGGTTATAAATGAGTGAAAATCTGTGAATAAAACATGATACGGTTGATTCTGTGCGAAAGCGTTAATCGAAAATGTCTGAACGAAAACGGAGAGTCATTATATGGACACAAAACATACCTTTCAAATCGAAGCTGATCAGAAGAGGAAACGAACAACGAACCAGTCGTTGTGTCAGTAGTTTCGTTGCAGTAAGTCGCACGATACGAAATTAGTTTCCCTTCTGTCCTTTTCTATACGAACTAAGTGCTGCTATCATACAATTCTAAAATTCCCTAACCTTACTTTTATTTTTTTCTTAAACGCAAATCTGTTTGAAATCTAGTAGGCACCGAACGACAATAAGTTGAAAGGTTTTTCTATTTTATACAAATAAATAGTTGGTGATAGTCTTTGATGTTTTAATGAAAAATTTTAAAAAAATTTTCACGCATAATTTGCTAAAAAAGAAGATAGAACGATATAAAAAATTCAAATGTTATAACGGAGTATCAAAGAGTCGTTGTTTCGAATTTTATTTCAATTTAATTCAAATAACTGAAATTATACATAAAGATTATTTCATTATCTCGAACATACAATTACTGTTTTCAAAATTATATTTCGAATTGAAATTTTTACATTATAAATGCGTAGTTGAATAGTATATATTTCGAGAATATTTCAAAGAACGTTATTGCAAAAGTTCCTACGTCTTTGATTAGTTGGCAGTTCTACTTTATTCCAGGTTATACCATAATTCAGAGAAATTTAAATTTATAACTTATTAAAATTAATTAAGAGAACGGAATCATTTCAGTGGCGGCAAACATTTAGAATGTCAAAATTCTGAAAAATAAATTCGTGTCAACTATTGCAAACAGTTGCTAAAAATTAGCGTAAGAAGTGAACAGAATGGAAATTTGTAACAAGATCCAAGAAACATTTCTTTTGCCTCTTTTCAAGCGAAGAAAGAGTATTCAATTTTTCAAACTTTTTTACGTTGTTCTTTAGATTGGCAACAGTGATGTAGTTTCAATTGTGCGTATTTCAGTCTTATCGTTTATCGCGAAACGGAATAAAGATGGCGTACAGTGACGTCACGTCCGTTTGGGACGAGAAACGGAACGTAATTCGCTAACACGTTTTCTCCTATACAACATCGTCGGTCCTTTAGGCTTGGCGCCTTCGTCAAATGCAGTGAGCGTCGGTGTACGTAAAATGGCGGACGGTGACATTGATTTGTACGCCGACGATCTAGAGCAAGATTTCGCGCAGGTAATTCGATTTCATCTTTGTTAATAAGTGACCACGCGGTCGATATACATAATCGTTGATCGGTTGCTCGCACGATAAATATTCAAAACTGTGAGAAAAACGCGTCAGTATAGCGGGGTGTCCGGCGTCATGGAGGAGAGATGGTAACGATTGCTCGTAAGCGGTGCCCGTATCTTGTTGAAGTGGGACGTCGATTTTTAGCTCGCGTTTTAATCGCGGCGTGTAGCCGTTGCGTACGACTGTAACGACTGATAAACGGTTTCTAATATTCTGTTGTACAGTTAGTGTTGATTTGATTCGTGCACGTTTCTCGCATCGGAAAGCTAAAGCGAATACGTGTAATACAGATACACGGCAAGAAAAGCAAAATGGTGTTAGCGGTAAGGCGAATGTCGTGTAGTAGTGTTTCTTCCGCTTTGTTCGTCGATGTAGTTTTTGATAAATATTTTGTTTGTTTGTTCCTCGAAACGTTTTTTATTGCTTTCACGCGAAGCTGGGTAAAATATGAAATACTATTTTGTCTGGCGATGGACGGCAAAGCAATGCAAGTAAAATAGTGTCACGAAACCAACGCGAAAACGAATTAAGATGGTGTTGTTTGTATAGTCGAAAAATATGAATTAAATATATTTTATTTTTGGCTTGCGTTTTTAAAATGTCGATTAGAATGTATTTTTAATTTTGAAATATTTGAAAAATCTTGTGACGGCGAAAATCAGGTTAAAGTAGACTGTGAGCTAGGGTTGGGTCAAGATATTTTTTAAATAAAATACAACAATTTTGAAATATCTGTTTTGCATTATTATGTGTCAAGGACCTGAGCCAAAGCTAGTTTATTGTGCTTCAAGCAGATAGGCCCCAAGAGTATGCGACCAAATGCAGGACTGCCTTTGGGTTGCGCATTCTTGAGGACTGCATAAATGTAAGCAAGAATTGTTTAATCAAATCTAAGCATGAATTTAGGCAATATGTCTTTAATCATAGATATATGTAGTATCTTATTCTTGCCGTCATAAGAGATTTCAAGCAATGATAATTTATGATCCATAACAAAATACTTCTACTTTATTTGTTCTTAAGTTTCAGTATTAAACACAAAATATTATTTCATTTGCATTCACTTCTGTATTTACCCATTATTTAAAATATTTTTATTTTTACGGCAATGTAAATAAAAGAACAGTTTAATGTATCATTTATTCAGAATGTAAATCTAAATAAATTTGTAATATTGATTATTGGTTTTAGAATTTAACTAATTGAACATTTATAAATGTCTTTTTGTACATGATGACTAGAGAGAATAACAATGCTTATTCCTTTTTTTTTATATATATATAAATGAATTTTTTCAATCCAATGATAGTTTTCAGTATTATTTTCATGTAATTCTTTTGTAGAAAAATACCACAAAAAATTTTCCATATTTTAATAGATGTAAATATTCTGCTTAGTGGTCGACATATTAACTACAGAGTTTCTAGCAGCAATAAAAATAACTAACATTTGCAATATAACTCCTCCATGACATTCACATTTTCATAATACATTTCTAATAATCTTTTTTAGGATGAGTTTGCTGGTGATGGAGTTGATCTGTATGATGATGTGATAGCAGCTCCCGCTGGTGGTAACGGTGGTGTTTCTACAGGAAACAGTGGAGATGGTGGAGGTGATACAACTTCACCAAATGAAGAAACAAATGGTAGTGCACCTTATCATCAGCTTGGAAATAATATTCAACCAAACCAAATTGGAAGACGCCATCAATTATATGTTGGCAATTTAACTTGGGTATGTAACTTGGTAGTGATCCATTTTTACATATGTAATAAATAGTAACACAGACTTTATTGATATTTGGTTGTCTGTTACAGTGGACAAGCGATCAAGATATAACCGATGTGGTGCAAAGTATTGGTGTATCTGATTTTGTTGAAGTAAAATTCTTTGAAAATCGAGCAAATGGACAATCCAAGGGTTTCTGTGTTATATCTCTTGGCTCAGAACAAAGTATGAGGATATGTATGGAAAGACTGCCTAAAAAAGAATTGCATGGCCAGAATCCAGTAGTAACGTTCCCTACTAAACAAGCTTTGAATCAAGTAAGTAATGTACTTATATTATTCGTAAATAAATATATTGTCTAAGAAGAAAAATAATTGATAAATTTCTGAAAAATGTTGATTCTTGTATTAAAATTCATAAATTCCTCTTTTTTTTGTATTTATCCTACTTCTTAAACCCTTGCCAAATAAAATTATAGTTTCTTCTCCATTATTTTAGTACATTTTTTATTTGTACAAAATATATTTATGTTTAAGATTATATCCAAAGGTACAATTGTACAAATATTGACGAATAATGAATAAAATTTTTAGATTTATTTATATACTAACTTCTGCGTAATTCATAAACGGATTTCCTAGCATCCCCGTGTTTCTCATTTTCTTTTACAATGTTAGTATAGAAAGTTATTTCAGCTGTTCATATCAAAGCGATCAACGAATTGTCATCGAAAGTAGTAATCAATATATCGTCGAGTTAAATACACACAAGTTAACAATAAATTTCATTTCGTATGAATTCATAATTCTAATGTAATGTGTAATACAAATTTCTGAGGATAACGAAGATATGACAATACTCTCTCTGATATTTATGACGATATTTGCATGTTTATTTAATGATAAAACTGTGTAAGGCTAATATTTGAGTGTTTATAAAATGTTGAATTTAAAAATTTCGGGTCGAAAACAGTTAGGAAGCTTTCATCAAATTGAAACTCACGAAAATCGTTAACAGTAGATAAGAAACTTCGTGTAAAACATGCGGCCACCAAAGAGTTAATAAAGGTTTCAGTGTACAAATGTAATTTCCTCTATTAAGTTAAATAAAAAGTAATAAAGATCGTTGACCTAATTGTTAGATATAATCAATACTGCTGAAGAAACATCTAGTCTGCATTGGTGCTCGTCCCGAAAGGGTTAAATCGACATCCAGATGAGGGAAGCAATGGACAACAGACAGTTTATGAATAAATCTAAAATGTGTATTCGTTGTACTCGAATAAAATTTGTCCAATTCTGTCCAGAATTTTTTTTTTCTTCAGGGAACGTCTTGGTACGTCCTACAATACTATCGCGTCATAAAGTATCATTTAAGAACATGAAGACGACCTCGCGTCAATTTATAGTTGATTGAAAATGGTTTTTAAAAGATTTTGAGGTTTAACTATTCCCTCAATAATTATTTTGTTTTCCAGCTAAATAAACGAAAGTGTAATGATCCTAATTTTGAAATTTTTTTATGTTTTCAGTTTGAGTCTCAGTGTAAAACACGTCCAGCTCCAGCTCCTCAGCAGAGCCAAAGTCAACGCCCCCATAATCCACACCAACATCAACCACCAATGCCACCTCATCAGCAACATCCACAACATCCCCAACATCCTCAACATTCGCAACAAAATCATGGTCCCCGGATGATGATGGGCCCTCCGCAGGGCGTGAGACCTCAGAGAATGCCGCCCCCAGGTATGGGTCCACCGGGTCCAGGTGGACCTGGCCAACAAGGTCCACCGCGTATGCACGGTCCACCGATGGGTCCTGGACCAGGACCGCATCATCCTTTACCTGGACATCCTAATCAAGGTCCACCGCCTCCTGGATATCAACAAGGACCATGGAATGGTCCGAGACCTAATGGTCCGCCTGGGCCACCGAGAGGTCCAAGTGGTCCTGGTGGTCCTCCACAGCAAGGACCACCTGGACCAGGTCCTGGTCAACATCGACCACCTGGAATGGTATGCGCTATAACTTCTGCTGTATTAACATTATTAACTGCACGTAATTATTAATTGGTAATTATTTTTTGATTTTCGGAATATTATGGGCAATTTGAAATGGTTTTATATATATAAAAAATTTTTATTTGTTAAGGATTTTATTCTTGTTGTTATAACTTTTTAGAAAGTAAAGAAATGTTGATACAAAAAAATCAACATAAATAATCCAATCGAACAATCGAATGCAAATAATTAACTATTGTTTTAGTAGGAAAGTTATTAACATTACTTTCGAAATGGTTCATAATTATAAGTATTAAGTGGGTCGAAAAGTTAAATTATTGAAGTTAATATTTTTTGGTATTTACAGGATTCTGCATAAATTTTAATTTTACTAAATTCTGTATCTTATGTTATTATGATACAAGTTACAAGAATATTTTTTGCACTTACATGTCTTACACTCCGCGTAAACAGAGTTGCACTAGAGACCTTTCAGAAGCCAGTTACCATATACCACAGGTAACACACACAATGTGTTGTTTTTTCGCTTTTCACGTTATAAGAATTCCATTCTTTGAAACTTTCAATATCCATTTGTTTTTGAATACGAAGATCTGAGTAAAGATTATTAACATTACCAGTTTTTAAGTATTAAATTTTTCATAGTTGTCAGTTTTAAAGTACTCAAGATCGAACTTATTTTGTGATCTTCGTTAAAAATGTTTGTGATGTTTTCTCTAATCTATTCTCTTTTGGACGAACGTGTTTAATACTCAAACTTTAAAAGATTATAATAATATTTCTTTTATCATGTGCAAGTGTTTATTTTATATGAAGTTCATAGTATCATATTACAGTGCATAAGATATATATAACATGAAAAGCTTCTCTATTAAACTGTTTCATTTCTGTCTGTTCAATGGTTAATTATCTTTGGCAGTACATTGATGAAAAGTCATTAATGAAAATTAATAACTGGCTCTGATAACTTAAGGTTTTAGTATAAGATTACCTCTATTTATTACATAATAAATAGATATGTAACAATAATAAATTTTCATTATGCATTTATTTTATTGCGAATAATATTTTAGCGAATTTCCTAAATCTCTAAATCTCTATTTAGCAATTCCATGGTGGTCCACCTGGTCCACCTGGTCAAGGACCACCGCGTGGCCCACCTGGACATCCTGGTGGACCTCCGGGCGATCCAAGGGGTGCTCAACCACGCCCTGAATGGAACAGGCCACCAGGTATGTGAAATATTTCACTTTGTAGTAAATAATATCCTGAAACATCTTGGACTTTGAATGCTCTATTTTTCCTTCCTTTCATTTATTATTATAAAATTCTTTTTCACAGTTTATAACCTGCATGATAGAATAGATGTGTGATAGTTATGATTGTAAAGTGTATTATGAAGTATCGGAGTTATGACGTAGAACGAATGCAAAATGTAACATGATGAATTATAATAGACCACTTTAAGTAACAAAGTACTACCATGTAATGAAGTTATTATAAAAGTTCACTGATATAATTATTCAATGTGCATAGGAATGCATCACGGGCCTCAGGGACCACCAGGTTTCCCTCAACATCAACATATGCAAGGCCCACAACCTGGTCAAGGCCCACCACAGAGAGGACCTCCTCCAGGTTCTATGGGTGGTGAGAACTTTAGGACGTTCATTGAATATTAATCACACTATTATTCATTTTTTTATACAGTAATGCATGATATTGAGGGAAATTTATGCTTAGGAGTATGAAGGTACAAGGTGTTTCAGACAAAAATAACATGAAAAATAAGTTCATTTTTGATGTTATAATGTCGCTAAAATAAAGCATTTTGCAATATTATGCGAACGATAACAAAAATTTACAAGATAATCGGAGAAAAAGCTATTGGAAATAAAAACAAAATTTCAGAATTATAATTGGAACGTAATACTTACCTGCTTTGAAGAAATAAATTTCAGAAAACGAATTTGGCACTTACTCCATTGTATTGTGCAAGCATATCCTAGAGCAAAAAAGCCTGCGATCTGTTGAATGAATTGCAGAAATAAAGCCTTTGACAGCTTGTGTTATACATTGTTGCAAGCTAACGTAGATATTGATCAGAAGTATTGTCAGGTCCAGGGGGACCCCCACCTGGACACGGAGGACCGCCTCAGGGACCACCACAAGGACCGCCAGGAGGACCAGCGCCACACGTGAATCCAGCATTCTTTCCTCAAGGCCCACCACACCAACATCCAGGACAACATCCACCAGGTCCTCCTGGTCCACCTCATGGACCACCACATGGTCCACCTCATGGACCACCTCATGGTCCACCTCATGGACCTCCACACGGTCAACCTCATGGCCCGCCTCATGTACCGCCACATGGGTACGGACCACCTGCAACACAGGTATAATGCACTTGATCCTTTACTATGATTTCTAGCTATCGAACGAATTCTTAATTCACTGTAGTAGTAAAATATAAAATACATTGAAACCGCAATTAAATCGGTTTGTATTTCATGATATATACATTTCAATCATCTCTTGAACACATTTAATTTTGTAATTAGTCTTTTGATAAATTTTTTCAGAGTATGCTACAAAAAAGTGTAAAAAATATTTTACAGCCACCATATGGCGCACCAGGACCTGATCATCGTCCGGAAGGACCACCTCCGCTGACGGAACAAGAATTTGAGGAAATAATGAGTCGAAATAGAACAGTTTCTTCCTCTGCGATTGCTCGAGCAGTTTCAGATGCCGCAGCAGGAGAATACGCGAGCGCCATAGAGACCTTGGTCACGGCCATTTCTTTGATAAAGCAATCGAAAGTCGCTGCAGATGACAGATGCAAAATTTTAATCAGTTCTCTTCAAGACACTTTACGCGGCGTTGAAACCAAGAGTTACGGTTCTGCACGAAGAGGTAAGCTTAATATTAATTTGTTTCTTTACGTGATATACGTGCCATATTTGCAATTAGCATACATATTACTATTATAATGAAATCGATGTAATACTGAGATTGCACGATATAGGTACGATTTTTTGAAATTTTCAACCGAATAGTTTTTCAGAATTAAAAGTGTTAGCTTATACGATATTTTTTAAATAAAAAATTCTAATTTTGTAATAAAAATTTCTTTTAAATTCTAATCCGTTTTAACGAACCATTACAGAACGTTCGCGTTCACGCGACAGAGAACGTAGTCACAGAAGGAGACGCGAGCGATCGAGGAGTCGCGACAGGGAATACAGAGAAAGAAGCAGGGACAGGGACAGAGAACGCGACAGAGAACGTGATCGCGAGAGGGAAAGGGATCGTGATCGTGACAGAGAACGTTATTACAGTGAACCATATCCACGCGAGAGATCACGAAGCAGAGAGAGGGATCGCGAACGTGAAAGAGATCGCGAATATAGAGAGCGGAGCAGAGAAGAAAGGTAAGCTCAATATTATTTTACATAATTATTTTAACTATCGCTACTGGGTATGTCTTTTTATCCAATTCAGTCGTGGATTTACTGACCAGCCAGCTTAATTGACAGCTTTATCAATAATGCGTACGCGTATCGATTAAAAAGAGATACGATAAACTTAATTATTAGCGAATAGTCCGCGTTGTAATGAATTGTATTACTACTGCGATACGTTAAAAAGTATAATTCTGTCTTGAAAAGACTTTTACGTGCTGTTAAAGTAATTTTGTTTTCTTTTTATAAACGAATATCGTTATTTCAAGGATACAATTATGTAAGGTTAAGTCTGTCATCTGTATCATATATTCCTCGAATATTCGAAACGAAGCTAGATAGGATTTTGTCATATGAAATTCATTCAATTTGACTCTAGTGACTATTGAATATAGATATAAGTAGTTAAATGTTTCGCGAAGAAATAAGTAAATTAAGTAAATAATAATGTAACGAGTCAATGGGCGATATTTGGAAGAGTATGCATCGTTTTATTAATGCGAACGTATATCTGTAAATGAAAGTTATTGTAAAACAGTTAGTAATAGTTACTCAGGTAATGAAACATTCAGGTGAAATGATTCTTACCTGTTGGTAGATATTATAACTGTTTGTTGTCGTTTTTCTTCGTGTTTCTGTACTATTTATATTGATTGATTTTTTTTTGAAATGGGTTCGTGAAATACACACAAAGACCACAGGATAATTTTCGCGCAGTCGAGTCGCGATAATTATATGATATTAACAATTCACAGTCCAGTATACATAAGGAGTTATTAATTATAAAGAGTAAAAATTAACCCTTATCTTGTAGCAAATTTTAAAGGGTGTATTTTATACTTAATTATTATTCGTATAATTCTATTCTTCTACCAAATCATTTTCGTTTAGATAATATTATTCTTCGAGTAACGATTTCTTGCAATTTGAAAGAGTTAATGATTGAAAATGTGTTAACTCTAATCGAGCAAGCAAATTGCTCACCTTTGCAGCGACGGGGTTGAATAAGAATTATTTTACCTTAATATATTAATTGCTATTGGATGTTTGTATACTTTAAAAGTCCTAAATTCGTACGACTCTTCGTTATAGAAAATTTTTTTAACAATTTTAACATACGATAGTAAATCCTAATTCAATACTTGAATATTAATTTACTACTACAACGTTTTTAGTAACGAAAATTCAATTTATAAAATTGTTTTAAAACAAAATTATCATTACCGATCTCTTATAAAATGTTTGTATCGTGTGATGCTAAAAGATGAATGAAAATGTAAATACTTTTGCACAATAAGCAATACAAATTTGTACAGGGAGGGGGGAGGGACCTTTTGGCATTTGAGGACTGTACATTTTACGCGCAGTCAATTTTTACCAACATTATAAAAAGGTATTCACCTTTAAAAAAAAATATATGTGTAGACAAGGTGTTTAATTAGTGGCGGTAAATGTTCAGTTGTTCAGCTGAATAAATAATACAGCTCTGATTTGTAATCATTAAACCAATGAATCTAGATGATTAAAATGAATTAAGACAAATTTTACATTACATGTCATTTTACTCTCTCGTGTTCTATGAATCACGGAAAATATGTAAGATCATTACATATCTTTCATCAATTGTGATCATACAATATTTAGAGTTATGTATTATAAAATGTTTTTGCAACACGTTCTGAATAGCACTAATGTCCATAGCATACTTTAGTATATAAATATTCAGGGTAAATGTATTTGAAGTGCAGTAAAAGGATCGATTATTTAATTTATGAACTAGTAAATTGGTAAACATACTTTTCATCTATATAATTATAGTCTTGTATTCTTATCTAATGTATTGTCTTTGCATTATAAATTTATTAAATATTTGTTTTTCGTTAAATGTACTATGGAAAAGTGTTTGCTAGTAATCTTGGGAATAACAGTTCACAAATTAAATAATTAATTCTTACGTGTTAATTATCAACAGAATGTGTTTTACAAATTATTGATAAATAAGGAGTACGTGAAACATAATTATTATAATTTTTACATCGTTTAGAAAGTACTATAGAAAATGCATCGACAAAATGTAGAGATATCTACAGACTTCGATCGCGGAAAATAATATTCTATAATGTACTGTTTGCGTTTTAACGCGACTGAGTATTTATTTAATTTGTATAATAAAGTAGGCTATTAGTACTTCTTATTTAGAGAGACATTGTAATTTGTGGGTTTTGAAGTAGTGTGCGTACTAATATTTTATTACAATTAGATAGTCGTAATCCAAGAACATATCCGAATACATTAAACATAACAATCGAAACATGGATTAGTTCTTACTTTTAAGTTTTGAGTTCGATCATTTTTTGTATTGTTCTAATCATATTCAAATATGATTCCGGGTTTAACGATTGATCATAAATCTTTTTGGACAAGATTGTGTGTGTGTGCGTGAGTGTATACATGCACTCGTACAACCCTAGTAATTGTAGTTTATATCAATTAGTATACCACGCCGTTAGTAAAATTTGTTACTGTATAGCTACGGTATACTTTTCTTTAAACCTAGTTCATATTTTTGACAATACATAGAAAACGTTTCTATGAATATTACAATTTTCATAAGTATGAAATCTTGGTATAAATGATGTTTCATTAAAATTCATCAAAGTATAAGCGGTCGTTTTATAAATAATGATTCGACCGAAAGAAAAATGGAATATATTCTTGTGTAATTTGTTTTATCTAAAACAACGTACTAAGTCTGGTAACCGTATAAGTCATAACGAAGTATGCATTTTCCATTAGTACAACACGTCAGTCAGCCAGGCCTCGAGTAAAAGAAGAACCGCCAGAGACGCCTCCCGTCTCGTCTTCCAAGGCGTCTAGGTAATTTACATACTTTTTTTTCATTAAAGTGAATGCATGTAGACTTTTTGTAAAAAGTTCAATTTTGTCCGATACAACGATTAAAACAGATTTACCATACGTATGAGGAATCATATATGTTATCGCGGTGATAGCGTTTTCATGAATGAAAGAAAACTTTGATAGGAATGTCTAGATTTAAACCGATAAAGTAAAATGGAAAGAAAGGTGAAAACTAACACATTGAACTTTCCAAGAATTCAACTTATCGTTGTAGCTAACATTAGTTGTCTTTTCACATGCACATAACGATGACAAAGGTACATTAGACTATAATTGTGCGAATTCTTTCATTATTTTGACTTTTAGAGTCACTGTTTGCATCGTATAGTTTAAAAAATAAGTGTCAATTCATTAGATCGTACCAAAATTCTTAGCTTTTCTTTGTTATAATTACATTTTCTGTTGAAAATATTTGCTTAGTTGCCGAAAGAATTGGAATTCTATGCAGAAAGTTATGTAGCTGCTTTTCACAATATATTTGTCTCTTGCGATACTTGTTGTTTTCAATAAGTGGTCAATAATATACCGCACGGGGTACGCAGCCGAACCAATAACACGCATAATGAAAATTATTATTTATGTTCGTACTTAATAGATGATAATAAAAATATAAAAAATCAATGCATCGCTAGTAATCACGGTATGCATAAATAATTTCGAAACGTTCAAAATCTGTATAATAAAAACAAAATTTATTCATAGGTTTTCATAGAAGATTATATTTTAAAGGGAATTTAAAAAAAAAAAACTATGTATACTATTTTGTCACCTGTTTCCACTTTTTCTTATGCCGGTGTAATTTTTTATTTTTTCGTACGATGCAAATGAGTTAAGAACACTCTGACTATGAGTAATATATTACTTACATCTAATGCTCTAATTTCTTAGTATTGATGGAGATAGATAATACTTTTTAGGAAACGTGTGTTTATTAGTTCGGTTATGCACCACGCTGTACATCTACTAAAATGTTAAACCAAGACAATGAAGTTGAAAACAATGTGAACAGAGAACAATGTAAAACGGGATGGAAAGAGGGATAGCGTAAAATTAGAGAAATAGTGTAAAGATAAGTGTAAATATATATATGTATATAAGAGAAAAGAATAAAAAATACATCGCTAAAGTAAGATAATTGGCTGACGTAACTTGTGTAGGTATTATGACGATCGCTACAGAGAGCGTGAACGAGAGAGAGATCGAGAACGAGAATCAAGCCGGAGACCATCGGAGAGAGAACGAGAACCGGAACGCGAACGGGAACGAGAACGAGAAAGAGATCGTCGCGACGAACGTGGAGACTCATCGCATCGTTCGAGACATTAAAGACTAGTATACAGCGCAAAATGGATTTTCAAAGAAAGAAGAACTGCTGCAAAGACACGGTAGTAAAACCCCAGTGTCTCGCAGGATCTCATCATTGATTTTCGTGCAAGCTTGTTGTTTCGTGGAAAATTTCTAACGAAACGGATCTATGAAGACACACGTTTATACTGTTCACCTAACTCTAAAAGTATCTTACCACTTTCCTGGTCAACTGATGATTAGTTCCAAATCGATTTAATACAATGAAAATGCTTTTACTATTAAATTTTTGAGAAAATGAGTTCATTAAACAAATTTGGATAAGCATTTTTGATAAGAAAGATCTATATCTGTCTACAAGTTCAAGTATTGTATTCGTATATACCATCTTTTAATTTATTTCTTATAGTTGATTGCATGGAAATCATATATTATGTTAAAACATCTATTTTTGGATGCGCGACTGTGTTTATCAGTATGTAAAGCATCTAAAAATAAAGGTTTGGCCGGGAAAGTGTAAAGCCAGTTTCGGATGTATTTCGAGCCTATAAACTTACCCGCGAGTTTTATCAAGTTACCATAACGGGTTCTTATGGGATTCATATACATATATACGTATATATATATCGGGGCGCTGTAGAGTTTACGTATATATTTGTTTTAAAGTCACCATTTTTTTCTCTCTTTTTATGCAGCGTACACTATATATATATCACACTGATAATGCGAAAGAAACGCGTACACACATGCATACATATATCTCTATGTAACGTTTAAGGAGAGTATACGTTTAGTTTCGAGGGAAAGAGAGATACGCGGTGTGTTGTCGATGATAATACACAAATATGTGCGACACAAGACCGCTACGAGAGTTGTTAAACGAGGTCGTGTTCAGTTGCGGTTTACAGACAAGCTGAAGAACGCGGAGAACGGTCCTGCTGCTGCTGGCCTCCGCTCCTGGAAGAACGAAGACGGCACCCCTCTGTTGTGGACTCATCGAATCTTCTGAAGCTCCGTGACGATGCAAGATTGTATCTTAATATAATACATATATACGCTTTAAAAAAAAAAAGAAAAATATACGTGATAAACGTGTCTTTACTTTATTCATCAGTACACACAATCTCCTGAAAATGTTATTTTTGTTTTCTTGTGCTATACATACCCAAGATTACTCGAAAGGTGGAACCGATTAAAAAAGAACACGAGAAAAACCGCACTTTCGGTCCCCGCGAATTAATTTTTTGTATTTTGGTGTTCGCAACAGCGTTAGGGGTCGAAAGTGCAGTCCTGGGTGAAATATTTTAACAACGATTACGGTTCGTTCCAAAAGCTGATATCACCCACGAAATCCTATAGTAGAAGTGAAACGTTCGCTTTGATAAATATTTGAAGTTTTCGCACATGGTACGACTATTTTATAACTGATTTCGCAGAAATACCTGTGTACGTCGAGATCAAGGGAAAATGGAAAAATGTAGTAATTTTGTGTGTTTGCATCGGTAATTCTGGGAAATTGGTTTTTATTCACAGTGTTATCTTGTTTCTCAATATTTATTTCAAATGTTATTCGATATCGAAACTTGAATATTATGAACAGTATTGTGAAAGCGTAATATGTCCACAGAACAACCTTGCCCATTTATATGGTGCCCGAGTCACCTAGCAGCTCCTGTACCATTTGCAAGTTAATTTTCTTAAGAATTTACCGAGCATACATTTTAATCCTCGTTTAATCAAGATTCTATCAATGATACTTGTTGATTTATTTTTGTGTCATAAATATGATGTCAATCGTACATAGTTATATGTTTTGAAAGTGTGCGGTATTTAAAAAGAACTTTATAGTTACATATTATGCTCTTGATTGTATGAAGGTTAAAGACCAACAACGTTTATGCAACAGCATAAACTCTTTCATGTTTTGGGCACTACGAAACGTTACTATTATATTATTTTATGTTCGGCATGACGTTTTAAAACTTATCATCCCCTTTCCTTAAATTTCATCTCTTAGGCGAACCTATTTTAATTTTCAAATGTACTTTCGAGTTCACTTCTCATTGACTTCTTATGTTTGTTATTGATTTTGTCGATTCGGTCGTTACTCAATATTATATTTGATTGTATAGTAAATACAAATGTAAGAAGTTATCGCTAGCACTTCGCACGCATGAAAGAGTTACAAACTGCTGAACAAAACTTGTGATTGTTGATCACATAATTAAGCTAAATTCTTCCTGAAGGAAAAAAAATGCCAAAAGTACTGAACGTTAGCATGAACGGTTCACCTTTCGAAGGGATTTTTTATAAAATACGACAAATAATACAAGTAATAACTGCTCTGTGAGGCTACGTTGTATATATTAATTTCTATTGTATTAAATAGTTGTTCGTTGTCTAGCTGAACCCTTTACGGTCTAATTGTAGTCTAACATAAGAACGTCTGTAATTAAGAGAACGATTGATAGCGTTTCTTGGATAATTTTATTTGCAATTATCAGCAATTGCTATTATTTGTATGCTTGAATCTCTGGTTTTGTCGTTGCACGAATTTTCGTGCTTTAGTGAATGTTTGTTTAACGCATCGGATCATTTTTTTAGAGACTATGAAAAGGAAAGAGGACCGCAAAGGGCTGAGCGTCTGGTACCTATTAACGTGTACCAAGAGACGGACGAGGGACTCCCACAGAGCATAATACAAGATAATTAAATCCAGTCGTACGAAAACAAAGGGAATTCCGTTTTTTATGTTGTAAACTTAACGAGACCACATTGCATGATATCATGTATGTCTCGTAAATGATTATGTTTCAATGTGCCATTTAAAATACGTAGTTACTGAAATATACTATACCAGGTGTAGCAATAAGAAATGCCGAATCGAGCATGACCAACTCATAGTCTAATTGTTTGGTTTATTATGGTTTAATCCTTTGCGATTCCATGCTTTTTTTAAATAGCCAATTTTAGGCGCCAATATTATTTTACATTCCTTATTTTATATTCTTCCTTACTTCTGTGTTAATTTGTCTTAACTCGTTTGTTCGGATTAAGTTAAATGTACACAAAATGAAGAAACATTAATTAAGTTAAAAATAGAGAAAAATAATTGTCGTGTTAGTGTAAGGATAATTTGCATTATGCAAATTCTCTCGATCGATATTAAAATTACACTGATACACTGCTCAAAGTAAAAGACTGATTACGTTTTTGAATAATTCTGGAGAATGAATCAAATATCAGAGATGAAAGAGAGAGTAATATTTTTTGAACGACTATTTAATTTGCATAAGATTGAAGTTCTTAAAATATTGACTACATTGTCGAACCAGAGAGGTGCTTATAAAGGTTCTTCAGTTCTTATGCTGCTATACATTAATTTGCACTGAAGATACCTTTTGTACGTGGTGATACTAACCAGTTAATTATTTGTTACCACTCTACCGTCCGAATGTTGTGTGACAATTCAATATTGTCCAAAGTTTCTTTCATTCTGCAATTTTCTGTACTTGATTCTGTATACAACATTAGTACATCCACATGATTCTTCGCATGAAGCACAATTAAAAGTTTGTTGTTGATCGGGTTCTGCGATTTTGGCGGAATCGGGAATGTTAAAACCGCGGGAGTTGATCAACAAAGAACTTTCCAATAACAACATGGTCGAAAGTCGAAAGTATACGTCTTCATCGCGTTCATATTTTCGATCTTTGTATTAGAGGAAGGGACACTGCTTTTTCAAGTATTTTTTTTATTTATTACAGATACTAGTTACTTATGACTAAACAATTCTTAATTATTTTGAGCAGTGTATGTTTCCTTCCTTGACAAAGTACCAATAACGTATTTAAAAGTATTGTGTCCGATTTGCAAAATCGAATCATCTCGCAACAAAAGAACAGTTATTCTTACGATAGGAAAATATTGAAATTATATTACGAACAAGAAAAGATCGCAAAGGGTTAGCGAGTGTTTTTTATTTTACCGAAGCTTCATTCCAAACTAATAATAAAGTCTCTCGCAACGATTGACAAAGTACAATGAAATTAATATTTAGGAATCATATTCCTAACGACAATTTGACTATAAGTATAGTTTTAGGTAATCAAATGTAAACGTAGTTTTTAAAGTCCTTCGAGATATACACACAGCAACAAACCTTACTTCTCCTGGATTTGTTAGCATACTGTGTGCACTCTTTTTGTATAGACAATTTTCCGATTCTGAGAGCTTTTACTGCAACTTACGAATTGTCGATGCAGTGATCGCCTTCATTTTGATTTTCTTGTTACTTTCACAATCACTTCCTGAATGGAAACATTGCTTCATGTTGCCGGGATCTACTGAATTTTAATTTCACACAGATAGGTTTCAATTTTTTACGAAGACATCTAAACGATCGAAGTAATTATAATGAAACTCTGCCTTCTATTTTTGGCATAAAACAACTACATCTTATTTCTAAACTTGTTTCATATTTTTAAACGTGCGAATTTTCTTTTGCGTGCTAATGAAGATTATCCATTTAAAACGCAATGATACAGTCAGAAGTTAATGAATGTATGTAGTGGTACTTGGTCTCATTTTTCTTTTCTATATCTGATTGTTTAAATAATTGGTGGAAATCTTTACCGTGATAATACATGGTTATAAAGATTATTTTGCGTCGTGTAAGCAATATAATTAAAATAATTATATTCATAGAGCTTTGTGAAGTGTAATTGAACTTTGAATGATTATTTTATCCAATTATAATTGCGTTTTAAATGAATAATTATAAATACTTCTTTCTTATCGAGAGTACAAAGAGCTGTGAGATCATTTTAAACGTAGGTCTATTTTTTTAATAATTTATATTTAATGGCACACGATATGCTATTTATAGAAATTATATTTTGTTTATTCAAAGTCGCAGTTGAGTAAATATTTTTTATTATAGAATACAAAAAGAAATTTTAGGATTATAATTTTATGATCATTGTAGGAAATGAGAATTAGAAGCAGGAAGCGTTTTATTCTGAATAATATTACGAATAAGGTATGATTCTGCATAATATAAAACTCTATGCGGTAATGTCAAGAATATAATATAGAAGCTGAAGATATAAAATAGTAGCTTCTGTGTAACACTATGATGAGAACAGTTGTTAGTACTTAATAGTCTCACGAATCAATGGCAATTATTTGTAATCTCAAAGAAAGACCTATTGACAAACTTTTGTAAGTATAGTAGCGTATATGAAATTATCTACCGAAATGCAAACGCATAACTATTCTTTAATATACAATTTCTTTACATTTCATTTAGAATTCAGAAATTTTCAGAAGAAATACAAAGAAATCGCTAATCAGAAAAAAAGGAAAGAATGATATCAGTATTCACAGTGTTATACTAATATATATCGTTTATATTTATCGATCTCGCAGAATGATGAATTTATAATTTCGAAAAACAAATGTGCAATTTATAAAAGCGTTTGTAAACGACTATAAAGAGATCAATTTGTGTTAAATGTATAAAACGATGTTTAAAACACACCAAAACAAAGCAATTAAAAGTACGTGATTTTTATCATTTTTAACGATACAAAAGATATATACATTTTTACATTCTGCAACTTAAAAATAAGTATGTACTTGTATAAAGACAAGAAGTTACATATAAGCTACGAATTTTCTTCTGTGATCTCATTAAAATGTACATAATACAAGTATAGTATCAAAAGATTTTACGAAGAGAAATATATATTTTTTTGTGCTTTTTTTTTTTTATTATTGAGCTCAGATTCGTGGTAAATTAAAACGCTGTTGTACAATTTTGAAATAATTCTTTTACAATTCAACAACAAACAGTAAGTCGTTTACAATTATTATTATCAATTGCTTATAATAATCTATTTGAATTCGACGAACAATGTATTATACTGCGTATACGTATATACTGAATGTTGGCGTGAAGAATTTATATTCTTAGGTGATTGACTTACGAATATTTATCATGCATCAATTACTTGTTACAATTTTCGTTTATTTTGCATAGCATGTTATGTCTTGTAACTTCTTAAGCCTATCATATTTATTAAATCAGAAATAGAAATTGCCAGGAGAAATGTGTATGGAGTTAAGGGGTAAGTGTATCACAGAATACAGCTCTAATTGCCTCTTTCTGGATCCACCTCTTTCTGTACAGTACTTTCAGCAGATACGATTGTGCTCTTAGAATGATACACAAGCTAAAAAAAACTTTGTTCAGACATCTTGTCCTAACCCTTCCAAATCTAGACTATAGATAGATAATTGCTTTAATTGTGTAAGCAAGAGTATAGTTCTAAAAGGATTGAGACTGCCTTTCAGAATTTGAGTAGTTCACTAACATGTTAATTATTGGATCTCATTTTCTATTTATTAATATTTCTCTTATCGAAATTATTTACTAAAATATTTGGAACGAATATTTTATTTAACTCATTTGATAAGAGAAGATTATAATAACAGAATACAGGCAATTGCATTAAATAATTAATCGCTGAATATTGTTTAAACAATGGTTTATGTAGATATAAGTATCTTTTTTATTTAGTCATTACATTTATTGTAACTAACATGTTGGGTTCTACGAATTCTCAGATGTTCAAATTTCGCTTGGAGACTTGAAACACACAACATGATATTGTAGTTTTAGAATCTTAGAAATTTGAACATCGTTGTATAATACTTTTATAAAAAAATATTCTGTGTTCTAGTAACATTAGAATTTCCGGATTTTTAATTACATTAATAAATTCATCACTTTGTATTTATATGAATTTGAAAAATGTTGCTCATTCGTGTTGTAACGAATGGAATAGATTTTTCGAATTCATAGTGTAAATATTAAAGTTATAATGATCTTTGACCAGTTAAAATTAGTTACACAAAACTCGAGAATTAGTTTTCTTGTTCTAAAAAGGAATAAGCTATGCGAAGCTTTACATAATACATAGTATGTTATAAAAAGATATTTCTATAACTAAAATCATAATTTTTATAATGAGGAAACGAAATAATAGTCAATATCTTATGTCGTGTGTAAATATTAAAAAGTATTCTCTACTTTTGCATTTAGATTCGTTGCATTGTATTGCAAAGATACTGAGTTATAAATGATCGAGAAGTTGTGAAAATTTGTAATAGACTTAAGTATTGTGCGACAGTTCAGGCTGTTATTTATCTAGTCGATTACGAACATCAGCACTATCGTCGATAATTCAATCGTAACGTATTTATCGATGAAGCAGTGTCTTTTTAACTTCGATACAATTAGAAACTTGAGATCTTTTAATTTTTAATGTAACGAATGTGTTCAATCCGAAAAGTTTGTTATGTACCGTAATTTGTACCGTAATTTGAAATATTCGATAATATTTTTAGCTCGTTACTATATACTTCTATGAACAGAAATTTCTAGGAAACTATGCAAATTGAGGCGTTCTTAAATATTATTATATTTCTTCTTTGATGTAAAAAACACTCAGCTTTGGTTTCAAAGGATTTGTAAAAAGATAACAGAAACGTATTCACTTTTTCTTAGAGAATTATTGTATTCCTTTTGATGATGCTTTATATACTTTTTTTATAGTTGAAACTACGAAGTAATAAGTGTCATCAATTGTATTAATAATCGTAATGTTTCGTATTTTTAAATGTAGATCGGTTATGGTAGTACAGCCAATGGTAAAAACATTCGTGAAATTGAGCGGTAAAATTAATCGTTAGAATAGGTTTCGTTTCATTTAGAAGTTATACTTTGAACAATAGTAGCGATTAAATTAATATAACAATGTATGAAATCTCTATTTTCAACAATTTCTTTTATGGAACGAGGTTATGTAGACTGAATATTCCACTCGTTTACCTGCGAGTGCGAGACTGCCAGAATGCACCTTGTATTCTTGCTAAACGACGACAAAATATTTTGGCCAATCAAGATTATTTCTCAGATTACAAATCGTGACATAATATCTCTCATAAATACGTATAATTTAGTGTTTTTGCCTTTTGAAAGTATATATATTAGCATTTTTACCCCAAGTATATGCAATACTACCGAAGTTACCCGAATATGTCGTACTTGAGTACTCTACCCAACATACTCGGGTGCTGTTTCATGATATTAGATGATAAAAATGAATGCTGTATTAATAAACTATGAGATTTATTGATTATTCTCAAATAAATATTGCAGCATTACAAACAACATCGCTGAAACATTAAAAACGTAATCATTTGATTATACAAATATCGTATTGACGAACTAGTTCCTATCGTTAATTAATGATAATTTATTGTTTTACAAGAATAATGTATAACAGAACTACATAATTTGTATGTAGTTACACGAGTAACAATAGGAGTTCTAGATAAATGAAAATAATTACAAAAAGAAGTGAATACGTTTTAATAGTTAAATCTTATTTATGTTGTAATTTTTCATGTTGAAAATTTTAGGAAGTGTACAAGCATGGACTTATCAGAATACTACAAGTCCTTTGAAGAGATTGTTTGTTCAACAATTTCTTTTTTCTTTTTACATGTAAAGGAAGAATGCCTTAACCTGTATAAACTTTTTTATACTTAAACAATTAAAAATATCACGTAAGGTAAGTGTTGAACTGAAATTAGAATTCATCGCTTAATAAATGTACTAGATACACAATTGATAAGTAAATAAGTACAAATCAGATACATGAATATGAAACGGCGTGAATACTATTTTTCTAGGAAATATTCAATAAATCGGAAAAAGTATATATATTTAACGAAGTCAATACAAATATAGTATTATTTGGTTTATGAAGTTGATATGATTTTTGGCAATTATTACGATAATTTCAGTTTCTTATGATTTATTTCGTAAAATCTATGCATTTTAATTGATTGTGTAAATATTTAATGCTAGATTTTGATTCAAAGTACAACTTTTGTATTCCTTGTGTAACAAGTATGATACACATTGTCATTTTTACTATTTAGTTTTGTACGAAAACAAAATTGTATTTTACAATGCTTTAACAACACCGTTCAATTAATTACAATTTAATTATATCACCAGAGAGATTCAGGCATAAACGTTTATTTTCTAAGTTCGCTTAACAGTTCATTGTTAAATCATAAAATTTGTCTGCGACAAAGATTTGTATCAGGACAATAAATTTACATATATGCTTATAAAGCTAATTGTTCGTATTTTGTAAAAGTACACGCGAAAAATTTGTATTTCTATGACTAGACGAGCAACGTGCAATTTGTTCGCTTAAATATCATTACGGGAGCTACGCTTACGCGTCGATAGTTTCTTTTACGTGATTTGTTGTTTGCTATATACGTATATACAATTTAAGAATGAAGATTACAGGTCGTAAGTTTCTTTTCTATCATACAGTTTACGTGATAAGCGTGGCCGCAACCAAATATTGCAATTCCATTGTTACCTAACAGAACTGGTGTCTGAAGGGATAACGTGCAACAGGGACATGTCGCGTGTTTATTTTGAAAATGCATCCCCCAATGATGAGCTCCGCTTCCAAATATGTTTTTATTAATAGGTCTATCTAGATCATTTTCGAGAACTTCTACCAGTTGATCTCGAATCTGCAAAAAAAAAAAAGAAGCAAGGATAAGCAACGCGTGTATGTACTTTTTTGTATTTTTTATAATGTATCGTTTAACGTTTTCCGATCAAAGGATCGATTACCTTCGTGGAACATATTGTGCTGTATTCGGATGATCCGAGAGTGTTTTTATTGAAATTAACGACACGTTTCATTCCATGTTGATATAAGATTTTTGTAAATATAAGCGACTGAAATATACTGCAACAAATTATAAGTGATTTACAAAGCATGTGTATTTAGCGATTATTTCCTAATTTCATATTAACACGTTGAGTGTCATGCCTAGTCCCTATTATGACCCTGATTAAAATATTGGCTCTAGTCCTTTTGATATGGGGGCTAAAAGTAGAAATCTCGTGGTATCTAAATATAGTAAATTAATAGTGATGTTAAACAATGAAAAATTCGTTCGGCACTCAACGCGTTAAGGGCTGCAACAGGTAAAATCCTAAGAAAATTTTACCTTTTATCAATAGGAACATTTGGTATAATTTTTTCCAACTTCACTAATAGCGTCATAGCAACATCGGGTCCTTGCTTTTTCATAATTTCGTGTATCACATTGCTCCATTTTATTGATATTTCGTTGTTTCCATTCTTTATAGATTTACCGCAGAATAGACACTGCCCTTTCTCTATTTCTTTTACATACATTGCGACAAGGTTCCACTGTTTTTCATCCAATAAAGGCAACAGAATGGAAAGCACAATACTGTCTCTAATCTGAAGGCACTGTTGCAGTATATCGTTCATCGGTACACCGTGCTGTTCCACGTACATTGGTAAATATTCTCGCCACATGTAAGGTACTCTGTTACATAAATTTATACATTGCTCTTTATTTTCAACTACAAATCTTTTAAGAAAGGGTCTACCAATCCCTAGGAACTTTGGTTCGACTAATTCGTTTGTTGGGCATGGACTACCACAGGTACACCTACTGCAGGTTTGTGCATTTATATTAACAAAAGCTTTCATTATCTGTTTTATAATGTACTTATTCTCGGTCGATTGAATTAACTGTGTTCGAGTATTCTCTAACAGAGTACTGAAGTAATATAATTCTGCGCTTCTTACGATTTCGTACACGAAGCTTTTCAAATCTGTTAACGTTTCGTACGAATCTCTGATAACATTCATTCTCCAATTTATGCGTGACATTATTGTCTCTAATTCCCCTTCGTTCATAGATAGTCTAATATCTCGAATTAATGTGTATATAGCTTCCAAATCTGTTTGTATTCTTTGCATCGCACTTTTATTCGAATTCAATTCTTGTGTAGTCTCCGATAATTTCTCGTCATTACTTTCTACTTTATTTGTTGTATTGCAATTTCCATCTTCATCTTCCTTTATTTCATTGGTCGAATCAGTTGATAAACAAACCAACGCATCGGCCTCTATCGTTAATTCGGATTCACAAGGACTTCCGTTATTTTGCGAGGAACAATGAGACTTGTATTTAAAGTTTTCCTCTCGCAAGTCCGGATTTCCGGAATTAACGACAACGATACCCGAATCTAATTTCTTCGGGCTTATCTTAGAATTAGATTCCAATAGAAGCTTTAAAGGATGCAACAGCGTCGACAACTCGTCATCTTTAAGTACTTCAAGCTTGTTTTCGATATCACATATTTTGTTAATCTCATTACTCTTTATTAACGTCTTCAGTTGTACTTTATGCAAAAGACACGTCTCTAAGCATTCGTAGTATTTCTTCCTATTGTACAATTGTAATATTAGAGAATCTAAGAAACACAGAACTAAACAATGAAATTCTCCGTTGGAAGTCATCAAATATATTCTGTTTTCTATAGTCTCTGCCATACTTATATTCGAAAATTCGTTGTTCCAAAGTACTACTGTTGCGGTCACAGGATCAACTATGTACAGACCATTAGAAGTATACCAAAATAAATATTTCTCCGCTACGACAAACAAATGTGAAAAGATAACGGATTGCGGAGCCCAAGTTTCCTCCATTTGCTTCTGATAAGAGGATTTCCTAATATTCGGTCTGCATATGGTTACTGGTGGAATAGCTAGTGCTTTTTTAAACTGATGAGTTTTAATAACAAGTCCATTTGCAGACACTTCCCAAAGTCTAGAACCTGGACGAGCACAAAAAATTTGAGGGAAATTTTCTACTTGTACGCTGCTAATACCCTCGGGAATTAAATTAAAGGAACGCTTTCTATTGATTTTCTCTTCCTTTTGGTTAATTATGGTACTTTTAGTATTTGTAAGGTACGTTTTATAGAAACAAGCGCCGTATTCTCCGTTACGTGTTTTATTCCCTATTTGTTTGTATTGTTCTTGTACCGTATCGCATATATAACAACGAGTTAAGGTCGACACTAACAATAAAGGTGAAGAGAAACTAAGTTGCACAATGGCCGAATCCAAATTCATTAATGTACAGGCTGGTGCTTGAAACATGCCGTTTACCTGAAACGTTATACTTTGTTTCTAATATAATTTATTTGTCAGCATTTATAGTAATTCTCCATTTATATAGGATGCCCTTCATTTTTTCGTTTATACTGCGGCAGCGTGTTCTACAAATAAAAATAATATATCTAGGAAGCCAGGAGACTGGTCTCCTTGCATCCTCTTAACAAATTCGTTCAATAATAAGGAATGGCATTATCACATTTTTCATAGTTGTTACAACTTCTTAACAATGCATTTATACACGTTTTGCTATATCACATTTTAGTTTTATTATTACTTGTAGAACACCACAGTGCCAAAGTATGGGCAGAAAAATGCAGGACATGCGAATGGAACCAATTGAAAAAGCAAAGACAAAGACTTACAGTGAAAATGGATAATGTCATAATGGAAACTTTGCCATTCCAATCTCCAATATATATTTCAGAACTATTATCATTCCAACAAAGGCAGTTAATTTGTTCGTTTTTATGTTCCATTGAAGTGGCTATCAATTTTGGCGTAGGTTTCAAAGCTACCAAACAAACCACCCTACGTATTGTTGCCAGTGCAATTATCTTTTCATCAGGTGATATGAGAACATGAGAAACTGCTCCTTCCTATTATCATAAAAGTCATTGTTAATAAATGTTTTTGGAGCAAAATTAGTATTAAATTGATACAAATTAGTCATTTTGTTACTGTAAAAAATTAAAAAAAGTTTACGTACCGATAAAGGTATTAGTTGTAAAAATGAGCATTTTTTCTTTGAAAACAGGTAAATACTGCCACTGGTTGAACCCAGTATAATGTAATTGGGAGATGTATTGAAACATGTGTACTGTAAAATAATGAAAAAACTTAATAATTAATTAGCATGGCAATCAAACTGTAGACATTTAAATCAACATTGATTAATTCTACAAGCAACAGTATACAGTCACTGTAATAATAATAAATTATTATTTAACAACTAGATTCACGTTGCACGTATTCTCTGGATTATATGGGTGTAATGTAAGGACAACAGAACGACAGAAGATTAATCAATAAAAATATTGTAAATATTGACAAATGAATATCGTATCGTTTTATTTACCATTATTAAATACGAATAATTTCGTTGTTTAAAACAAATACCTTGATTCGTTGGGTCGAATTGATAGGTTTATAAAGAAGAGAATTTATTTCTTCGTATTCTGACAAAACGTAAGGAAACTCCTGCATAGTTTGCATAAATCCCGCTCGTTATAAGAGAACGCAAATGTTAAAATTAATATGCACGGAGAAAGGTTAACCGACATAAACTCTGCTAAATTTTGACATTTAAATACACAGAATACCATACAGTCATAGAGTATCAGTGTCACTAGATGGTAGACCGGTGTCCAGAGGAAACTCCTCGGGGAGCTTCGGGAATTTGAGAAAGAAGGCGAATGAGAGTTTTCCAAGAATGTGTATTAATTGCATAGTTTCATTTGGAGTTGTGAACGATAAGAACTTTTCATTCTTAGTTCCGCGAATTAACGAGGTTTCCAAAACGAAGTTCAACCTTCCTTTTTGAAATACAAACTTCGTGAAACATAGGAGCTCTCTCCTCTCTCCTCCCCAATTGGCAAACGTTAGTTCGTACAGTGTCCTGCGAGGGGTCGTCATTCGTGGTCTGAAAGTGGTAGTAGTAAGACGTATCAAGACGTGTCGGCGTTTCACGATTAACGAGGTGCATATTTCGAATCTGTTGCATCGTTATTACTACTCGCGTTTAATTTCTATCGATGCTTTTGCATAATATTAATACATTTTTTATTACAAATTCAATCAACATCGTGATAAATATTGAATCGGTTTCGTACTCCTCTGACATTCGACCGGCATTTCTCTGAATTTAATTACGACCTCTTGTAATACAGTTTGAATTTAATTATTATTTGATTATAATAATCGTTTATGTACTTTAGTGCATTGTTATTTTGTTTCTGTTACAGTCTCTTAATGGAATTCGTTTTCGATATACATGCTTCGTGAGACAGCGGAGCTTCCCCCCTCCCCCCCAATTCACGAGACGTGTTCAGACATGTCTCGACATGTCAAGACGTGTTAGCGTTTCGCGACCAACGACGTACGTATGTATTTCCAACCTTCTCATGTTTCCTCATTATTACTACACGCATTTACTCTCTAACGGTAGAATTAATACATTTCTATTACAAATTGAGTCGGAATTGTGACAAAAATTGAATCATATTTCGCACATTTTCTTCGATATCTAATCGGCGTCGAATCATTATATCATTCTAAACGAAATTACGTATCTTGTACATCAATTATTGCTTAATTATGATTAGATGTGTTTACTGTAATGTATTTGATTTTAATTTGTCCTTTATTTCTGTAGCAGTCTCTGATTGGAATTCGAATTGAGATCCGGGTCATTATTATTTAGTATGCCATTAATTGTATAACTTGCAACAGTATAATATAATTATTTAATAATTAATTACATAGCAAATAATATGAGCTAATGGCTGCGACCTTCCGCGTATAGTCTTCAGGAATTATTCTATTACTCGTAACAATCGACAAAAATATTTCATTGCGTGTGAAGTTTCCACAAAAATTCAGATACACTCGTCGAATACAGATCGATTTAGGTTTAGATCACTTTCAAATAAGTAACTCTCGGCATACTTAGTTTTATTTTTCACCGTGTGCGGCGTTGAATTCTTACTCCATATTAAATCAATAACGTTGAAATGGCAAGGAGGTTTTCTACAGTTCCCAGAGCTTTGAATAAAAGCACAGACGAGGTATACGAGTAAGTAGACCTTCTACTACAGACGAGGTATACGTATACGATACGTCAACGATAGATGGCGCTTATTTGTCGACCTTTGTAGGGATATTGGCGCCACAAGCGCGAATTCCCCTAGACCCGCGTCTAGTTATCGCTCCGATGAGGTTGGCATCTCCGACCTCGGGGAAAAAGAGGTAGAGAGGAGGAGAGGCTGACCGACTAACCACCAGTGATGTCAGATTGAGCACCGGGTGCACTACTCACGCTATGCCAGATCACGCGTACGTGAGCTCGTGGAGTTTCGGAGAGTCGACAAAGGCAAACTGACACATGCCCCCTTTCTCGATTCTCCGAAGCTGCCAGCCTCTCCCAGCCTCTGTTGGCCTCTCCTGACCTCCGCTTATACTTCTGACGACGTATAACAATGACGACTGACTTCTGCCAACCTCCGCTGGCCTCTGCTGACCACTGCTGACCACCACCGATGCTTCCGACAACGTGTGACGATTACTACATGTTACTGCTTGCCCCTGCTGGTCTCTGCTTACCTCCGCTGGCCTCTGCTGACCACTGCTGACCACCACCGATGCTTCCGACAACGTGTGACGATTACTACATGTTACTGCTTGCCCCTGCTGGTCTCTGCTTGCCCCCGCATGCCTCTGCTGTCCCCTGCTGACCTCTGCTGACCCCTGCTGACCACTGCTGACCTCTGCTGACCACTGCTGACCACTGCTGACCCTTGTTAAAAACTTCTGCCATGATATATATGTATTAAAACATTGTATAATGTAAATCTATGGCAATAAATGATATAATTACAAAGAATTCTATGTGTTCTCATCATATTTTACCTTTCTTTTCCTCTCCAAATCATTACCTTAGTTATAAGACTCCCTGAAACTCCTTGGTTTCCCCGAACCCACTAGGAAGTCCTGAAACTCAGAACTTTGCTAAAAATTCAGGGTTTCCAAGAATTTTCGGCGTTTCCAAGAAATTCCAGGACTTTCCAATTGTTTCAGGGCTTTCCAGCTGTTCCAGGACTTTCTCGTTGTTTCAGGACTTTCCAGCTGTTTCAGGGCTTTCCAGCGGTTTCAGGATATTCTCGTTGTTTCAGGGCTTTTTCGTTGTCCCCGGGCTTTCCAGCTGTTTCAGGACTTTCCAGCTGTTTCAGGACTTTCCAATTGTTTCAGGACTTCCGAGTTGTTTCAGGACTTTTTGTTAAAGTTAATTTTTGATTTTGGCAGCAAGTACGAGAGCTGGACACTTTGGGAATCCAATTTTAACCGGAAAAACGGTCTCTTAAAACTAAGGCAATGATTTGGAGAGGAAAAGAAAGGTAAAAATGATGAGAACACATAGAATTCTGTTAAATTATATCATTTATTGCCATAGATTTACATTATACGAGGCTTGAATACTTATACATCATGTCAGAAGTTGATAACAAAGGTCAGCAGTGATCAGTAGTGGTCAGCAGGGGTCAGCAGGGGACAGCAGTGACCTGCAGGGGACAGCAGAGGCATTGCAGGGGCAAGCAGAGACCAGCAGGGGCAAGCAGTAACATGTAGTAATCGTCACACGTTGTCGGAAGCATCGGTGGTGGTCAGCAGTGGTCAGCAGAGGCCAGCGGAGGTTGGCAGAAGTCAGTCGTAATTGTTATACGTCGTCAGAAATATAAGCGGAGGTCAGGAGAGGCCAACAGAGGCTGGGAGAGGCTGACAGTAACCAGTAGTAATCGTTATACGTTGTTGGAAGTATCAGGTGTGGTCAGCAGAGGTTAGCAGAAGCCAGCAGAGGCTGCTAGAGGCTGGCAGTAGCCAGCAGTAATGGTTATACGTTGCCAGATGTATCAGAAGTGATATCTGAAATGATATACATATGTACGCTCATATACAGGGTGAGGCATTTTAAACAGGTCACCTGAATAACTCGCTTGTTTTTGAAGATAGGAGAAAATGCATTAGACCAAACTTATTTGGTATCGGGGGGCTCATAATCTGGTATTACCAATTTTTTTGTAGGTGGAGGCGTCAAGGAGATATGAAGGTCAACTTTGTTTTTTTAAATGGAACAGTATATTTTATTACTTACATTCTGATAGAGTGTTTCAAGGCGAATACAATGACCTATTATTAAGGTCATTCAAGGTCACCCAAAGTCAACTGCAATAGAAAATAAATTGTGTCAAAGCACTCTTCGAACACTTGGATACTTTGATACTGCTATTACAAGTGTTCAAAATGGCGACCTTGAACATGGATACATAGTCTAAATCGTTGCAATACTGATGACACTGCCTGGCAAATTTCATTTGTATCTATTACAGAGCAAGCTCTTCTTATACGTTCTTGCATGTCAAGTTTGGTAGTTGGTTTTTCGCGGTACACTTCTGCCTTTAATTTTCCCCACAAATAAAAATCGAGAGGTGTCAGGTCTGGGGATCGTGCCGGCCATTTGTTACTTCCTGATCGACCTACCCAAGAATCTCCAAATTTTCTATTTAGAAATTCTGTAACATTGCGTGCTGAATGAGCAGGGCATCCGTCTTGCTGGAACCACATGGATTGTCGTATGTCCAGTGAAGTGTCTTCTAACAATTCTGGCAAAACGTCTTCTAAGATTCTCAGGTACTTACTACTATTTAGCGTGCCATCAATAAAATATGGACCAATTATTTTATTATGAAGAAGACCGCACCAGACGTTTACAGACCAAGGTCTCTGTTTGTCGACTTCTCTCAACCATCGTGGATTATCTACCGACCAGTAGTGCATGTTGTGACGGTTAATTGCTCCATGGTTTGTAAATGTGGCCTCATCGGTAAATAACAATTTACTCAAGAACATTTCATCGTCTTGTAGTTTTTGTAAGCCCCATTCACAAAATTGTAAACGTTTTGTATAATCATTTTCAGTTAATTGTTGATGAAGTGATATGTGGAACGGATGAAATTTGTTAATGTGTAATATTCGTAAAATACTTCGTTGACTGATGCCACTTTCGCGTTCCAGTTGTCTTGTACTAACATGTGGATCTTGTATTACAGCTGCTACAATATTTATCGAGTTTCCATCATCAGTTGCTCGTTTGGCAAGATTACGTGTTTTGTTATCCACAGTTCCAGTTTCTTGGAACTTTTTTATAATGTTTGTAAAGACAGAAAGTGAAGGTCTATTATTACGATCGGGAAATCTTTCACTATACACACGTACCGCTTCCCTCATAATTCTATGACATTCACCATAAATAAGAACCATTTCTACTTTCTCTGCTATCGTGTAACGCATTTTAGAAAACTAAACACTTAGACTGAATAAATGTTACGAAGCTGTGCTCTAGTCGGTAGTAAAATTACCAATAATGTTTGAGGATACGGATAAGCGTACAATGTGATTGAATGTTTGTTTATCTTTTGTGACCCGTGTCACGCAATACACACACGTGATACACAAGTATTCGAAATGTACTCTGACACAATTTATTTTCTATTGCAGTTGACTTTGGGTGACCTTGAATGACCTTAATAATAGGTCATTGTATTCGCCTTGAAACACTCTATCAGAATGTAAGTAATAAAATATACTGTTCCATTTAAAAAAACAAAGTTGACCTTCATATCTCCTTGACGCCTCCACCTACAAAAAAATTGGTAATACCAGATTATGAGCCCCCCGATACCAAATAAGTTTGGTCTAATGCATTTTCTCCTATCTTCAAAAACAAGCGAGTTATTCAGGTGACCTGTTTAAAATGCCTCACCCTGTATAGGAATAATAAAAATGAATTTATTTTTGTTCAATAATTGAAATATGATCCGGGGGTCTTAAAACGTGTATTTCCGTAAGAAAAATTTCACAAAATTTTTTTCATTATAGTATCTTGCTTATGTTCGTCTACATACATAGGTCGGGAAATAAAAAATACCTGGCCAGTCGAGACTTGGAATCGTATGCCGTCGACGTGTGGTCGAATTTCAGTTGTTCAAGTGCGAGAAGGCAAATGAGCCTTCCTCTCTCGACTCCCGCGAGACGGTCCGAAATTACTTCGGGCAGCTTCGGAGAATCGAGAAAGGGTGCATGTGTCAGTTTGCCTTTGTCGACTCTCCGTAACTCCACGAGCTCACGTAAGTACGCGTGATCTGGCATAGTGTGAGTAGTGCACCCGGTGCTCAATCTGGCATCACTGCCTACACCTTGTAGGATCATGGCCTGGTGAAGAACTAGGCGGCGGCCTACAACCGCCGGGAAACAGGAAGCTGGGTGGAAAAACACCCGCCGTGCGTATCAGCAAAGAACTTTATTATAATACGTGCACCACGGATGTAGACACGGGAAGTTCCCCACGGCGGCCAATCCGCCGCGATTCTTCCAATACCAATCTCTGTTTTCGATTGCCTTGCTCGCGTCTCTGCAGAACAAAAACCGACCCCCAAATTTCGGGGGAACACCCATGCGTCGACTTCTTCTCCCTCGCCTTTGAAAAGAGTTTCCTTCAACGAATCGAAGAAAAACTTTCTAGAATCTTTTTAGAAATAACCTACAGTCCTCCGCTGACTTGAAGTTTCGCGGAAGGAATTGCGGGAGAAGTAGAATGGATACACGTATTCCCAGGCACACATTGATCTCAGGGAGGACATTGATCTCGAGGAAACGAGATAGATAAATGGGCGGTCCGACTCCCTTTGCCATCCCGCGAGACTCGAAGTCAGCGGATCACCGTACATACATATATCAAACCTTGAAACGAGTACATGAAACATTGGAATTCGTTCGGTTGTTTAGACTAATCTCAATCGTCGAATAAAAGAGACGAGGTGTTGCGATTACGTGTAGTACGTGGAATGTTTTTATTCTACGTGTATGCACAATTGTGTTATATACATATATTATGCGTATTGTCGTCTATGCACGATATATAAATACAGCGTTTAAATACATTATCGACAAGTGTAGGCCGCAGAGTCCGGCTAGCAGACTAACAGGCGCTTTTCACGGGCTTCAACACGTTCTCCGTGAACTGACCGACGATGTTACCCCTCGGATGGTAACACGCCACCACCACGCAGCTTCCGTCCCTTTTGGCTATCGCTATACCCATCTCGGTGGTGTTCTTCCAGACGATTTGCGTAAAGTGACCTGATAAAGCAGAAACAAACAATTACTTATCGACGAACGCGATAAATTCATGGTAATTTCGTTTCACGCGGAGGGTGCACGTGCACGTTCTATAAACCACGGAAGGATGATCGATAGCATTTATGGGCAAAAAAAGTGGATCTCGCTTATTTATTGCGACCATCAACGATATCCGTGCTGCTTCTTGCATCGATATGAAACTTGTATCTTATTTCCAGTGACATTAAGCTCCAAGCTGAATAGCGTATCAGGAAGTAATTAGAAAATGATCCGTGTCATATATTTATTTACTAGGAAAAATACGTGACGAAGATCGATCGCTAAATTATAACATTTCAACGATTCGGTTTCGTAATATTTTTACGGAGATTAATGACAAGTCTAGCAGCAGTTTTTTACGTACATGTATTCAAGACCTTTGGCTCCGTTCCGAACTTGTGGTCCTTCTTTTCGGAATACCACTTTGCGACCACCTCCCGCGCCGGTACGATCAATTTCGGATCGGAACAATGCATCGAGTAGATGTTCTCACCGTATGGGGACGACGACTGCGGGATCAGCTTGTTCGTGTTCAGCAACGTGTTCGCCCACGCCTGTTGACAGTTGAAAAAAATTCGTAATCGAGCGTTACTCTTTGCGACGCCGTGGTCCGGTCAATCTCATTCCAACCAAGTTATGCTCTCGCGCACGATTTACAGTGAATAACGATTATTAATCCTGTATAGTAAATCCTGGACACGGTGTTCGTTAACTTTTTGCAGTTTGGAAGTAAACCTTGACTCGTTTAGTAATCGTGTTCGAGTCCGGAGTAATATGTTTGGAAACTGTTCCATAACATGTGTCGTTTAACCCCTTGCCTTACGATTTAATATCCAACTGTGTGTGCCAAAAGCAACATCAAGGTTTGGCCCGGTAGACTTATCGAGTCTCTGAGACCGTCATTGTAAGCTAAGGGGTTGATCCAATCAAATTCTAGTAATATTTTTCTGCGCAGGAATAAACAAAGACTTCGTGAAAAGAAAATAGTTGAATTCTCTCGACGATCTTTGGTATTCTGCTCGAGCTTCCAAATAGTCCGGAAATGCAATCGCGTTTCCCTGATATTTTAATTATCAGAGTTCGAATTTACCTTGGCAGCAGCCGTTAGATCGGCGCTTAGCCTCAAATCAGGAACACGATGTTTCCTCCTGTACTCGTTGTGCACGAGCAACGCTTCCTGTTGCCAGCCCTGTTCGTCCAGCGCGTATCGCGGTAAAAAGGTGATCTTTCTAGAGGGGCTCGAACCACCGGCCGGAAGTACGTTCTCCGTGAAGCTCCCGAGGAAGTTTCCGGCTGGATTGTAGTTACAAACCACGTAAACTTCGCCGTTTCGGTTCCGCGCCATTCCGACGCCCAACTCGGTGCTGTCTTTCCACACGACTTGGGTGAAGTGGCCAGTCTTCAACGTGGTGGGCTCCTTTCCGTACTGATGTTGAGCTTCCTCGGCATACCTACAGAGATATGCACACGTATGAAGCAGAATATCGCATAGAATGACTGTCGTTTCTGAAAAAGAAACGATTGTGAATTTGAGGGTGGCTCACCATTCGTTCACAGGCTCATCGCCACTGACGATGGTCTTCGGGTTGGAGCTCCACATGCAGTATAGATTCTCACCGTAGTCTATGTTCGCCCTGTGCTCTAACCTACCCCTAGTCGCCAGTATGTTGGCCCAGTCCTGACTCGTCTTACATAACTGAAAATAATTCGATTCATCAGCGAAAGTAAGAAATTAAGAATGTAAAATTTGCTGAATGTTAACACGCCGACTGTCAAGTTTTATTACTTAGAATCGCGACCACGACTACCAATGTACTCGATGAGATTTTTACAGCAATGTGTTTTGCTACATTTGTGGCGCAGCTACGGTTTCCAGTGTCGAACAAACTTTTTATATATGCGATATTCGTTTCACATCCGGCGGATTATTGAGTCAGTGTGTTAAGTGACCGTAAGCTGTTTGAGTAACAAAAATATTTTAATATCGTACTAATACCAGAGATAAACAAGTACGATCGATGGCGAGCACCGGCGAAATCCATCGTCGTCTTCTGACAGAAATATAGAGTTTATGTATTTATGCTAGTATCGAAAATGTAAGATACAATAATTTTAATCTGTTGTATTTTCTTAGAGGAATAACGCGCGCATTTTGCGTGGTTTGCCGCGTATTTTAATTATTGGTCGCGACGCCGGTCACCGGTGGGCCCCACGGCGCTGTAGCCAAGTCGAGTGCCGGCCACCGGTGACCCCCACGACGGTCAACGTGTTAATTGCCGACAGTATGACTTACTTTTTGTCGTATAATATTAGAATAAGGTAGTCACCTGTTTGCTGAGACGCAGAGGTGGCACGCCATGCCTCGAGCGGTAGAAATTGTGCGTTTCGAGGCAAACGTTGATGAATTCCTTCGGAGGGCCCAATCTGCGCACAGACGGTTTACGTGTGTCAGTCTTTGTTATCTACAACACACAGAGAGAATGTCGCGTAATAGATAATTTTCCAACAATAGTCACAGAACCGCGGGTATTGCTCGAAGAGAAAATCGGGGAAAGCCAATAAGACCCATCGTTCTACCGCTCATTTCTCATGCATATAGAGCAGCGATTCTTAACTACTATGCCGCGGCACGCTATCATACCGTGAAAACGGCTCGTAACATCCAGCAACAGCCGTAATATCTCTTATTTTCTATAACTCCAAATCCCATCGCTGCAACTGTTCAACGTTAACAAGCTGGATTTGTATATATCATTCTACGGAACAATTACACGATCGATTCGACGTTTCACTGTTCAGGAAGAATGATACTGATCTCCATAATAAAAAAAAAACACATAAAGAACGTGATAGGCAATTTTTGAAAAATTAATTATGCAAAGTATACGACAGTCCCTTTGCTAACGAGAAATAATCTTTTTAGCGGTTACTAATAACGAGTCCTGTATAAAAAGATTCTCTTTTATTTGCGATTTGTGCACTTCCAGCTAAGACAAATATATTTAATAAAAACATCATCGTAACGCTCTAAGTATATTTGATCGTAAGAACGTTTTCTCCAAAGTCTTTCCATTCTTGAAAATCTCCTACTTTTCCTTTTTCGTACGTAAAATGAAAATAATTCTAAAAAGTTCGTTGCTCTCTATTCTCCAATGTCTTAGTTTCGAGCGTGCGCGTCACGGTCAGAACTAAATCACGCGACAAGCGCTCGGTAGCCAGCAATAAAGTCTCTGACGTCCTTAATAACCTAGATGCGGAATAGTCAATGAGCGAACTGACTGGCAGAAACGATTTCCCATCATTCTATCGCGACGGGTTCGTTTCCAGCGCAAACAGCCAGGCAGGACTTCTTCGTCGCGAGGACCTCCTTTTTTCCGACGACGGTTCCGTGGGATTCTCAGTTTCCCGTTCGAGGTTCTGACAGAACAGTGCCAACTTCAGGTATTTTTGTCGTCGAAGCAGCCATCGATCGCACGCGTATTTTTAATTTCCGTGCAAATGTCAGGCGACATTGGGCGCTCGACTGTCGATGGCAAGGCGCCGGTGGGTACGAACGCTGCTAATAATTATCGATAACGTGTTGGTACTTATCGATGGACCGATAATATCGTTCGAATATCGATAAAGATTACTAAAAGAGAACGTAACGCGTAACGGTGGATTTGAATATTACGAAAGTACTGTTCGAAAGAGACTAGTTCAAAATTCTATTCTAGATTTCAGGTCTCCTTTTTATAAGCGGTTTTTAGATCAGTTTTAGGCCATATGCGTAAAAAAATTAACCCGAATTGAGAATATACACGAACGAAAACGTCGAATCGTAAATAAGGTTGTAAGGAAGACGCGCGTTTTATACGACTATATTTATAATTCTTTCTCTCGTCCGGTAGCGTTCGATTGTCGTAAACGCGGGCGTGTTGCGCGCGAGTAGAAAGAATAAATAGAAAACGAAACGGGCGCGGGCTCGCGTTGAGAAAAATCGGCACGGGAGCACGCGAGGCTGACTCTCCGTGGCCGATTAGTCATCGTTGCGAGAGTAACGATTTCCCGAGGCGGTGCACGACCGCTCAGACGTGTCTCTCAAAAAGGGAACGATCCTGAGTCATCGACAGATGGCAACGTACCTTCATGTCGCTCGACTCGTTCCTAGGTAAACGTCTTTCAGAGGCGTCACGTGCCACCGCGAAACGCACGATAATGACTTACGCGCTCTGGACTCGCAACCCTTTAAATGGCGAACAGTTACGACGCTCGTTTCTGGAGCGTTTTTTTTCTACGACGGCTGCGCGACCTATTAAAATCCTTCGTTTCTTCGCGTTTCCCCAAAGCAGCAATTTTTAGGATAATAGAACCTATCGTAGCTTATCGATTCTCCATTTTCGTAATCGCTTTGGAAGACTACGAGCATTTTCTCTGTTAACTGCAAACAGTTCGTTTTTTAACATTGGTCGAGAAGAGGAATTTTTTATATCAGAATCTATCGAGGCTATATAAAAATATAGAAACCATCGAAGTCTACAATTTTGGTAAAAACTGCCTTAAGATACGAATGTTTCTTCTTTTCGATCTCGACTCATTTCGAATAAATTTTACTTGAATTGCAGACGAGCTTTCACAATATACAATCGTACGTTTGCAGAAAGATAATAATAATGAAAAATCTGAAAACTTTAAGGGTTGTTTTAAGCTGCTACGAAAATAGAAACGTGTCAACCAATTTACCTTGTTATGGAAGTCAACGCTGCTAATACGGATTTTTAAATTTGATTAAGCGAAAAATCACCTAAAATACGTTTCCCTACGGTCGTTTCGTGTGAACAAGCCCGTATGTCTCTGCGTTTAATTTTCACCGTGTACAACTCGCGACGCTAAAAAACTAAACTCGGCTCGATTTCGTGATACAGGAACAGCGACGATCGGAACGTCATGACAACGCGATTTTTAATTTCCGCGGTGACAAAACGTCGTGAGATTCAATGTCACGGCGACACGAGTCGTGACTTTGCGCCACGTGAAAACGAGCCTTTAGGAGTGCACGTACTAGCGCAGGAAAGGAGGCATCTAACTTTCAGATATTAACCGATGATACTCTCGGTTCGTGCAGAGATTTCTCTAGAACCGACGAGAGATTAACTGACATGTAGACTTCAACTAACTTGTACACGAAGCATTCTAAGGTCTTAATTAAGAACAGAGGGGTCAATGACACAGGTAGAAGAGTTGAGAAATGTTTTTAAGCGACCATCGGATGACTAATGCCAAGAAGAAAATGGTCAGGATAAATGTACAGTTATTCGATGGCGATTTATGGAACGATTTAAATAAAAAGATGCATCATCTTATTTCTTGACCCTTCCTCTATAATTGCTATCTTTAAACCAATGCAATATTCAAAACAACGTTTACAAAATATCAACTCTTAATTCGGTAAACTCGGAAATTCCAATTTGCAAATATTATTTTTCCTTTTCGTTTCCGTGGTCGTTTTACCTTTCAGAAACATACGCATTACGCAACGACGATGGCAAATGAATGGCACGTGGTGAAATTTCACTGGCACGCGGAAAATTATGTAACAAATATTTACTTTATTAAAAATTCATCTGAATTTATTTCGAACTGAACACGCTTTCGCGACCACGTGATATAACTGATCGGCGAACGCTCGCAGTCACGATCATGAATTAATAATACATACGATTTTTCGTTCATTACGAACAAACAAAGACATTTTCTAACGCATGAAAATTTCGGGGAAACATTTCTGGCTACACAGTAGATTTTCGGTAAAGAATTTTTTTCTCAAAAGTACGTAGGATTTCGGGGGTATCAGTATTCACCAACAATGATCGTAAATGACCCCCGTAACCATAAATAATTTTACAAGAATGATTTGATACTTTTCAATCTCGCCGAAAAATTTGTCCACATTTCTGAATTTTTTCCTCGAAAGTGCGTAAGATTTCGGGGGTATACGTATTCACCAAAAATGGTTGTAATTTGCCCCTGAAAATAAAGATAATTTTTTTAAAACGATTTGAAATGTTTCAATTTTGTCGAAAAATTTATCCACTTATTGAATTTTTTTCTCGAAAATGGTTAGGAATTCGAGGGTATGTCTATTGACCAAAAATGATTGCAATTGACCCCCGTAACCAGAAATAATTTTACAAGAATGATTTGATACTTTTCAATCTCGCCGAAAAATTTGTCCACATTCCTGAATTTTTTCCTCGAAAGTGCGTAAGATTTCGGGGGTATACGTATTCACCAAAAATAGTTGTAATTTGCCCCTGCAACTAGAAATAATTTTTTTAAAACGATTTGAAATGTTTCAATTTTGTCGAAAAATTTATCCACTTATTGAATTTTTTTCTCGAGAATGGTTATGAATTCGAGGGTATGTCTATTGACCAAAAATGATTGCAATTGGCCCCCGTAACCAGAAATAATTTTACAAGAATGATTTGATACTTTTCAATCTCGCCGAAAAATTTGTCCACATTCCTGAATTTTTTCCTCGAAAGTGCGTAAGATTTCGGGGGTATATGTATTCACCAAAAATGGTTGTAATTTGCCCCTGCAACTAAAGATAATTTTTTTAAAACGATTCGAAATGTTTCAATTTTGTCGAAAAATTTATCCACTTATTGAATTTTTTTCTCGAAAATAGTTAGGAATTCGAGGGTATGTCTATTGACCAAAAATGATTGCAATTGACCCCCGTAACCAGAAATAATTTTACAAGAATGATTTGATACTTTACAATCTCGCCGAAAAATTTGTCCACATTCCTGAATTTTTTCCTCGAAAGTGCGTAAGATTTCGGGGCTATACGTATTCACCAAAAATGGTTGTAATTTGCCCCTGCAACTAAAAATAATTTTTTTAAAACGATTCGAAATGTTTCAATTTTGTCGAAAAATTTATCCACTTATTGAATTTTTTTCTCGAAAATGGTTAGGAATTCGAGGGTATGTCTATTGACCAAAAATGATTGCAATTGACCCCCGTAACCAGAAATAATTTTACAAGAATGATTTGATACTTTTCAATCTCGCCGAAAAATTTGTCCACATTCCTGAATTTTTTCCTCGAAAGTGCGTAAGATTTCGGGGGTATATGTATTCACCAAAAATGGTTGTAATTTGCCCCTGTAACTAAAGATAATTTTTTTAAAACGATTCGAAATGTTTCAATTTTGTCGAAAAATTTATCCACTTATTGAATTTTTTTCTCGAGAATGGTTAGGAATTCGAGGGTATGTCTATTGACCAAAAATGATTGCAATTGACCCCCGTAACCGAAAATAATTTTATCAGAACGATTCGAAATTTTTCAATTTCGCCGGAACATTAAACGTTAATAATTTTTTAACGAAGGCTCGATCAACAAATTGGTATTCTTGATTTTTGTCTTATTTTGGCCTCTGGAATCTCCCATTAAAGTTTTTCCCAGAGTTGGCCGAGCACCCCGTATATTTTCGCGAACAGAATGATCTAATTATCCAGTGCAGAAAAGTTTGGACTAGATCGGTGATCTAAAAGCCTTGCACTCATCTCGTAGGATTTATCTGTAACTTGAGGGAAGGTTAAGCTCCAGTTAGAGACTTCTGATACCCTTTGACACGCCATGTCGCGGTATCGTTGCCCGATTTTCCAATATTGACAGTTTCTATCGCAGGGTAACGCATCGTTGTCGCGTGACCAACGACTCACAATCGACTTAAATCTATATTGCTGGTATCTTTACCGGTGTCGAGGAGTATCTTGCGGAATCAGGCGACGCCGAGGACGACCTGGCGCTGCTGTACGACATGCCATCGCTTCCTAAACTACCGTGAAAACTGCCGTGCAGGGAATTCGACAGTGGCCCTGGAGACGCTGGTGACGCCGTCAAAGGGGACTTCGATCTCACCGAATCCGTCCTAGACCTGCAAGTAAAATCGATTACATGGTGGATGCAGAACACACAACGTTCCCATTCAGTTTCGCCGAAACAACGAGCCTAGATTGTCGAACGCGATTCAAGCGATTGCGAATTTCGATCTAGCACCGTTCACGGACCTTCGAAACCGATCTCCTCCGTTTCTCGAATTGCATCCGCGACAGCGTACAGGGCTAAAATTCAACCAATATATTCTATACGTTTTCACTGTGGAACTGAAGCAATTCTGTCGAAACGTTAAAGGAAATTAATTTCGAACAGGATTCGTGAATTTTTAGGGCGGTTACAAAAATATGTATCGAGGCAAATTTTGGATTTATGCAGTTTATAATCGTCTGAAATCAGAATTTTGGTCCAGTGAAAAATTTCAAGGTTTTATTTTGGCAGTCAATGTTGACCTATGTTTGAACCACTCTTTTCAGCGAGACAATTATTTCGCGATGGGCGAGGTTGAATAGAATTCACCGGGTTTTCTTAAAATCGGAGAAGATAGGTAACATAATGCCTATAGTTTCGAAAAGAAGAATCTTTTAGTTTATGTTTTGATATAGAGTATCCCAATATTGATGAATAGATATAAAAAATTTTTCATTCGAAACTTCGTTTTGCAGAAAATCGACTGAACGTTCTTCGAACGCGTGTGCACTTGATCATGTCGTAACTGATCTCTGTACAGTCCATATGTCGTTTACAAATAGCATTAATATCGTACGTAGGCTCCTCCGCTATCGTTCACTGTACGAGTTGCGGCAGATACATTACCACACACACATACACACTCGATGCAAGAAGCATATCCACGTATTCTCGATTACTGTATCTTATCATTGTGTCGGATTGATGAAAACTGGTAGTCGAAACCAAACGATAATAGTATAACAAGACTGCAGATTATGACGTATCAAGTGCACACGACGTCACATAATATCTTGTATACACTCGAACGAAACACTCCGCCAATAAATTCGTTCAAAAATAAAACGACAAACAGTCGTCTAATTCGAGGTAAAGTATTAAACACGCAAAAAAAAATGTCTCTTTTTAATGTTTTAAAACAAAACCTCAATTAACAATTATACATAAACTGAAACGCAGTTTAAAATTATTTAGTATATTATTTAATAAGAAAAACACAAAAACACGAAAGAAGAAAAATTACAATATTACGTTTACTTTTATCTCATAGTATACGAGTGGTATTTGTTAGCAATGCTAACGTTCAACGAACGAACAACAAAAGAAAACATTGAATCTCTGATCCTTTATCGTTTTCTTTCTCGATCCATTTTGAGCTTCTAATCTGTTCGCTTCAAGATCCCCTACGTACCAAATATTTCGCGCGTTTTTCACGAACCGTCTACATTCGCAGTAACATATGCGCGACACGTCTTTTGATGGTTCGTCGGAATACCAACATTGGCCGCCGCGCAGATTCACCAGATGTTTGTCAAATTCTCAGTTCGGAGCGTTAATCGCGGGGTTAGCCAGATGTTCGTCGAATCCTCCATTCGGGGTACGATTAAATCTCTCAATACGCCGAATGCCCATTTACAGAGATCATTCGAGCAACGTTTATTTCGTACCCACATCGTGAATCGGATGTAACATTTCATTTTACACGATATTATTTCTATTATCGCCTTACTCCAAACCAACAACGTAATTGTATAAAAATTTTACGAGAAATGCGAAATCGAAACTTTCTTTTGGGACAGTGACACACAACCTATTACGTTATTGGATCAAATAGAATAATATTTTCTGGAGTAATGATACACTTTAACTTAAATTAATAAGAAATTTGTTGAAGACATACATTATATCAAAAGGAAGAAAGTATTAATTGGAGTCGTGTCTTAGAAAAGAGTGGTTCTCGATGGACAAATTCTTTTACACTTTCCTGTCGCCCTGTACGCAGTCTCTAGATTTTCTTTTCCTCAACACGTTCGCTGTCATGACGTTTATCAATAATCTCCAGTCAACGTCTCTTTGCATTACATTATCTGATGTTTCAGAAACGAGTTGGTTCTCGAAATAATTTTCATTTAATCGTGGACACAAAAATGTAGAACCACGAAAATTTGCGGAAATAAAAACGAAGATTCAACGAAAAGTCTAGTGATAAAAAGCCAGAGCAGTTTATTCGCAAGCATTCTGCGTACAAGTAAATGAAAATCGTTTCGAATTAAATAGATTTCGATCGAAAATAATTCAGAGAATTCACGTTTTGCTGTTCAACGGATGTGAAAAAAAGCAACGAGTATTTTGATCTGTATAAAATTCTAAACGGGAGAAAATTATTACTGATATTAGAGTCAACGTACGTCTCGATTTTAACAGCGCTTCGAGACGGGGCAAGCGAAACATTCGTCTGGCGGGGAACGTGTTGAATTAACGCCCGTTTCTCTTCAGCCGCGTTTCTCGTTCATCGGAACGCTAAATCAAACCAAATTAAACAAGTAAGCGGCATTAAAGTCGACGCCGTGGTTCGCTCGAAATACGACGATTCGAGAGTCCTGTCGGCGACGAGAGCATTTTGTGCCTTAAGTGAACGGTCAAAAGCTGAAAAGGTCGTAGAAAGCGTGCACAAGACGTATACTTGGTGGTACAAATATAACAATCTCGAAAAAAGTGCATGCTTGACTGCTAGGTACCGGTAATTAAAGGTCAGCCTGGAGCAGCTGTGCATTCAGGAGGGTGCAAAGGAAAATTCCAACTTTCGTCTCACTAATATCCATTTTTTTAATCAATCAAATTTATTTACACGTAACAAGACGAGAACAGTTTCTCTATCGTGTTTAACGACACTGTACTTTATTCCATATATTAATTTCATGACAATTTTGCCAACGTATGGTCCGTAACTCTGTAATTTTATTTCTTTGCACCTTTAATTTGGCATACGTTCGTAAGACGAATTTTTTCAATTTTATTTATATATTTCAAAAAGTCTGAGTGAACAATATATAAAAAAATATTTTTCATTTGTTTCCTCCAACGTTAATATTGGATAAACATTTTTTCTACTCTAATAATGTTTTGTAAAGTGGCGTAACGTAGTCTGTTAATTTTTAGTTGCACCACCTTGTTAAATTTCCGGGGTGCCACTTGTATGAAAAAACTTTCCTCAGATGCTGGAATTTGACAATTAATAATCGAGGCTTTTAATTTTATTTGAGAAGTAACGAATGAAGTAGGAGTTCAGAATTTAGTCTGAAAAGGAGCCCTTTCGATGCTACGTCCACTGAATACTCTTGAAAGCAACAACTTTCTAGTGGATATCGGGCATTAGAAGAGCCTAAGCGTCCTAATGCGAGTAGAACTATGTGGAGTAAGCAACACGTGCGACCCTGTAGCCAGCTGACCGCTATCAGGCAGGGAAAAATCTATTTAGCGGTTTGTGCCTAACAAGGGTGTCGCTTAACGCTCACAAAGAAAAGTGTTAAGTCTTCCTCTGATTTTAACCTACTTTTGCAGAATGGTTTCATTATAGATCCCTGTTTGCTATACGTAAAATATTAAGTGCATTCGATCGATACCGCTAGAGCCTGGAAGTACCTGATTAAAATAACACGACGTGTCGTATGGATAAACTATGAATCTTGAGTATTAATCATTCAATACCATACAAGTGTCAGTGACGCAAATGATAGAAACGAGCAGTCACGAAAGTTCAATATTTTTTTCTTTTCTTTCCGTTAATTTCTACTAAAGTTTAGTTAAAATTTCTACACGTTATCGAATATTGTGCAAGAATTATTTTATTTCTTCGTTTCAAACTTTTGCTTCGGTAATAACTGAATTTGAAAATTCATCGCACACGCCCGCGATTGAATAAGCGTGGCTCTGGTATGTCTGCCCACTACACACTGTTTCTACTTGTCCTGAATTCCAAGTCGTACTCTATTGCACGCACACACGATGAATTTTCGAAGCCGATTTTCTCATTCTCGATTTGTTCTTTCACGTAGAAGCTCCCCTTCTCGGTGTATTATGTATATATACTGTATATTCGTAACACTTGTTCCAAATTAATACAGACAACTGTGCTCTCGTTTTTGTTCGTGACGAAACATATCCTATAACACTTCAAAGATTCTAAGGAATTCAGTAACGAAAGTACCTTCCAATTCAGTCCAGTGGTTTTTGAGATCACCGAGAACAAACACTCGCGATCTCTAACACTTTATGATATAATATAAATATAGTTTTGCTTCCAAGTATCGCCCAGAAGAGCTCAGTAAGCAGGCATCACGGATTTTTATACTTCAAAAAACGTTATTCAATATCAAAACATTAAAATAATACGATACTTGCTTATGACAGATCTATACCACGGTTAATATGTATTCCTCTAAAAGAACCATCCTGCAAAAGTACAATTTATCTGCTTTTTTATTTAATAACATAAGATTGTACCAAAAAAAAAAAAATCTTTTTTTCCACCAAATCGCGTGGATCGATCTCACGTTGTGTGTACTTTTGCTTTCGTTTCGAAACTAGATAATGGATTTTCGCGTTGAAGGCTCGAAACGGACGCTAGGCGTTCGCTATAGATATTTGTTCCATCGACTATACGCTACCATAACTGTCCCGCGGACGTGGCCGATCGTTGTGATGCACGCGTAGCGATTCGAAGACGATCGAATAGGTTAAGGGGATATCTTCTAACGCGCGTCGTGAAATTGCACGAGTGCCTCTAATCTATTTCTAGTGTGTGTTCCACCGCGTGGCCGAATACTGTGGCGTCTGCCCCGCAAACAATTTACGTTCGCGGACGTCGCTCGCTCGCGGCTCGCCACACAAAATCTACGATCGACGCACGCGTGATTATACGTCCTCTAATGAATAGCAATTTTCCTCGGGCGCAGTTAACTCCGGGTTCGTACGCGCAAGATAAATGACCGCGCCGGCGGAAAAACAACCGACTCGGGATTATCCCCGGGTAAATTGTATCTGACCGCGACGCGACGCTGCCATAAACAATTTGCCTCCATGACAGATTTATACGATTCGTCCACGGAACCGTATCGTATCATTTTATCGATGGAAACGAGGTGTCTGAATATTTACAACTCTTTTTAACGCGTTGGCTACTGGAACCTACCCCTCGAATTCTCCACAAAAATCAAACTTTCTTTCTGGACAATTGTCCACGTATTTATTAATTCTAAGGGGGTTACGACCACCCTGATACGTTAAGAAATTCATTTCGAGACGAATATTTTTCAAAATGTCGGATACGTATTTTGAGATTTCAGTGCCGTTGTCATAATCGTTGAAAGTACGAATCCGTTGCTTTCACTGCTTCCGGCCGTAACGTACACGTATAATAACTGTTTTTACTCGGATATTACCTGCCCGCGATTATAGTATACCTTAAAAGTAATGAAACTATTAAGCAGGCCTTCTAACGCTCTAAGAAAAATGACTGCTCGTAAGAAATGCTCGTTCGGGGTAATTTAAACACCGGCGTTCTAAGTAATGTGGCCACTAACGTTTTATCTCGTAGATATACGATCACATCTTACGCTTCTCTTTTTCGATCGTAACATCGTTATATAAATGATACAACTATCTTTCGCGCGTATATAAGAGAACGTCGTGTACACGGTATGTAGGTTATTGTATGTTGTGTTTTGTTCCGTGAATTTAGCATGTTTGGTATTCTAGGCGCGTGGTGCTTATTTTTGTGGCGAGTACGATCTTGTTACGATTCGCAGAGTGTATGCACCACCTTGTGTAATTTATGCGACAACCGATGTAGACACAAGGAATGCCGTATTTGCTGTGTTGGATATAATGTTTTCAAGATACCGGTAATACATGTACGAACAAATAGATAACAATTGAACAACGCAAGTAAAATTTATTTCGTGTTTTCAATGGTACACAATTAAATCCATGCTGTATCTTCCACCTAAGTGCCCATATAAACCTACCGCGCGGGACATACGAGCATTCTTACATGCTACCGTATTTCTTCTCGGTACAGCTGCGAGTGATGTTATTCATTCGGTATTACTCCTATCACTGCCGGTGGAAATAACCACCGTACACGTGGTTCTCAAGCGGAACATCTCTCGAACTTATGGAACCCGATACACACAAATCTTCGACTCATGAAACCGGACACGGACATCTCTGGAACTCATGAAACTCGATACAGACCGCTTCTGACAGCGTGGGGCCTGGTAGGAACGACCTTAAACCCGGTCTGAATGGATTGGAACGACCATCAGACTCGTGAATTTGAATCAGAACACGTGGAACCATGAACAGACGACTGTGAGACTCCGATTGGCATTTCTGTGATCCAGACCTACGGTACCCACACGATGAGTTAGAAGCACAGCGACTAACAAAAGTGTAAACACACGACAGTGATTATGTTGCCTATTTTTTGAACTCAGGAATAAAGAATTATTTTTCTAAATGTAATGATTAAATCCACTGATATGAGAATATATTTGAACAAAAGGGTGCACGTAACAGGGATAATTAGTGAGCTCCTTTTATACGTATAAGCCTACACAACTATGTGAACTGCTTGTCCCTTGTCGGGTTCATATAAATGGAGTTCCACTGTATCAGATTCTAGCGACCTACAATTATCAGTATCGAGTTCCAAGGTTGCCAGAATTGAGTCTCACGATATCCGAAGCCGTCTGTACCGTGCTCCACAAATCGATGGTTAATGTATCTGCTTCGATTTAATAACAAACACGCCAAAGTATCTCTAATTGCCAAAAATTCAGACACCTCGTAAAAGTGTGCACCATTCTAAGGGCGCAACTCTTTTGAACGATTTCCCAATAATAGTACAACCGAGGATGATCCCGTGAATGAACTCGAAAAGTTTGTGGACTATAAATCGGAAATAGACGAATACGGTGAGAAGTTATCCCATCATGATCGAGTCAGGTGGATGAAATTTGATCGTTGCTATCTCCTTAACTCGTTCGCTGTTGTATGCATCGAGAACGGGAGTGAAAAGCAAGGAGAGTGAACGAGATACAATTGCATAACAAGGGACAAGCAGCTCGAGATAGCGATGGAGAGATAATGTTGCGACAACTTCGGATCCGTTGGAAAGTTATCGAACTTAACGAAAGTAAAAGAAAAAAAATGCTCGGCGGATAGTTATCGTCCAGGCACGATTATTCCAATCCCGAGTGCTCGAACGCAGCTAACAAGCCATTGGATGGAGAGGCGGCTAGGTTTGATCGAAATCAACCGAAAGCGGCGCGAAGCGGGTGACTTTCCATTGAGAATACTGTTCGAGCGAAGCTCGACATTTTCAACGTGGCTGCCGGTGTTCCTTTTGTCACGCAACAGCTCAGCTTATTTACACTGTCAGCGTTCAGGCGGTGAAGTAACGGCGAAGAAGCCGAGAGAAATCGCTGGACAGCGAGGGGCTCGAGCAACACGCGACGGGCCGAAAAATTATACTTTATTCACCACCAGGGCTCAAGAAACGCAATTCTCGAAACAACGTTTCGATCAGAGACGTACTAAATATCGTTGTAACGACTAACAATAAAACTAAATTTGTATTTATTTTTATTTGTCGATCGTCGATTACTCGTTTCTATTTTTATTTAATGGGTAAACGTGGTATTTTTTTTATTTTTATATAGACGACAATTTCGCGAGTCACCGGAGCCGTCGTTCAACGTCCCTCAAATTTAATTTTCGAACGACGAGCAGAAATTTTAGTTTCGCTCGTAAACTATCTTCCGATTTTTCCAAATTTGGAAATAAAATTTGCCTGGGTCCAAAATCGACGTTGGATTGTTTAATTCGTTCGTGAATTGTGATCCATCGACGAATTGTTTAAATTGGTACTCAGGGGGTTGAAGTTGCAGGAAAATCGAGCTTAACGGCGAATTTAAAATTTCTGTTCGTCGTCGGGGAATGGAATTTGCCTAAGTCCTGGTGGGAATCGACCATTAGGCGATCGAGCGCGCGTCGAACGCGATCGTTGCTGAGCTTTTACTTCCTTCTTCCTACGAGCCTCCTCGACCACGGCCACGGTCGACCAGAAGAAAGGTTGCTCCGTCCTTTCTCGCGTCTCGCTGCTTCGCGCGGACGGGAATTTATTAACCCTCGCCGGAACGTTCGAGCGCAAGATTTAACGGTGAACGTACCGAGGGCATTGTTCCCCGCGCGAACGTAAATTTGGAAAGTCAGACGGCAGATTTTTGCGGCGAGAAACGTTACTTTTAATACCCTCTCAAGTAAATTGAGCAACTTCTCGTCTGTCGTTTTCGTACGAACGTTTAAAACTTTTAAATTCAATGTCGCTTTGTAAGATACTCTCTTAAGTTGGTTCGAACAATCCCGTACTGAACATTGTATTCGAAACGTTTTTTACCATTTTTGTTAAGAATTTTCAGTGATGTCAAATATGAGTATTAAGATAACGTGGATCAATGGACATGGCGGAAACACGACGAATTGTTCGACGTTTTGGTTAATAAATCGTGGTTTTACTTGGAACATGTGACAATTTTTCTTCTTTAAAAAAAAACATTAAGACGTTAACGTGAATTTATATAAACCGATCTCTACGATTTGAAACACAATTCGCCCATTTCTAACGGTCTAGACCTCAATCGAGAGTAATTTTCTTCTATCAACTCTTCGTTCTAATTAAAAATTTTCGAAAGCATAGCACACTACGGCAGATTAAAATTACAAATTTTTATCGAAAAATTATCAGGTTGTATTATAAAAATCAAATAACATTTCTTGTCGTATTTTTGGTATCACCGTTAATACATGGTCACGTTTTCTAAATATTCATATTTTGTGTGACTAACAAACAAATATTCTCGATAAACGATTTGTTTCACTTCTACGCGACTCTTCAAACAATCACCAATTTTAACAAATCCTTTTCAAATACTTGAGACTTTTCGTAGCAATACCTGTTTTAGTTGCTCGAATATATACGAACGTTTGCATTTTAATCGAGGATATCTTTGAAGAAATTGCTTATCTCTGCAATTTGGAGAATTTTAGAGTCGCGTTAGATCGTCTCGCGCATAAAATAGCGTCTCTGTGTCCCCCTAATTCGCGATTTATTCTATAGTCTGTGTTCCGCGGCAAAGGAGCGCGTGGCGATAACTCTTTATTCTTTGAAATCGCGAAGGATAAATGAACTTTCTCTCGGCTTCGCGCTCGTCGCCTACGTCATTACTATTAAAACTAAAGGCCATTCACCGACCCTAACGAAGCCCCGAAAAGCACGATGACGTACAAATGGGAGGGGGGTTTGCTTTTTTTTACCGCCGAATGATCGAACGTTCGCACGCTGTTCGGCTTCATTAGAATCGGCATTTGGCTCGGCTACAAGTCTCCACCATAGGTGAATATACCTTTCGGGCGACAGCTGGTCGACAAAGCCGACCACCTTCTTTTTCGTTCCATTAACGCTGAGCGAGGGCATACTACAAGGGTAACGATTTACGATGTACACAAAAACGATATCTGACTTTTACTTAGATTTAGTCGTGTCCAAGACGCCCCGAGAGAAATTCACGCCATTCGGGAAGGGAAACGCGACGATGCGCGAATCAATTAGCGCCGTGGGCGTGTTCCTACCAGATTCCGTTCGCGCGAGCCAAAGTTCTCGGATGCATTCTTCGATAGCAACAGAAATATGAAGAAAATAGAAGTCTAATACCCAATTTACCCTTTACGTATAACTTTCATAATAAAATTCATTTCTCGATGTCAAAAGATCCTTTTTGTCAGTTTTGTCCGAATTTATGTGAAATCCACGGTGGAAGACATTTTCAATTTTTTAGATGTCAAATTAAAATAGTCACAGCTGGTATAAATGCTATATAATAAAATAAATTAGGGGGATGAAGTTCCACTTTGGGGCAGTTTCTCAAATCTATATGAAAATTTGTGAAAATCCAAAAGTTCTGACGATTGGCTACGAATTCTATTCGAAGGCGATCTGTACAATTCCTGTGTATACTCGATTTTATTTTATCGAAACTATTAAATTGTGAAAATATAATTCAGAAATGACAACGAGATTGGAACGTAAATATTGCATCTTGATTCTAATGTAACAACATTTTTATCATGCGGTGAAAAATGAAATAAAAGAAATATTAGCCAAAGACTCGCGCACGTAAATAAAGCCATAAAAACATATGACTCGTGAAATTATTCTGTTACGTAACCGAGGACGGTATAAATCGAGTATAAAAGTAAAAGGTCGGTAGAATCGGGGCTTGGCCGTCGGTCACTGTCGATCTCAGAAACTCGTTTTCAACTTTAAAATCTTGCACTCGACGTACAATGAACGCGTTAATTTTATTTTTGTAAAGTAGAGTTAAAATAATAATCGTCTAATTGCGCTTGGCGTGGCATTAAACATCGTATAAAAAAAGAAACTGGCTTGCTAAAATAACCAAAAAATGTCCATTATTCTAGAAAGAATAAATAGGCAAGTTTACCAGAAAAGTCAACGGAAAATGCATTTTCATAAAACTTGTGCACGCAATATTACCGAAACTCCCGCGATAACTTTATGGAAAGATCCTACGAAAATATTTGATCGAGTTTCACTCACGGCTGGAATACCTCGAAGTCGACAAAAGTCCTAAGTAAACGAATATTACCCTATTATTATTTTAGCATTATTTTAGGATTTTCTCTCGGGGCGTCTTGCACTGATATATACACTCGTAATGTATGCATATTTATACGTATAAGAAAACGAAATCTCTACGTACGAAATACGATCGAAAACCGAAAACAGTACGATCTACGTCAACACTAAACGTTTATGAATTCTCCACGACTGTAAAGACAAACTCGATTATGACTCGTGCATGTTTTCAGTAATTCTTACGTGAAAGTAACGAAATTGTTCGAAGTAATTAGGCAATCGTGTCGCTGTACTATAAAGGATGATTGTTCTAAAGCGATCGGTACAGTTATCTAAAAACAGCGAAGATGTCATAAAACAATGGTAAATATAATGGTAAGTATAGTTTTTGTTCTATGAAGTGATAATCGCTTTTAAGATAAATTAAATGACTTGTCCGTATGACATAATCTCACGAGCACGTAAGCGATCTTGAAGGTACTTAAAAAATTCTTATCGTACATTATAACGCTGATCGTGAAAACTGACGATTTGAATGATACTGATAAAAACATAAGATTTACTTCGAGCAGAGGTTCCCAAACTTGTTGAAATGCAAAACGAAGAGAATCGAACATAATCTGTTATCTATAAATCCTCCACTTTGGAAGCCACGAATCTAAAGAAATAAGTTCGAGACTCAATTCGATACGATCGCTTTCTGAAAATCACCGTGTACAGATTTCAAATTACCGGATGCCACGGCGATCGAATACTTTAATCGTGCGATCCTCCAATTACTTCGAGCAATAAACTACGTGATCTAACTGTTCAACTGTAGAGGAATCCACAACGAATGTTCGTCGACTATTTCTTTATCTAAATTTCTTACCGAGAAACGAGTGATATGTTCTTCCGCGGCACTTGGTAAAAAAAATCGTCAGCCGTTGAACGGTCGCAAAGAGACACGGAACGGAATTGCAGATTGTAATTACTCGGTGTACCCGACGTACGCGTAAACATGTACCCGTCGAACATACCACGTCATTTGCGTTCCAGGAAGTCTGGTTTCTCTTACTTTTCCCATTCGGCGGAGTGATTAAAAGCAAGCGATACGGTACCTATTCGACTTTGGCGTAACGATGTCTCTAGTTTCGGACGTGTATTTCCTTTCAGCGCGCCCGCCGTTGAAAAGCTCCACGGTTTCTCTGGTAACCGTTTCCAGGAGAGGCTCGCCGCCCCTTCTGCCCTTGCTGAAAGTCCTTTGATCCGTTTTACGGACCATAACCACCCTCGACAGGGGTTGATTGAATTCGTGGCCGTGCATCGTTGGCGGAATCATCGCTAACGACTGCGAGAGGGGCCCTCCGACTCGCGGAGACCTGAAACAGATCGTTTATATTACGAAAACCAACTCCCAAACATTGCACATTTAAAATCACTCGGGGTAAAAATTATTAAAATCGTTTTATATTTTATATTTGGTGTTATATGCAAAACAAAAATTGATACGTAATGTAAAACGTGTTAAAAGCTTCTTACAAACCGTATGTTTGTTAAAGTTTACAGATATTATCTGCTACAGAGATAAAAACAGGAATCTGGATTCACTAAAACATACAATACTAATGGCAGTGTTTGCAGTGAATCATCTTACAAAATGTGCTCGAAAAGTGCCGATTAGCGTCTATTTATTCGGACGATTTCTCGCAGAGCTCACTCTGTCAATGTGTACCACGCGTTGGATACACTGTATCAAGTAACACATCTCGATTCTTGTCTCCCTGACGTAAGTAATAATGAAGAGGCGCCTGTAGGCGGTAGCCATTTCGATGTCGAGAATACGATTCGACGAACCAAAGATTTTCCGGGAGTTCAAGTCTCGTTAATCCTTAACCAACTGAGTTTAAGTGCAATTCGTTTCGAAATGACTTACGCGCGTCGTAGACTGAAACATCCAGAATTCTTTCAGAAAAAGCCACGCTCTAACTAAGAACCATCGCAGGAACGTCCAGCGTAACGGGAAAATATCATTTTCGCATGCTCGTGTCTCCACACGGAACGTTAGGTGGACACGTCTAATTACGACATGGTAATAACATCTCCTGGAGTACGAGGTCAGTATTCACAGCGAGGAGTGAACAACCTAACGCTGTCACGACTTATTATCGTAGATCGAACACAATCACGTCGATGAATCGCTCGAAATTGCCATAGATTGTCAGCACTGTTCGCTCGTAACGTAAGCGTAAACCGAAAAGATGAACCGAGGCAAAAATAATCGAGTTTTCGTTTAAAGAAAATGCTTGGAATCGTAGGAAAAGCATGGCGTCCAGTTCATTGGACTATAGCTCGAACCTAACCATCTTCTGTTTGTCAAACGACTGCTCTGACAAATTGCGTTTACCAAACGCGGTTTACGGGTTTTGTTTTTACTGAACCGAGGATTAAAATATGACCATACTCAGTCACGTGGACGTATCAAAACGTTGAATCGCGAATATGTAACACACAGGCGCAATGATGTATTCTACATCTGAGAGCTGCGGGGCGGGGAACAACGAGCATGACATTCCAGTCTATTGGACTGGATCTGAAACTCAACACCTTCCATTTGTTAGACGGCTACCGTAATAAATTTAAGTACCCAGCCTGTCTGCGAATTCTTCATCCTGTCAGAGACAGTTCGGTTAACTTTTCGAATTGTTCAGCTTAAAGGAAGCGGAGTCCGCAGACGCGTTTCTCGACAAAACGATTCGGTATTTCGCGAAAATTCTAATCGTTTAATCGATATTTTATATGCCTTTAGCGGTAATTAAACATTCATGCGCGATTAAATATACTTTTATCTGGTCTCGAGTACGTATTTTTAATATTTTCTTCCGTTCGTAGAATTTTAATTAATTTTTCCAATTCGGCTTGGCTTATGATCTTCACATTTATACGATCTTTGATATTTTTTGAAAGTTGTCGATTAAAACGCGTTCTATCGAACTTTGAATCGTTCAATTTGTTATTTTCGCTACTCTTTGGATCTTCGATAGAACGTTTGCAACGCGCAGCTCGCATCGATCGTTGGTAACGTTAACTTTTTACTTTCTCCCCTGGATCCAATTACTCGGGTGGATTCTCTACAATGATCGTACACACGATCCGGCCAGTAAAACAATTTATTATCCAACGAAACGCCGTGGTACATACTCGTTTCGTGACTGAAGGTCGGTATACGTTTCCAAGCTGTTTTAAGTTATTCGCGTATCGCGGGATCACCAGTGGCACAATGTGGCCAATTCGCACGAAGTTCCCTCTCTCGAGCGAACAGTCGTTTAAGCGCGAAACCCGCCGTCCGTCCGAAATTATACACTCGATTTAAGCTTCCCGTGCGTGAACCTCGTTACTTTTAAAGTTCATATCCGCCAATCTCCGTCGGAACAGTCGTTAACACGTCGAATGGCACAATTTTCCTCTAGAACTGCTCTCAATGGTTGTTCAAACCACGACATTCATACAAACTTCAAGCTAAAATACATTTGTCGTGTCGTTACAAATAACAGTTATCTTTAAACGAAACATTTTTCACAGCTTCAAATATATGAACCGTTGGGTGAGAAATAATTACCAAAACTATAGTCATTTTCTATTTAAACAAGTGTCAGAAATGTTCTCGTACAGTCAATGTTTCATGGAAATTTTAAACTGTGGATTGCAAATATACTAATAGATATCTCTGTTTGTTGAATCCAACGTTAACTGAAATAGTGGCCAGATTCTAGTTTCTTGTAAAATTATAAGAGTTTTTCTTTTCTTTTATTGTTTGCTTCTGTGAGAAACGTTTACGAGGAAACGAAAACTCGGGAGAGGAATATCGCGGACGACTTTACGACGATCGCGACAGTCCGCCGTTCGAATCGGTGAAATTGCGAGTCGTCGATTGGAAAGGGGTTGACCAACGTTCGGCCTCGATGCACACGTAATCGGGAAAAGTAAAATTTGTCGATCGTAAATCGTTCGATGTCACGCTTATGGCGAAGGAAAGCATGCATCGTAGACAGCTTTCGCTTTTTATGTAAGATTTTTAACGATTGGGAAAAAGAGGTCGAGGAAAGGATGATATTGAAAAAATTCAATAGCAAATTGTCGAATGTTCGAACAGTTCAAACGTTCCCAAGTCGCTCGAGCATTTCACTAATTACTAATGTAATGATACCGCTCGAGACCCTTTAAAGATTCGATTACGTTCGAAGACGAAATTAGTTTTAATTAGCTCGGATCGTTTCTGCCAATTAATTGGATGGCGCTTCGGTCCGAAGTACGTCGAATGTTTGAACAAGAAATCGCTTCGAATTAATTGATATTTATAGGAGAACTTAGGGGAATGATGTTGAAATGTACTCTGATAACGAAGACAAGATCGCCGCAGAATTAAAACGTTCGAAATGATCTAAATGAATTTTAACAATTTATCAGTATTTAGATAGTGACAATTTTAATAAAGCGTACGCGCGTTTACAAACGTTTAAATCGTGGAGACCGAGCAAACTTGTCGATAACGCCGGCGGCAATCTCTCGGGGAAACAAACATAAGCGAAAATAACGATTTAGTTACGTAAAACGGAATTGTGCGATTCGACCCGCATTTCAGTGTGCAGAAAAACGTTGGTAATAACTCAGCGTTTCTCAAACATCGCTCTACACGTTCCGATCGTTTGGTTTTTATTCATTTTATACGAGTTCTTATCATCCGCAATAACGTATCTATTTTGTAATCGTTCTTTTCATTTAGCGACCTCGTTCCATTATTCGCAAACTTCTTGCCACCAACTTTTGCGATTCGTATTGTATAACAGACAACCCAGGCGAGATTCATTCTCACATTATTATCAACGCCGTTGTTTCCCTTTTATTTACACATACCCGTGCCTAGCAATGCAACCCGAGTTTTTTTCGCTTCCTGGTACGCTACCGCGCTAGACAAGTCTAAAAAGGGTATCATAAACTCGATTCGATTTCATTGAGTAAACACGATAGAATTAATGCGAAACGATCGACAGAATAATTTCAGAAGAATATGGGTCCGAGTCCAATTAATTCGTCGATCGTTTCAAATTTTTTTCGTTTCGTTGATAAGCAATCGAATTAATTCGACCGTGTTTACTCGATAGAAAGCAAACGATATACCCATTTAGTAATATTATATGCAACTGAAAGACTTTTATTGCTTTCGTTGTTAAAAGACACACGAAATCGCAACTGACGAACGAAACGATTTATCGTGAAGTCGTAAACCTCCAGTTATTATTGTCGCTTAGAGATATACAAAGATAATTCTGACACAAACGTAAGGCTTTCCAGGCATTTTCTTTATAAGGATTCCATTTATCTACGCTATCTTCCATATTAAATGCAATGGCTGTTCCTTTTGTTTTACTAAATCGGTCATCACGCTGTTGCAATCGCGTACGAGAAATTCTATCGATAACGAATGAAATTTAATAGTTTATTATTCACTCGAACATCTAATAAATTAAATTTGATATTCGGTAAGGATATTGCAATATTTTCTTAACTCAGAATAATTCAGAATCTTTCAAAAGGATTTCTTCGCAAACTAACAGCATTGTTACCGCGAAAACGCAATTTCTAGGCGAAAATAAGCATATCTTTCCCGCTTCGTGAACGTCGTTCATCGCCAGGGGCATTATTTGTAGCTCCTTGCAGTGCACATTGCACTTTTCTAACCCGAGAAACTATTTAAACGAAACTGAAAAACCAAGTGCTTGTATCTTCTGTATCGTTTTTTATTATTGTACCATATAATTTCACTCGTCTCTGTTCTATACGTTAATTTTAATTTTCATCGTATATACATTAAAACGCTACAGAACAAAACTCTTCGAACTCAAGTATTATTCACAGTTTCGATTTTACTGCCTCTCTTATACAACTTTTCGAGCGCAAATAACGATATCTACCAGATACCCAGAGCGATATCGACGAAAATAAAAATTGAATGCTTAACGTATGAAAACATATAACGATCCACCGTGTATTTAAATATTAACACATTGACTGCCACGTCACCCATATATTCATCGATCAGCTAAAAAAATTATTTCTCAAGATTACATGTTAAAGGAAATAAATCTTGATAGGACACTTTTTAACGAGGCTGTAAAACTAAGTTCTATGACAAATTGTGGATATGCTAGTTTCCAATGATCCAAAAAAGAGTATCCTTTTCGTAGACAATTTGAGGGATTTGATCTGGCAGTCAACGTGTTAAGCGAGCAACGATCAACATCGATGCTCTCTCCGCCCGTTCCACCCGCGTCGAACAATAGCGCGGCAATTGAACCGGTATCTCCGTCCGCAAGAACTAGCA